TGCTGTTCATCATCTCCCGAAATGCTAATATCATCATCCATGGTGGTTTTGAAATGAGAGTCGTTTGAGTTATCATCAAGAGCTAGTTCAGAAGAGATTCTCCTCCCAATATTGGTTTGTTTCCTCGAGTAGGTTCTCATGATAATGCTGTGAGTGTATTTATGCTGTGTGTGAATGAGTGAATAAGAGTGATTTTGTGAATAAATAGAGAGTGGATAACGTTCTTTTTTTTGAATTTTGAAATGGCGCGGTGAAAATAACCGTTAAAAATTAAAGATTGCTTTCCCTCAGAGAGAGAGGCAACAAAGACTTCTTGTGCTTCTCTCTAATCATCATGTAATTCTAACTTTTTCAACAAACAAAATGATGCAATCGTGATGAGGAAAATTTTGGAAATTCTGTTTCTGAATTACCTGTTGTCCATCTCTGCACACGTACACGTGTTCATGAAAAAATTAAATATTGTTTATTGGCCCTTCGGTGCCTCAATACTTGTCATAAAACAACATTGGACTTCATTTTCGTTTAGATACTACTTCTGAATGTCGAATGTTTTTAACAGGATATATCAAATATTAACAGATTACATGCTTGTGTTGAGCAACTGTTAACATGGGTTGAGTCGATGATTCAAACAGAAGGCAAAAATAAAGCAGTGTTTTGTCTGTTAATGCATATGGTTTCGTTGGTTTGTAAGGTTGAGTCGTCAATTATTGTAAAAAGGTCATGAATAGGTATATATAGTGTTGATGGATATGATATGTTAATAATGATATGTATCGATTACCAGCATTGTCTTCAAAGTTCTAAGTCACAACAATTAATAATGTTGAAGGGCGGAGAGCAGTCTTGGATCCAGTATAAGGTGAGATGCTTCTTTCTTGTTCTTACATTCATTACACGTTTCTTATCGAATTGTTGATAGCACTGATCATCATAATACAAATATAGTATCTTGCCTTTTTGTCCATGATTAGTATGATCGTGAAGTTTGTTCTTTTGCTTTGTTTTTCTTTTTGGCTTGCCTTTGTCGGTGGATGATTGTTTTTTAGCTTGTGTGGTCCTTCTTGTTTTGCGAGGTTTGTTCTTTGGCTTGTATTCTTTTTCTTGTTTTGATGGAGTTGGTTGATTCCATGTTGATAATGTATTCTCATCTTTCTCAACTGGTGGATCGTTAGTTTTCTCAACTGATGGATTTTCTCTAAAGGTGATTGCGTCACATAGATGATGTTGTAAAGATTGTAACAAGTGATGCGAATGATCTAATGGCTTCCGTGCCTTTTCTTCGCAATTTCTGTTCTCTTCATTTCGTATATATTCATTAAGTTTGGCGTTTAATTGTTTGAGGGTAGCTGAAATGTAATTCGCTTGTTGTTCAATTCTTTCCAAACGTCTTTCCAGGCTGTGGAGCATGCAAGAGTCAATTCTGATGTTCATCTTGCGGTATTTTTTAAGGGCTCATGTTCATGAAAAATGTTTTTTCCTTCGGCTGCTCGTTTACCGTTATCAGCCTACTCTTCTTCGTTCTCGAGGAACAATATGCAGAAAAAGATATCCATCATCATCACTCTGATGCTTGTGTTTGGTTGTTATTTTCTTCAGTCCTTCCCATTAAACGGAGAACCAATCCAACGAAAATTATTCAATCCCGATGCCTTCTTTCATTTCGTTCAAATAACAGATATTCATACAGAGGAGTGGAGTTCATATCGTGTTGGGGGAAAGCAATACATGGAAGCAAAGGAAAGATTTCATGATTTGAAAGACTTGGTCGGAACCATTCTTCCAACACTTGTCAAACCTAAATTTGTTATTATTACTGGAGATTTGACTCATGCTGTGCCAATTTCATTTGATAAGGATAAACAAGATTGGATTACGAGGACAATGAATATTTTTGTACCAGGACAGTCACAAGAGCAATGGGAAATGTATCAAGAGTGTATGCAACTTGGAAACAAAAAGTTACTCGAAAAGGTGACACTTGAATCATCTGAGAGCATTCATCTAAGATATCCTTTTGAAAAAGAAATACACAACGAAGATAGAATATTTGACTTGCCAGGAAATCATGATAGTTTTGGAACACAAAATAAGGCAGACCCGAAGAGCCGATTGTTTTTGAGCTATTCTCAAAGTGGAAAGTTTTTTTATTACCCAAAACATAAGAGAAATCCAAAAATTTCCAAAATTGCATGTTCTGAGAAAGACGTGACGTCTTTCTTTTCTTTTGATTTTAAATCATCTTTTGGGACATATAGATTTGCTCTGTTGGATAGTACTCCAAGTATAGGAAGTTACAGACCTGTTAACTTTTTTTCTTCTATTCCAAAGTGTCAAATTGAGAAATTGGAAAATATTCTTGGTAGAGCTGGAAATGATATTAACCAAACATTGATCTTTGGTCATTATCCATCATCCATGATTACTATTACTGAGATCGACGGAAATGTTTCACAGAAAACAATGACTGAATTTTTTAAGTCTACCAACACTCACTCGTATTTCAGTGGCCATCTTCACAAAGTATTTCATGACATGAGAAAGTTGATTCCAATGAGTGGCCATTTGGAAATTCAGTCACCTGACTTTAAGAAAGAGAGAAGTTTCAAAATGATAGCTATTGATAATGACAGAGTTTCATTTGAAGATTTTACGCTATCACATTTGAAAAAACAGCCAGGTGTGTTGATCACACACCCAAAAGATTGTAGATATTACTCAACCAAGGAGCCTCATGTTGAATATGGCTCTTTTATTCGAATGCTGATTGTCGCCCCTACAGATTTGGAAGAAATCGAGCTATTTGTGCAAATAGATGGGTCTGATTTTAACCAATCTGTGAAGGTGACACCACAAACTATCGAATATAGGATTCCCTTTGAATTTTCTAACCTCCCATCTAATTCTACTCATCACTCTATAAGGGTTGTTTACAACCATGAAGTAATACTCGAGCACCATTTTTCCTTCAACAATTCCATTTGTCGTATTGAGACGTCGATGTGGAATTTGGAAAGAATACATTCATACATTTCATACCTTGTGCTAAGCATGGATTGGAGGAGCTTATTTCGATCTGTTACAACTTGGTCATGCTGGAGTGCTATTGCTATTGTAATAATAGCCAGACGTTATGACCTCCTTAGTACTGCCTCTTCATTGGATTTGCTGTTCCTAGTTGCACATCCGATTTCCATGAGATACGGTATTTGGTTCATTGGTGAGTTGACTCTAGGAAACAGATTTGGAGGATTGATAAATCTGACCTATTTCTATTTCAATCCATCACCTTTGAATGATGCTGAGGAAATCCATACCCTATTATTTTCATATCCAGTCACTGTTGTTGATGACTCATCCTTGTTCTTTACCCTCATAGGTCCAACATTTGTTTTTTCATATTTAACCATTCTGCTAGGTTTCATTGTTTTAGATCGACTAATTTTACTTGAGAAAAAGTCATCAACGAAATACTGGAAAGCGAGAACCTTTATCACAGTACTTGTCGTCATTGCTAACATGACCTCTTTTTTGTTCAGCTTTTACAAAAAGTATGCACGGTCATATGGAAAGTTCACACTCATAACCTCACCAAATAATATCATGTTTCCTCTTTTTGGCTGTATAAGGTTGACTCTCATGGTATTTAGACATGCACCAAGTGAAACGAAATCAAAAACAGAATAAGGTTGGTTCATATTACAATAATTTATAAAATCAAGTCTAGAATCATCATGACAATGAATCCTAAAAAGAATCCAGTAAGGCCAATCCTACTTGTCAACTTGTAGAAACGAGGTCTCTTTTTCCGAATAGGCTCCACAATAGAAACAGGTTCCAGAGACAAAGTAGATCCACCTTTTCCTTCCTCCAACTTGGACGAAACCAAATCTGATTTTGGCTCACACTCATGATCGTGTTTTGAAATTGTTTCCGGAATTAATTCATTTACAACAACAAAGACCATGCACGCTGCAGCAAATGACAAGGCATACGGTAAAATACTCTCACTGAAATAGACAAGTCCTGAGCCAATTAAACCACCTAAACCATTTGGATCGATACTCTTCTTTAAGGAATTATTTCAATGAATGAATACACTTACCAAGAATTTCAACCAAGGCACTGGCACTTCCAATCAGAAACGATTTGATAAATCCAGCACCATCTCGAACCAGAGGAAGCGACACAGACAATCCTTCAGGAATATTCTGGATACCCACGCCTATACTCAAACTTACTGCACTCGAAATAGAAATACCTGTTTTGCCTAATCCCACAGATCCAAAAGCTACTCCTACCACGACACCTTCAGGTAAATTATGGATTGTCTTGATGCAAACAAAAATTCATTCAAAAAAAGAAAATTTGAATATGAATCCTTACCATGGATAACATAAGCAAGAATGATCGTCTAAATTTGATCAAAAGTTCACTCATCTTACGTTTCCAATCTTTTTTCGTCGATTCTGTGTTCATGGCTGGGGCTGATAGATCCTCTTGTTTTTGTAGTTGTTGTTGTTGTGTCTGTTCTGTGTTGATCTTTTCTGAGAGTTCAACACTCGTATCAGCCTTATTATCCTTAGAAATGTCTTCTTTTGACGATGATGCTGGAAGAATCATCTCACAAGAATCAGATGGCTGAAGGAAACCCAATGAAGAATTTTCTGTCAATGCTGTTGTGGATGAAGGTTGATGCGACAACATGGGCTGAATGGTGCTCAATTCGTTTTCTTTCAATTTCTGTAATTCTCGGTCGTACTGAATTTTCTTCTTTTCTACATAGTCATTGAGGTAATCAAGAGCAATATCAAACACAAGAAAGAAGACAATTCCGATTGTAAACCCTCCAAATACTTTGAAATTTCCATTCAACACGTGTTGCCCATATGGATCCCAAAAAGTAAGATCGTTTCATTGTCGTGATGTATGATAATGATGATATTAGAGTCATCGTACAATCAATCAACAAGAGGTTGTTGAATCACCCATGTATTCGGAACACCTAAATTCTCACTCATCATAATGAGTACTACTCACCTGGTAAAACGGAAATATATTGAGGATATTGCTTCTCGGATAATTCAATAGCTGGAGCTAACAATGAAAAGAAGCTAGCAGCAAGCATAATACCACCTCCTAATCCAAAACTCAATGCTAGGAAATCATCATAGAATCGACTTGTTGTTTTAGAGCAGCAAATCATGAAGAAACAAGCTGCTGCTCCGAGAGTTGTAAATAACCAGTTGATGGTAGTGAATATCACTCCAAGGCCAATCGGATGGATTTGCAATAAGACATCATATGGAGAAGTGGAATTTGTTGTTGAATTGTTGAAATCGTTGAGTGATGCTGCTGGGGACACAATCGTGAAAGAGGAGGAAATGGAATGAAAGGGCATGACTGTTGGAAGATTCTTTTTTTGTTATTACGAGCAAAAAGTTCAACGGGCACCCGAGTGTGGTCTTGGCCACAGCAGCACCTCAGTTAATTCCTCTGCTGAAAATAATGAGATAGAAACAGGCAAGGATTGAACATCCTCCCAACAACAATTTAACGAAGGCTGTTTGAAGGAAATGAGTGTGCGTATTACCTGAGGCTTATTCAGTTTGACGAGTTTTCCGGAACAAGAAAAAAATCATGCTCAGCTCCTCTAGTGCTCTTTATTCATTGCTCGTTCCCAAGTTGTGGAATTATGCTCAACAAAATATCATCAATATCAGTGCTCCTGCTTTGGGAAGCTCATTGTTTGAAATTTCAGCCAATAAGAATGTTCGGGATGTGTCCTATTTGTTGGACAACTCCAAGCCGTGGGTTTTAACTACAACCACGAATCCTTCTTCAACAACATCCACAACAACATCGGAAGGTTTCATACAAGAACCTCATCAAAAACATGAAGAAGAAAAAAGCAGTGCTACTCTCTTATTGGAATTATATTTGGTTTGTAACGTTCGGAAAGTAGTACTAGATTTTAATCGTCAAGCCTTGCCTTCAGAAGTTGAAATTTCATATTCGTCCAATGAAAAGAAAATCAATTTTAGAAAATTGGCAAAATTAAGAAACACAGATTTGAAGCGTGTGAAACCTTTTGTCATTTATTTCACAAAGCCTGTTCAGCTAAAATATATGAAATTTAAAATTACTCTTGCTCATACGCCAGACAGAACTAGCGAGTCAACATCAACAACAAGCTGCAAATTGAATTCAATTAAGCTGTTTGGTACTCCTGTGCTTTCTACTGACAATTTATTTGACCTTTACCACAAGAATCAGGATCAACTCAAAGCACTCGCAGAAATGATTGGTCTGAAAAAGATGTCACCCTCATCAGAAGATCCACAACATGAGAAAAAAGATACTGAAAATTTGCAACAACAACCTGCGAGTACAAAAAGTCCATCTGATAGCGAGGAGGGAATAACTATTGAAATTCTACCTGATGATGACAAAAATGCTCCTCATGCGCCACCAAAAGTCGACATTTCTGATCCAAGAAATAGATCATCAAAACTGTAGTTTGAGGGCATTAGTCAAGTTCAGGCCTTAAATCTGTAAAAAACACGATTTCGTGAGTCTTGATTTGATTAGTTCTGTTAAAGAACTCTTGACATAAGACCCCGTTGGATTTGAACAAGGCAGAGATGTCTTTCGCATGAAGAAATTACAAATTGAAAATGGAGCGTCGGCAGGTGCAAGATTTGGCCGTAAGAACACCAAAAGGTTGGACCATTCATTATTACAGCCAATGTTAGCAATGATTCACACAAACATATTTCAGCCAATCAAAGAAGTCACTGACATCTTATAGTGTAATGGGGCAATCCTGTCATCTTGATTTTCGAAGCCAATCCAAACTCTAAAACAAAAAATAGAATGAGAAGCATCTGTTGTGGTTTCAAACACTCAGCAGCACAGAGGGCGTTCATCCAATCATTTTGTGTTGGTCGATTCGAAACACTCCGTTATTTTCACCATCAGTTACACCAAAGTCAAAATGAAAAGGATCTTGATTCATCAATGACCACTTGGATCAAATGATCGAATGATTGGACAAGGACCTTCTCCTTGAAGCTGTAAAGACAACCTCACAAGTTATTGCCGTCATTGCTCCCGAGTTGGAGCGATTGTACAACAATAGCACCTTCTACAAGACTAATAAGAGCTCTTTCAGCTCATTTCTTGAATTATTAATTGTGCATGAACCCCAAGTGCTCAAGTTCCTACCCGCTCATTTAAATTCTCTCATTTCTCCAAGCAGTCCATTATTCGAGACAGCTTCCATCACATGTGCATAACAATTTTGAATCTCTGTTGTGAAATATTGCAGAGCCATTCCATTTCGAACTAATACTTGCTTTGGAATTTGCGAGTAACCAATTGAAAAATGATGAAAATGTAGTTTTATCGGCCATTATGAATAATGATGTCTCTCTTCAATACGCTTCTGATGAGTTTAGATCGAACCAAGAATTTATTTTGCAAACTATGCACTTTACACGAGGACGGACTTATATTCGTGCATCTGATGATTTGAAGAGGAATGTCCATGTAGCTAGTGAAGCATTAAGCTTCGATGGAATGCTGCTACAATACGTAGGATCTAAAAATGATCTTTCATTGATCAGAAAAGCAATTAGAAATCATCCAATGGCTCTTCAATTTGTTCAAGATCAAACTTTACTTGAGAAAGAATCGATTTTGGCTTGTGTGAAAAAGGATGCACGCTGCTTCAAATATTTGAATACTGCTCATTTCAGAGAGGATCGAGAGATTATTATAGCAGCCATTCATGCATGTGATTCCTTTGCAACTCTTCGAGAAATCGTTTCACTTGTGAATGTTCCTTTCATTTGGAACGATCAAGACGTACAAATGGATATTCTTCTCAAAGCAGTTGAAACTATTACTTCATCGAATGTAAATTTGTTCAATGAATTGATCAAGAATGAATTTTTTCTCAAAAAAGCCATTGAAAAAGATTCTAAATGGTTAGCTTGGTGCGATATAAACTCCATGACAAGAGAGCATTTGTGTCTTCAACATTTTTCACCGCGTATTCGGGATGATCCGATAATCATGTCACTTGCCATTGCTGATAATCCTAAATCCTTTCAATTCACACCTGAGAATTCAGAATTGAGAAATAATTTTCAATTCATGATGCATGTCGCCTCTTTAGATGGAGAAATGCTACGCTGTGCAAGTGCTGAACTTCGAAACAATTTCTGATCTCGTTAAAGAAGCTTGTAAAACCTGTCCACAAGCTTTAGGATATGCCTCTGATCGCTTACGTAACGATTTCGACCTCGTTTCTCAAGTAGTTCAATCAAGTAGCACTTTTTCTGTATTGAGCTTTGCATCTCAAGATCTCAAAAACAATAAGGAAATTGTGCTGACGGCCATTCGAAGAAATCCCTTTGCGTATTTGGAGGCATCCGATGCACTCCAAAAAGATGAACAAGTGGCAATGGAAGCAATTTCACAAAGAGGAGTTTTACTCTATCATGCACCCATGTCCATACAAGACAATCTTGAAATTGTGTTAAGAGCAGTTGAAAACGATCCTTGGGGCTATGAATTTGTGAAAAGTGACAGTATTAAGAACCACCAACAAGTGTTGAACCTTGTAGGCAAGTTGATTGAGGAATTGAAACTCTATTCTCCTGAAGAAGTGTATCAGATTCGACATGGAGGCATCTTCTTTGAATCATTAAATGAACGAGAAATAACAATGATTTAATCATGTACAAATCACCATTGACAGCCCTGTCAAATTGATGCTTTTGAAATGAAAATTCTTAACAAAAAAATGTTGTCCCGAGCTTTCTATGACGATCCTCACCAACTCTCTGGAAAGGCTTCCAAAGTACTTTCCGTTCTGTGTGTGGCGACTGTGATGATTGGATGTATAATCTTTGTCGGATTGATTACAGTTCAGACTTTATATCTTTCCAAACGGGTCAGGTAAGGCTTTACAATGATGATCAATTATTTCAAATAATGATTTACAAATTGATGATGGTTAAAACAATACAGACAATCAGGAATTATATTTCCGAATCCACCATATTCTAAAAACGACGATTGTCTTCATTTTCTTGTGATTGGCGATTTCGGGCGAGGAAATGACATGCAAAAACAAATTGCCAAGGTGATGGGTGATTATTGTCAAGAAAACAATGGTTGTGACTTTGTGATTGGAACTGGAGATAATATTTATCCGGATGGTGTGACTTCTGTGAATGACGAACAATTTAAAACCAAATTTGAAGATATTTACACACATCCAAGCTTAAATAATATTGATTTTTATTTGGTGTTAGGTAATCATGACTACCGTTCAAATCCTCAAGCTGAAATTGAATATACAAAATTAAGTAAGAAGTGGAAAATATTGGACTATTTTTATGAATTGAAAAAGAAATCAAGATTAGGTGGATTTGAATTGAGTTTAGTGTTCACAGATACCAATCCATTTCATAAATTGTTTTTTTGGGATCCTTACATTAACAGTACTGCATTGAATGAGCAAAAAAAGAGAATTCCAGATCAATTGAACTGGTTAAAACAGACTCTGACTTCTCATGAGCCAAGAGGTGAATCAACCTGGAGTATTGTCGTGGGTCACAGCCCTGTCTATTCATCAAGTGCTCACTATGATTCTCAGCCATTAATTGATAATTTTGAACCCTTATTTAAAGAATATCAAGTCCCATTATATTTGTGTGGACATGATCACTATTTGGGTTGGCTAGCGAACCGATTGATCACCAATGAAAAAGAAAAAACTCAATACGTTGTGAGTGGTGCTGCAGGAGGACAAATTTACGAACGAATGAAATATAATGCAAACTTGTTGAATTATTATATTGGACCTGGAGGTAAGGTAAGTGAATATATCAACAATTTTGTGTAGTGACTGGATACCACACCACTGTATGATTTAAATCTTTTTATTGTGAATAGTTGATTGACAGTTCTGAGAGTGTGTTTTCTGGAATAATTAACAACATGCATGATGGTTAGGATTCTTCTCTGTGGAAGTACAAAAAGAATTCATATTTGTTAGAGCATTAGATGAAAATGGAAAGGAAGTTTTCAAATTTAGGATTGATAAGTGAGTGAGCAATGAAAAGACACTGTCCATTATAACATCATCCCATCCCTCCAAATAAATTATGAACATATTTAAAACATGGCAAGGATGAATCCGACCAAGAATGAACTTGTTAATGGATAATTATCCTTTGTATATTCTCTTACTTTTTCCCATTTTTCGAAAATCTTTTCCTTAATATTCATGCGTTTGATGTGATGATTAGCTGCTTCAATTCCCATCTTTGCTATCATTTCATACTGCTCCAAATTATTGGGTTCATCCAATGAATGACCTTGTTGTTGTTTTTTCTTTTTCAAAGCTTCTCGATGAAGTGCTCCGACAGTTGATCCAGCTAAAAGAAGTGCAGCAATACTTGCAAAAACAATACGAGATCCAATTCGTACGATATGTCCACTCATATATCCTCCGCAAACACCAACTCCAACAGAAACGAGTAGGTCTTTTGAATGGTCTGATCTCACTGTTGGCGATGATGACATTTTAGAGATCACTTGTGAGGGTGATGATACCGTTGTTTCTTCTTCACGATCGGTAACATGAGGATAATGATTCCTGACCTGATCATCATGCAATCCCGGATAGAGATTGAATGTTGTTTTACCAACCTCTTTGTTTGATCTTGTTTGAGAGGACACTTCAATTTCCAACAAGGAAGCAGCAGCTTCCTCGAGCATTTGTTCATGATGATGACTGTTAGACATTTTTTTGGATGTTTTCAAAGTTCCTTCCTAATCAATATTAATCAATATAAATCAATATTATATTGGATGTGTTCCTTTACTTTTCAACACATTTCTGAAAACCAACAACCACTTGACAAGTGGCCTTATTTATTTGATTCCAATAAACCTTCCACACTACAGGCCACTACTTGCAAATCTTTCGAGTCTTCATCTCTTCTTCCTCTCAAAATCATTCCAATCATGAGATCATTTCCTTCCGAAGTGAATTCTTCTTGAGATGCCATTGCTAGAGACACCAACATTGGATTATGTGAAGTGACCAGCCAACCCAATTGTGGATTCTCAACAGTAATGGTTGAAAAATCTCCATATGAGGTGTTCCAGCAATGACAGGACCATCTTGAGCCATAATGGAACGAGCGTCTTGAATCAATGTATGATTTTCAGTGTCGAGTCTATCGAGAAAGATGACAATGCTTCCATGTGAAAACATGACCCATTTCTTTCGCTCGCTGTGTAACAAGATGCTCTTCCAGTACGAGGCGAGTTCTTGGTGGTGTGGTTGTGAATGCATTTTTTCAAATGTTGATTTGAAAAGGTGTTCTTGTTCAATTTCGAGGTGGAATCAGGAACTTTCAAGTGAATTCTCAAATATTTCTCTGTAAGAAGAGGAGATCAAACAAAGAGGTTGAAAAGCCAATACCTGAGCGAAATTTTTCTGACCTAGTTTATCTACCTTAGTAGGATCATTACATTGGATAGAGACTGTGAATCAATGAAGCTGTATAATTTGGATTAGTGAAAACATAATAACCTAGGTTGCAATCGTCTGAAGTGCAATACGTAATGGTACCTCCATTTCGATTTGAAACAAGGGTATTCTGGGCATTGAAATAATAGGTATTGAGTTCTTTCTGGAACTGACATTGTTCAGAGTTGACACCATGTTGTTTGCATTGATAGTTGGTTCGTTCCACCCATGAATCATTGTGCTTGGATATGACTAAATTGACACTAATGTTTGAAGGAAGTACATTTTGGAAAAGAGTGTCTGGTATTCCAATAGTGTCCATCATGGATGTTTGTGTGATCCAAGTTTTCTCAGTTCTCATCCATGTTGCAATTTCTTGAGCATTGACGCTCATTGAATTGGATGGAACGAAAATTGACATTAAACCCCATGGAACTCCAAGTGCATTGATAATATTAATCAAGGTTTTTCTTCCTGTAATGTCTCTTTTTCTGTATGCTTCATACTCTGCCTGTGTCATGTTCTTCAAATCTCGCACAGAGATGAATTCAATGCCATTTGGAAAGACATCAAGAAAAACCAATGATTTCACCATTTCAGGATGTTCAAGAGCATAACGATAAATCATTGGACCACCACCTCCCCATCCTACCATCACATACGGTTTTGTTTCTCCAATACCGGTCAAAAAGTTGTGATAAAACGTTGACTCATTCTTCTGATCGACAAACAAATAATCCGAGTAACCAAGACCAGGTTTGTCATAAATGCAAGAACGACGATTTAGTGATGTCAACACTTTTTGAATTCCAACATAATCGGCATAACCATGAGAGAAATCACCCTCAACCAAAAACACTGGTGAACTCAATGAGACAGGTCCTTCACATTTGTAATGAATGGTTTGAGAACGACCTGATCCATCCGCCAGAGGAATTGTGATGAATTTTCCCTGTGGAGGATAATTCACAATCAATGCTGCATTAATGGCCCCACTCACTAACAGAGCCATCAGAATGATAAATAGACCTCGAAGCACAGTGTTGAGGACAATTCCAGAAATGCAAATCACTTGGCCAGCCCGTTTGGCAGCACTATTCGACTGTTCTCCGGACAAGATGGTAGTATTACCACCATGTTGTTCATCGATGGCATGGATGATGAAACTCTTTTTGGTATTAATAGACAACAAACTTCCAAACCACCTCAATACAACAATGCATACATTCAAAAGACAAATGATCCATAGGAGAATGGTCCAAATGATAGCATCGGATCGATAACCCGCAATGGTATAACCAAGAAACATAATGAAAGACTCAATGAAGATGACGACAAAATAGACCACATTTGAAACCAGAAAAACGGATTTGAATTTGCTCTCGTTGGGTTTCATTTCATGATAAATTCCTTGAACGGAGAAGAAGAACAACATGATGCACAACCACATGCCAATATATGGATTCATGACATAGACAGGACCAAAGCTGGAGGTGATTCCTGCATAGACAAATATACCAACAAAGCCTGCACAAGCATTAGCGATTGCCCAAATCAAGAGAGGCCAGTGCAATGCACCTATCAGAAGTTTTGCCTTGTTAGAGGATGTTGTTTCGACCATGTTGTCGTTTGTTTTACGATTGTTTTTTGTGTTGTTTGTGCGAGATGTATAGTACGCGATGCTTTAAAAGTTGAATCGTTATTACATCATGTACGATAAAAGGAACAAGTGGGTGTCGAATTGGAATCTGTTTTTTCGGAAACAGGAAAGGAGTTTGGTATTTTCGCTTTGCGTTGAATAATCACAAATAAGGGTTGCTGTGCATGTAGGTGTCTTCAATTTCGCTGCCGTACATTCAATAATGCTATATTCCTAAAGCAATACAATTTGAGCAGCAAATTCTAGGGTGCAACGGTCTTGATATTTTATATATTACGAAATATATGGTTTGATTCAACTACTATTTCTATTACTGCTGTACTTGACTAATCACAAAAGAATATCTGTAGGCAATTTCCTTGTATGCTTCATATCTTTGACTTGCTCCTCCATGTCCTTGTTTCATGTTTGTTTTGCAGAGAATAAGACTAGGTGTTGGAAAATAACGAGTTCTTTCAGGTGTTGAATAAAAGTATCTCAACTTGGCGACAAACTTTAAACCTTCCCAATATTGAACTCGTGAATCATTCAATGCATGATCGATCAATATGGCTGGATACGATTTCTCAACATTCTCCTCCTTATCCATATTGTCATATGGTGAATACGATAACATGTATTCGAAATGTTTCTCATTTTGAGGATTACCCCATTCGTCATATTCTAAAGTGTATTGTTATTATTATTACATAATTGTTTTGTTAGCTTCACACTTACCTGTGACTGATAATGGAATGGAAGGATCTGAAAGGGAATTAATCACATCAACAAAGGGATCCTCCAAAATTGCAGCCCTAAATAATTCAGGATTAAAAGCAAGTACACCACCAATCAAGAGTCCTCCAGCACTTCCTCCCTCTATGACCAGTTTGTTGGGGTTGGTCCAACCTTCCTTAATTAAATATTCAGCACAATCAATAAAATCATAAAAACTATTTTTCTTTTTCAATAATTTTCCATCCTGATAATGACCTCTTCCATTCTCTGATCCACCCCTCACTCCTGCAATGGCGTACACAAATCCTCGATCAAGAAGAGAAAAAATCGCATGTGAAAAATAGGCATCAAGAGAACAACCATAAGCTCCATATCCATACAACAGAAGCGGGTTGTTCCCATCTAATTCAATTCCCGTGTCTGAATTGTTACGTTTTTTGTAAACAAGCCCAATTGGAATTTTAACTCCATCTCTTGCTGTAACTAGTATTTTTCGTTGCATGTATTGATTTGGGTCGAAGTCGCCCAATACTACCTCTTGCTTGAGAATGTTAAATTCGTGGTTTTGCATGTCATATTCATAAGTTGTTGTTGGAGTAATAAATGATGAATACACAATCCTAATTCGAGAATTGTCAAAAGTATAATTTTCACAAGGTTCTAATTCATAGAAAGGTTCGTTGAACTCCACTTCTTTGGGTGAGTTGACATTGTGAGGGTCGAGAATTATCAATTTTGGAACTCCTTCTGACCTTCCAAATAATGCTAGATGGTCTTTAAAGCAAACAAGATCCTCTGTATAAAACTCTGGATTATATGGTAAAACTTCTTCAAGATTATTGAAATCAGGATTTTCAACAGGTGTTCTCATTAATCTAAAATTAATGTAACCATCGTCATTGTGCCAAACATAGAAATGGTTAGTATGATGAGAAATATAAAACTCAACTCCTTCTTTTCTCTTCTTATTAGCAAAGAGTCTCAAATTATCTTTGGGTAAATCATCTGTTCGAATGTAATGGTACTCGCATGTGTTATTGGAACAGGTGTCAATAAATATAAACTCTTCTGATAATGTCTTGCACACAGAAACAAAAAACCTTTCATCAAGTTCTTCAAATATCAATTCGCAATCTTCTTTCACGCTTATTGTTTGGCAATCTTCAAGCTTGTCCACAAAACTATTCATTGCGAGAGTTTTTCTGTAAACTCTATACGGCCTGTGTGCTTCGTCACAGACAGCAAATACAACAGTTCTAGAATCATTTCCAAATTCAAAACTTGTGTCTAAATTTTCATCCTTACTAATAAAGAACGAATAAATTTTTCCATTTGTCAAATCCTTAAAATACAAATCATAGAACTCGTCACCATCTACATCAATTGAGAATGCCAGAATTTTTTGGTCAGGCGAAATTTCATACATTCCAAGCTCTAAAAAGTCTGTTTCGAGCTCTTTGGATAATTCATTTAAATCAATAAGAATTTCTTCCTTGCTACCTTCTTCGAGAGCTTTTCTGCAATAAATCTTGTAATCTTTTCCGTCTTCAGTCTGAATGATTCGTGTTCATGATATCATCGGTTTCAATGAATGTTCGTTGAATGATTTCAACAATAATTTTGAATACCCACCCTTGTATAGTACAAGTAATCTTTCCAGACATATGGCACTGATTCATCAGTTTGCAATATTCTGTCCTTAATTTCCTTGAAGATGGTATCCTGTAAATTCTTTAAAGGCTTCATCTTTTCCTTTTGATATTGATTCTCGCTATCTATTAATTTTCTTACGGCACTATTTTCTCGTTCTCGGAGCCAATAATACGGATCTGATAATTTTCGTCCATGAAAAGATGTGATATGATCCTTTCTCTCCGCTACTACTTTCGGTTGGTCTCGGAGAGAGCTGCATTCAATTTTCGGAATCGTTTCCTTGACATTGGTCGCTTGGTCCAAGATGGAGTGAAGCATTTTTCTTTGAACGGAACATGTGTTGTGATAAAGCTTCTGATTGGATAACAAAGTGAATGAAAAAAGAGACACAGCATTGCAAAACCGATTTTGACAAGTTGCAGTTAAAAGCTTGTGGAACATTTTTTGTGAGAAGATATTGTGAATGAACACTTTATATGTTTTGGCAATGCTTTTATGGAAGGATGGACCTAGTGATGATCATCCATCATGTGTGTTTGATGTTGTTGTTGCATAATGTATTGCTGGAAACTTTCAACTTCTGCTTCTACTAAAACCTTAATGTCTTCCGTTTTGATGTCTTCACTGAACTGGTAATCAAATCTAGCTTTGCAAAAGTAGCTGTTCTCATTACAGGATGGATCTAAATTAAATTCATCTGGATCAAACATTTCTTTCAGGTAAGGATGTTTCAAGGCATCTTGAACAGTAATTCGCTTTTCAGGGTCCCATGTCAACATTCTTTCGAGCAAATCAATAGCGAGGGGATTTGTGACATGTGAAAATACTTGAGAAAAGTTTTTCTTTTCGTAATGTTGTTTGAAGCTAGTTCTAAGGAACTTAATTCCCTCACTACATCCTCTCACTTCTTCATTACTTGGTGTTCCAATCAGTCGTAGAATTAACTCCAGTTGATCTTTAAAGTCTTTTCCTGGAAATAAGATGGGTCTTCCATTCTTGTGAAGTGGTTTTACAAGTAATTCCTGTTGCGAAACGATTAAGAATTTCAAAATAATATTGTCGTGCTCTACTTACAGCGAATATACAGCCAATTGACCACATATCCATAGCTGCATGAAGTTTGTTCCAATAAAGAATCTTTGATAAATTAATAGATGATGGTATTAAGAATTTTTCCACAAATGTTAATCAAGCTGAATACTTACCACTTCAGGACTTCTATACCACCTGGTAACAACATATTTGGAATCTTCAGGATAATCTTGACCAATAGCTCTACTTAAGCCAAAGTCACAAATTTGCAAATCCAAATCTCTATTTAACAGAATGTTGCTTGGCTACTCACAATTTTCAATCCCCTAAATTTAATTTGCAATCTAAACAATCAAAACATACTATATTAATATTATCCAAAAATGAATAAATCTGAGATTCCAAAATAAAATACATACCCTTTAAATCCCTATGAATAATATTACTGCTGTGCATGATGTTTACAGCTTTGAGAATTTCATGAAGGAAATACTGAATAGATTGCTCACTAAATGTTTGATTGCTCGATAGCAACTTTTCCAAATCAAAATCCATCAGGTTAGTAACAATGTAAATACTTCCGGGCTGATAGGGATCAAAAAACAAGTCCTTCAGTATCACAACATTGTGTGCATGGTGAATACTAAAATGTTTTAGAATCTTGATTTCTCTCAATATTCGTTTCTGGTAATTCCTGTCTCTTTCCCACAAGCTTGATACTTTCTTGATGGCCACTCTTTCGTTGTTTTTATTGTCCACTGCCGAAACTACACAACCAAATCCACCAGAACCCTTGACTCCGTCCATTGTATATCGCTTTGGTAAGCTGAAGGTGTTTCCATTCACCGAATATTGAACATATTCCATTTGTAAATTGGCAAAAGGAACTTGTTCACGATTGACTTGTTGTGCCTGCATAAATAATTGTTGCTGAGTTGCATAATCTTCTTGTTGGTCCATCATATAATTCTGTTGTTGCTCGAGAAATTGTTGATTCATCATTTGATCTTTAATCTGTTGTTGTTGTTCTTGTTGTGGATTCATCATCATGGCCTGATCAGATCCAGCATGATGGTAATAGCTCGGAGCCAAGTTGTAGTTGGATTGTTGATGTTGGGGGTAAGCGTGATGATGAGATTGTTGTGGCAACATTTTTTGTTGGAAAAGTTCACAAGCAACGGGATAATGCCACCGAAAAGTAAAACTGAGATAAAAGGAATGTATTTAAATATCACAAAAGGGTGATTCATTAACAAACTGTAGTGCATATAAAAGCAACTCTTTAGAAGGAGTAAGGAATTGAGTGATTAATTGAATATCTTATTTGTGCAATAAATAGTGAAAATTAATTATTGGTTGAGGAAATTACTCCGTTATCTGAAATATCACTAAACGTGGCTATAGGGTTAGAATGAATATGTACACTCAAAATCTTAATGTCTTGCAAGGGTTTATATTTGTTGTCAACCGGTATTGATTCCATCTTATCCAAAACTTTAAATCCGTCAATTACTTTTCCGAATACTGTACATTGATTATTTAATTGTGGTTGAGGTCCATACGTGATATAGAATTGACTCGAATTGGTGTTAGGCTTTGATCGATTGGCCATTCCGACAATGCCTCGTTCATTATGAGTCAATTCTTCACTAAATTCATCTTCAAAGAATTTTCCATAAATCGATGTTCCACCTTTTCCCGTTCCTTCTTTATCTCCACCTTGAATAATGAATCTAGGCACATTCCGATGAAATATTGTATTATCATAATATCCCGAAGCACATAAAGCTAGGAAATTCTTGCAAGTTTTTGGACAATGCTCGCAAAACAATTCAATTTTCACGGGACCCAAATTTGTTTCTAGTGTTATGGACATTTTTTTATAAATAATTTTGAATTTTTCGACGATCTGGCAGGTTGCAGTAGACTTACTCTCTTGATTTGAAATTGATAACCTAATCATATCGAGAGGGTGGTAACAGAATGCAAAGCTTTAAAATTGCAAGCTTGGAGTGAAGTAAGTGAAGTTACGAGGCCTGAGTTAATTTTAATTTCAAACAAAAAAATACCTGCACATCACTTCTTCGACATACACGTTGGTGCGCAGTTGTATTGAAAGCATTCGTAATTATTAGCGGAACCACTCATAACTGAATCAACAACAACATCAAATGATACCCTCATCTAGTAATAGTAATAACAACAACGGAGATGAGAAACCAATTGAAACTGTAAATATTGAAGACCAAATTGCATTAAAAAAGAGGAAAAAGGAAGAAAAAGAGGCTAAAAAGAAAAAACAAAAATGTGATCAAATCTTGGATGATTTGGACAATGAAGTCACAAAGAAGGCACAAGAAACGCTTGTCCGAGATATATTTAGTCAAAGAAAAGACATTCAGTTTGACCATTCAAATCTCATCCTCAAAGAAGACCACAAATTGCGACCAATTTGGATTTGTTCTGGAACCGATGGATTGTTCCATATTTTCATGGAGACTTTTTCTCCCATCTATCAACAAGCCTATGATTTTTTAGTTGCAGTGGCTGAGCCGGTTTCTCGTCCTGAGAACCTTCACGAATACGTTCTGACTGAATATTCTCTTTTTGCTGCTGTTAGTATTGGTATGAACACCGAACAAATAATTCAAGTTTTGGAGAAGCTGAGCAAGGTAAAACTATCAGACCCTTTAATCAACTTCATTAAGGAAGTGACAAGAAAATACGGTAATGTCAAACTGGTTCTACAGAAGAATCGTTTTTTCATCGAGTCGCATCACTTAAGTGCCATGGAAAAATTATATGATGATTCAATTATCAGCTCAGCCGCCATACCTACTGACCGAACAGAATTTCCAAATGTTGACAAGAGTGGAAGATTCATTATTAGATCAAGATCAAAGCAAGCAGAGTTAGAAAAGTTCCAAAAGCAAGCATTGGCTGCAAATACTTCATCTGTTCAAGGAAAAATTCAGACTGAGATGATTCGTGCAGTCAATCAAATTGATGATGAAGATGACGACACAGATGATTTTGACGTCTCTTCGGTTGTGGAAACATACTATCAATTTGAGATTAATGCTAACGAAGTTGAACACGTAAAGAAGAGGTGCATCGAAATTGGCCTTCCTACTCTCGAAGAATATGATTTTAGAAATGATGTTACTAATAAGTCATTAAGCATCGATCTTAAACCTACAACCACCATCCGTTCTTATCAAGAAAAATCTTTAAGCAAAATGTTCAGCAATGGAAGAGCTAGAAGTGGCATTATTGTGTTACCATGTGGCGCCGGAAAAACTTTGGTCGGAGTTACTGCTGCTTGTACTGTTAAAAAGAGAACACTTGTATTGTGCATTAACTCTGTGAGTGTTTTGCAGTGGAAAAACCAATTTAAATTATGGAGTACCATTGACGAAAATCGTGTCATTATTTTCACATCTCAAGACAAAGACCCTCTTCCTAAAGATGATGAGCCTTTGGTCATTATTACAACTTATACCATGCTTACACATAAAGGAAAGAGAAGTGGTGAATCAAAAGAAATAATGGACCACATTGAAGGTAGAGAGTGGGGTTTACTACTCTTGGATGAAGTGCACGTTGTGCCAGCCAACATGTTCAGAAATGTATCCAGAGTGAAATCTCATTGTAAGCTTGGATTAACAGTCACCCTTGTTCGTGAAGATGCTAGAATTGAAGATTTGTACTTTTTGATAGGTCCAAAATTGTATGAAGCTAACTGGCTAGACCTTCAAAAAAAGGGTCACCTTGCTAATGTTCAATGTGTAGAAGTTTGGTGCCCAATGACTGCTGAATTCTATGCTGAATATCTAACTGCAAATGCCAAGAAGAAAACGCTTTTCTATGTGATGAACCCAAACAAGTTCAGAGCCTGTGAATTTTTGATCAGATATCATGAAAAGCAAGGAGACAAGATTATCGTGTTTAGTGACAATGTTTTTTCATTGCAAGAATATGCCGAAAGACTTAAAGTTCCATATATTTATGGTCAAACTAAACAACAGGAACGAGTTTATTGGTTGAATCAATTCAGACAAGGTAATCAGTTTAACACTATTTTCATCAGTAAGATTGGAGACACAGCTATTGACATTCCAGAAGCAACTGTTATCATTCAAATTTCCTCTCACTTTGGTAGTAGAAGACAAGAAGCACAACGTCTTGGACGTATTTTGCGTCCAAAGGGAGGCGGGTTGAAAAATCAACAAGCCTACTTTTACACATTGGTCTCTCAAGATACACAAGAAATGTACTACTCAACCAAGAGACAACAATTCTTAATCAACCAAGGTTACAGCTTCAGGGTTTTGCCAGACATCCAAAAGTACTATGAGCAAGGTGCAAGTGAATTAGGATTGTCTTTAAGTCACATGACAACCAAAAAAGATGAACTGGAAATGCTTGCTGTTGTGAAAAAAGCAGACGATGCAAGAGGTCAGGAAGAAAAAATTTCAGTGGAAGATGAAAGCGCTCAACAACCAAGCTCTCTAGCACAACTTTCAGGAGGACAAGGTGTTGTTTATCAAACCTTTGATACAGGCAGTGGCTCGTCCAAGAAAAAGAAAAGTAAGGGTGCAGCCCCAACCGTTCATCCTCTCTTCAAGAACAGAGCTTCCTCATCCAAAGATTAAATGTTAAATTCACACAATAAATGTATGACAAGTTGCTCTGCAAGAAATAAACATGTTCTATCACGTTTATAAATTGCAATCTATGTACTGGCTTACATGTTCTATTTATTACCTGGTTTTACAATTTGCTCACTACTATTTTGGATAATTGGATGTAAAATTACAGGTTCAGAGCTGATTGGGTTCCGGACTAGGGCTAATGTTTTGTCCGGTGCCGCTAATCACACAATTTGGAGAAAAATAGCATGAGACAGCATTGCCAGTGTGTAAGATGATGCATCCATCCATCAAGTTGCAAGAAACAAAATAAGAAGCAGAGATTTGACATTGCTCCATTCGACAGCAAATGCAATTGCTAGATTGAATACTTGTTCTGTTTTTCAAAATGCACTTGTTGAGATTTGCGTTAGATATGCTAGCATGATCTATCACACAACTGATGTGATTTCCTCCATAGAGGATGCAATTTTCAAGGGTGCAGTCCATAAGATGTGAGCTTGTGATGTTGCAGTTTTTCAAATGACATCTCACGAGGACTTGATTGGTAATATCTTCATTTTGTTTGAGAGTAAGAGGTCTATTTTCTTGTGTCATGGTTGCAGCAGATTTGATTTTGTTTTTTTTGAAGTGGGAATGGTTGCATTTGACAGGAAATAAATAATTTTGATTTTCGATACGATTTGACTTTACAAAGACTATAAAAACATGATCACGTTCACGTTTCCTTAAATAAATATGACATGATTTCAATCATTTGACACATTAACTGAAATCCACTAAAAGTGAAGTCAAATGACATGTGGCGTTTCACCATCCATAAATGAACGTGTTTCCCAAAGTACTGTACTGGTCTTGTACAGTCAAAAATCTCTGGCACAAGTTGGAAGTTGCTTTGATATTCGCCAACTCTTTCAACACCTAATGCAAGCAATTTGTGTTGAAACACATTGCCGTTTGGCATCCGTTGATAGAGAGGAGAGTGAGTGCTCCTTCCAGAGTTCATGTTCCTTCGTTTCAATTTGAAATTCTCGCTTGTCCTATCAATAACCAAGTTCAACAATAAAGAAAAAAATCAACATGGGCAAACCCTCACAAGATCAATTGAAAAAGATTTACGGAAAGATTAAATTTGTAGATTCCTTCCCTGATTACAAGGTTCAAGGTAGGTGGTGGATTTAATTCACTCTTAAGAAGTGTGTGAAAAAAGTTGTTGTTACATTCCTTTTGTTCGAATTGGTGTATACCATCATAATGCTTCCTTTGTTCGAATTATTATTCAATAATTTATATTTTGTTGTTTTACACACGAATGAAAATGATCGTAATGGGAAATGATGAAACATGCTACCAAATGTTCAACACTCATAATTATTTGAATCAATGTTCATTCCCAAGTGGTTGATTCATTTCCTGATCTCAAGGTTAAACTTGTAGACTCTTTTCCAGACTCTGTTGGCAAGTGGAAGATTGTGGACTCCTTCCCTGATTATAAGATTCAAATTGTGAATTCTTTCCCAGATTTTAAGATTAAATATGTGGATAGCTTCCCAGGATTGTAAAATCATTGGTGAAGGACATTCATCATGAAGATCATTAGTGGCGACCTCTGTCATGAATTTTGTAATCATACAATGATGATCATTCAGATAAAATCAGAGAGTTATTCATTGCAGACTTTTTGCTCGTTGTCATCGCGGTGACGGAGATCGAATACTCCTCGATCAGGGTGTTGATGATGGTTTCCAAAAGTGATCGTCATTTTAAATATTTCTAAATTAGGCTTTGAAGAGTTTTTCATGACGTTTTCAAAGAGGCTCAACAATCACAAGAAAAATTCTCTCAAACTCTAATATTACTACAACGGTATCCATACTGTTACACTTGATCAGAAATCGTCCATACAACTACTGGAATTTCAAAGGATGAAACGAACCCTTCTTGCACACTCTCCGAAGATCTTCTATCATGGCTCTATACATCATCATCATCAACAACAAGCGCTTGTATTAAAGAATCAAAAGTTACAGAGTGTACTCAGTGGTAGGAGATCTTCGGGATTGGAAATTCATCAAAAGAGAGGTTACTCTCATGAATTCCACTCCCATAATCAATTCAAGAAGGGTGTGATTTATACCAATGAGGTGAGTTTTTGAATAATATTCGACCAATCTCAGTGGATGAAATTGTTGTTAATGTTTTCTCAACACTTGGTTCCACTCTCATAGCTTGGAATTGATGTCATGAACAATGGCTTACTAAATAAGGGCACTGCTTTCTCGATGACTGAAAGAGATCGTTTAGGATTGAGAGGCCTCATTCCTGCGACCATTTCCGACATTGACCTTCAATTGTCAAGACTTAAGGAAAGATATGCCTCCATACAATCAGATATTGAAAAGTACCAATTTTGTACTCAACTACAAGATCGTAACGAAACTCTCTTCTACCGTTTTGTGATGGATAACATTAAGGAAATTGCGCCAATCATTTACACACCTACTGTTGGTAAAGCTTGTGAAAACTTTTCACATATTTTCCGTAAATCGAGAGGCATGTTCTTCTCAACATTGGATAAGGGTGAAATGAGATCGATGGCTTATAATTGGCCTGTTGATAAGGTGGATGTTATTGTAGTGACTGATGGAGGAAGAATTTTGGGACTAGGAGATCAAGGAGCAAATGGGGATGGGTAAGTTTTTTAAGAAATAATGGAAAACCAATAATTTTCATGTCGCTATTTACAAATTTCCTCAGTATTCCAATTGGAAAATTGTCTCTCTATGTTGCTGCTGGAGGTATCAATCCAGGAAGGGTACTTCCTGTCATGTTAGATGTTGGAACAAATAATGAAAAACTTTTGAACGATCCTCTGTATCTTGGAAGAAAACATAAACGTCTCACTGGTAAAGAATATTACGACCTTGTGGAAGAATGGGTTCAAGCTATTACTTCGAGATGGCCCAATGTATTGATACAATGGGAAGATTTTTCAAGCGATAAGGCAGATGTTGTGTTGGAGAAGTACAGAAACAGAATTCTCTGCTTTAATGATGACATTCAGGGAACTGCTGCTGTTATTTTGGCTGGTGTGTTGAATTGTTTGAGAGCTACAGGTCAACAGTTTTCAGATATTACAAAACACAAATTCCTTATTGTCGGTTCTGGAGCGGCTGGATTGGGAGTGGTAACTGGCCTTAAAGATGCCATGATACGAGAAGGTTTAACGGAGGAACAAGCTTTGAAAAACTTTTACATTGTGGACAAAGATGGACTGATGACAAAGGATCGATTGAACTCTGACTTGGCAAAAGATATGTCTGTCTCAGCAAAGAAATTTGCTTCTGCTCGAGATGACATGAAAGAAGGATCTCCATTGTTGGAGGTTGTTAGAAAGGCACAACCAGACATTTTGTTGGGAATGTCTTCTCAGTCTGGCCTTTTCTGTGAGGAACTTCTCACCATTTTCAATGAGGATTGCAAGAAGAGAGGTAAAACACCAATTGTGTTCCCACTCTCCAATCCAACCTCAAAAGCTGAATGCACAGCAGAAAGTGTGTTCAAGGTTACCAATGGCAATGCCATTTTTGCTAGTGGAAGTCCATTCCCTCCTGTCACACTTCCTGATGGAACGGTTGTTCAAACTTCACAAGCCAATAACATGTTTGCCTACCCTGGTGTTGGTTTGGCTGCTGTTTTATCAGGCTGTAAACGCATCACGGACAACATGTTCTACGCAGCATCTAAGGCTTTGGCTGCTACTGTCTCTGAGGAAGCTTTGTCACGAAAGGAGGTCTATCCTCATGTTGAAGACATTAGAAATGTAAGCAAAAAAGTGGCAATTGGTGTAATGAGACAAGCTTATATTGAAGGAAATGCGGCAAAGATTCAGCATTTCAGTAAGGAATTTATTTTCAGCGATGACGAGATGGACAAATATGTCAGTGAAAATATGTGGTATCCTGAATATGTACCCATTGTCATTAAAGATTAAATGTCGTGTGTAACAAAATTCTAAAACAATTCAAAAATGTGACTATAAATTCTTTAATAATTTACAAGTTGTTAAGGCCCAACAACTCGGCTACTCTTCGACCATAATCCTTATCGGCCTTATAGAAGAGTTGCAATTGTCTCAATTGGATTTCTTTCTTGGCATTCTTCAAGTGCAAAGCAATGTTGTGAACAAGTCTTGAACGATCATATTCAGTCATGACATCACGGTAGAGAGCTCCAGCTTGAGCAAAGTCATCGTTTGGATGGTTTGGCTTTGAGCGAGTAATGACACCAGAAACCTTAATTGGATGTTCAATCAATTGCTTGGCTTCATATGGTCCACCGAATGAGTTTGGTTCATAGTTTGGAGCACTACCACCATTTCCATTCACACTCATAAAGCCATCTCTGAATTGAGTATTCAACTTGGCCTTAAGTGGAGCATTGATTGGAATTTGAGCATAGTTTGGTCCCAATCTATGTCTGTGTGTATCTGGATAGGAGAAGAGTCTTCCTTGAAGCATCTTATCCAATGATGGTTCAATACCAGGAACTAAATTAGATGGTGAGAATGCAGATTGTTCAGTTTCAGCAAAGTAATTGTTTGGATTACGATTCAAAACCATTCTACCAACTGGAATGAGTGGATAGTCCTTGTGTGGCCAAACTTTGGTGATATCAAAGACGTCCCACTTGTACTTGGCAGCATCTTCGAGAGGCATAATTTGGAAGTAAACTTTCCATGCAGGGAATGTTCCTTGCTTAATTGAATTGAACAAATCACGAGTAGCATGATCTGGATCTTCACCAGCCAAACGAACAGCTTCCTCGACTGTCAAGTTCTTAATTCCTTGTTCAGTCTTGAAGTGAATCTTACACCAAAAACCTTCACCTTGTTGATTGACCAACTTGAAGGTGTGACCACTGTATCCGTTCATGTGACGATAAGAGAATGGAGTACCTCTGTCACTGAACAAGACTGTTACTTGATGGATGGATTCTGGAGTCAAACTCAAAAAGTCCCAGAATGCATCAGGATCCTTCAAGTTGGATTGTGGATTTCTCTTTTGAGTGTGAATAAAATCTGGGAATTTAATGGTGTCACGAATGAAGAACACTGGAGTATTGTTACCAACAAAATCATAGTTTCCTTCTTCAGTGTAGAACTTGACAGCAAATCTAAAGTTGTCATGATCGATTCGAAACATTCAAACATCCATCAGTAGTAATCATTCATTCATGGTTGGACAATGTAAGTGGACAAAAAAGAATTTATCATTAACAAAAACCAAGTCTTGTTCAAAACTTACCCTCTTGGATCTCTCTCAGAGTCAGCACTTCCCTTCTCACCACCGACAGTGGAGAAACGAGTAAAAACTGGAGTTCTCTTACCAACACGATTCAAGAAAGCAGCTTTGGTGAATCTAGTAACATCATGAGTGACTTCAAAGTAACCATGAGCACCAGCACCCTTTGCGTGAACAACTCTTTCTGGAATTCTATTAAAATGTTCATCGAAAAGGTAGCAATAAGAATCACATTGAATTTAGCAGTCATAACGAGAAGAAGGAGTTTTGGATGAACATCAGATGAAAAGTTGTTGTTTTTGATCACCAAGATGAAACGGAAAAAAGTAATTAAACAATCCATCATTGAAAATGCAAAACATGATTATAAAACAACAAACCTTTCACGATCAAAGTGAGCCAACTTGCTGATCAAATAAGTATCTTGCAAGAGGATTGGACCTTGATGACCAGCAGTGAGAGAGTTGTTGTTGTCGGCAACTGGGTGGCCAAATTCATCAGTCAAAGTGCTGTAGGAGTTTTTCATGATTGGGATCAGTATACGATGTGTTGGAAGAGGGTTAAAATTTCAACCAACGAAGAGATTGGACAAAAGATGGATTGAGAGTATTATTAGCATGTGTGTGAGAGAGAAATCATGATCAAGAAATGATGCATTCTCACGGAAAATACGTACCTGTTGTAGTCGTAATTGTAGTTGGACATTTTTTTTGAAGGAGTTTTTTGTTGTTTTCGCCTTCACGATTGGAAGAAACGAAACGGAGAATATTGTGTTGTAAAGTTGGGTTCTTGTTGATTGGTGGCTCTTTTTGGATCATCACTCAAACACAACCACAGTTTCGTTAAAGAGACGAAAAACTGAGAGGAAATTCGCATCCAATTTTCTAAGTTTATTCGTACTTTCAACAAGAAAGTTTCTTTGACCACGTTGCCATTGTACAAAGGAAGTTGATTCTCAACAGAGAATGTCACCTAGATCCTCCTCGTTAAAAAAGTTTCAACAAATCCTGGAACTATCTTGAATCCATCAGAGGTGGTCGATGGAGGGACCACCCTCCAGTTTATTCATTTGTACATTAAATAAATTATTTAAGCTGTCCAAAAATTTACAGATGGTTGGAAATTTGTTGTTGTACAGCCGAGCGTGGTTTTGGTAAATCAGATTTCGAGATTTCTGTCCTAGAATGTCGGCCTTTTGTATTTGAAGTGCTTGTTGATGAGGTGTCAGATTTTCGTTTCTTTGAATTTTGATGAGCATTTTCACAATCCGGACACACATAAGTACTAATAGAATTTGCTTGGTATTTCTTCAAGCCTACACATCTTCCATGGAACCATCTATTTTGAATATGTGAGTCAATAAAAGATGTAAACACAATATCAAGTACTTACTTATCACAACGATCACAAGCGATCATCCATCCATATGAAGCTGGTCTGTTACACTTGCAATATAACGTTTCATCCTCGCTCGAATCCTCATCAGAGTCATTTTCCTCGTCGTCGCTGGCAGAATTTTCATCTTCACTCTCCTCTTTCTTTTTTCTGTCTCTGTTGATGAATTGACGTTTCTTCTTGGATTTTGGCGACGAATCAGAGTTGTTAGAGTGGTTATGACCATTGCTGATGGTAATGGTACCATTCCTTTTTGATCCTGAATCCTCGGGTGATGAATGATGGGTTGACGAGGAGGCATTGGTTGTGGTAGACTCGTTAGATGGGGATGTGGAAGAAAATGGTTGATGCTGTAATGATGCTAGGGCATCAATGGTTGATGATATGATATTTGAAGTAGTTTCTGATGTGGGATTATTTTGTTGGTGGGGATCTTCTTTGATTGCGAAGCTAGTTGGAGAGGTATTTGTGTTGGTAGAATCATTGGTAGGAGTAGTAATGGTGTTTGTAGTGGTGGAGGTGGTTGGAAACAAGATTGTGGAAGGAAAGTCTGAACGTTCTGAATTACTTGTTACCGTGGTTGGAGACATCTTTGATGGTGTATAGAGTCTCTTTTTGAATGGAACACTTTTCATTTGTTCCATGGTAGTATATTCGTGAATCATCTTGTATGGTGGTGGAGTGGTGGGGTGTGGTTGTTGGTAATATTAGTGTTGTAGCAAAATAGGAATATAATGAAGGTGGTAGATATGAAGTTGTCAATGAGACTGGACGTATTATGTGGCTGTGCAGAGGGTTGGATGGGAGTTGATATGTTGATACTCTCGAGTGGGTACGAGTTTCGCTGGAGATGATGATACTTTGGATATTTGCAATTTGAACGGAAGTAAATATTTTCTTCAGTAGGTGGTGTCGTGATGATAATGGCGGTTTGGACTTGTAAATATTCTTCCGTATGTTTCTCTAATTCATAGAAGGACGTGAGGAGGGTCTTGATCTTTGATGTAGGACGATCCTTGTAAGTCCTTTGTTGATGGTAATATACTATGAATTATTTGGTTATGTGGTTGTGCACACCAGAGTTGGTACTTGTATAGAGGAGCAGCAGTAGTAGCGAGTGGTGAGGGTCTTCGAGCAAGAAGCAGAAGGGCTTCGGCTTTGCGGAGTGTTGACACGTTTGTTGGGAGAGCAGAATATTTTTTTCTATGCGAAAGTGTGTGGCGAGAGAGTTGATTGCTTGCGAGGATGGGTTACAATGCGCAGCTTGCTATTTTTGAATCCCTAGTCTGTTGGCGCCTAAAATTGCCACTTGCACAAACATGGGGAAGATACAAACTTGCTCTTGTGGAGATTCTCTCAAGGGTGATGTTGTGGAGTGCTTGCAAATTCTCTGTTTCCGGTTTTATGTTTGATTTGATGACCATCCATTCATGAAAGAGATTGCATTGGTGTGGGGTGAATTAGTTGTTTGATGGCTTGTGAGAGTACGGTCAAACAATTCATATGACGCACGCCACAATAATTGTATCACTGTCTGGATACTTTTCTCGTCTGTCAGTGATAACGTTGTTCTTCCTTCTGCCTTTTATCGATAGTTTTCTTGGTTACTGTCGTGAATTTCAAGGGACAAAAGGCTTTTTCTCAGTCCTTTGTGTTGGTTGTTTCGGGGTTCAGTTGCTACAGTCAAAAACGACAGGACAACCTACGTTACTCTCGCAAGAAGAACACTTCGACCGGGACTGTTGGGATTCGGATTGTAGCTGCCCAGTATTACGCCAGCGTTTTGCTGGCTCATCGTGCATCAATCCGTGTTTTTGGCTCTCCGCGTGCACCAAAACGGAATTGCTCCTCATTTTTTCGATCACCAACATTGATTCGCGAGACGAAGGTTTTGGCCAAACGGAAGAGAGTGTGTTGCGAAATATGCCATACCAGGTTTCAATGAGATTGGATGGATTGAAACCATGACACTACCTGAAGTGGTATTTTTTATGGTGGGGGTGGAAGCAACATGTTGGTCGTTTACAACAATAAGTACCAGAGAGAGTTGGTGGATGGAAAGAGAGTTTCAACGCCCACGGAAATGACATTCACTCGAGAGTGAGTGGTGGAACGGAAAACTCGATCGCATGATGTAGAAGGAAAAGGAATTGATGTTATTTTTTCGTTCGTGCGCAGAAAGATGACTTTGAACTCTTCATCAAGCAATTGAAGTATCCAGAGAAGACAGAGAAGAAATCCATGTCTTTTTGAGAGATGAAATCTGGACAGATGTCTTTTGAGCCTAACCTAACGCGACAAAGAGAATTGGACAAGATTTCAAGTATTCCGAATTTAATTGCTTTTTGGATTTGAAATACACCAATATTGCAGAATGAGTCTCTTGCCAAATAATTAAAGGACGATCTTTCTTTTCATACATTCCATAATATTATGGAGCGTTTATTTCAGTTAGAGAAATTAATTTCAATTCGCCAGCGGACTCACTGTGACTTGGGGGTTCATAAATCTTGGCCTCCATCACTCGCATGGTCTTATCCTTGAGAGATTCCAAATGCATGCCAACAAAGTAATTCACTCCATTCACCACTTGTTTTTCAACATGAAGGATTTTTCTAATGATAAGAAGTCCTCCATTCTCTCCTTCTGCCAATCTCTTGCTAAGGAAATTCACAAGTTCGACAATCTTTAAAAAGTTTCTTTCAGGATGTCTTCCTCCAGGAACGAATTTTGCTTCGTCTTTTTCTTCTTGAACAACTGGTATTGTTGTTGAAGAATCAGAATCTGTCTTTTCAATCAAGGAAACAATTCTGAATTCATGAGGTAAGTAATTGGGAGTTTCATAAATTCTTGCTTCGAAAATTCGTTCATTCTTGTTTTCATCATTGTTGAAGATTAAATGCAAGGTGATGAAATAATTCATGCCATTCACGATTTGTCTCTCCACACGAGCGACCTTTTGAATGGTGGCTTGATACTGAGATTCGCTTAACTTGGAGCCTAAGAATTGAAGCAGATCAGCGATCTTCTTTCTGTCAGTTTCATTGGATTTTCCTCCAGGAACGTTTCTGAGAGATAATTGTTCGCTTGACGCAATCAAGAGAACCAATATTAAGAGAAGGGTTGAGAGAAGTGTCACGGCAATGTTTCGATTCATTTTGTTGTTTTTGTTGGGTTGATGTTGATGGAGTTTCAAATTCAAATTTAGCAAATTTTAAGTGCTGTCAGTTTCAGGTTCATAAGAGGAAGGCACTCAAAAACAGTGCAATTCAAAAACAAAAATGTACCAAATGAGAGTTGGCATCGAAATTGGCATATTTTAAACCATTTCTCTTTCTATTGGTTGACCTCTCTTTATACAACGAAGATTACAACTATGTTAAGGTAAAATAAATTCATAAAAAGTTAGGCTGAAGCAGCAGCTTCAGTTTCTGTTGGGAGTGATTGTTGCGATGTTGTGGTAGTGGGATTCGACTCTGTGGTTGATTCCAAGCTGGATTCTTCTTGCTCGTCTTCCAAAATATCTTGAGCCATTGTTTCAAATAAATTGACGTCTTTTTCTTCGTCATTAATAGTGGTTTCTGGAATGCAATAGATGGTATCACTTTCAGTTTCTTGCTTTGGAGTAAATCCATCCAGTTTGCACAAATGATTCGAGTAAAATTTAAGAGAATAGGCACATGTGCTTGGTTCTTCAATATCTCCAATAAAGTGAGCATGTACATCATGTGAAATTGTGTTTGTGAGCTGTCTCCTCTTCAAATCAGTGGCACAATACATTCTCACCTCGATCGTTCTTGGTTGATGAGTAAGATCACAAGGAGTACCTTTGTCGAAAGGAATAGAGACATAGCTTTCTTCTGGATGAATTTCGTTAAAATGTACATCAAAGTTTTTGATTGATTTTGGATCATTTTTGACATCAGGATGTTCCTTTGAGTAACCCAAGAAAAATTCCATAGTCACAGCTTGTTGTTCTTGATGAAATTGTCTGACATGCTTATTGAAACAAAATTCATAGATCCACCATCCAGCAACTCTAAAATAGCATGCTTGATTGAATTTTGGGAATATTGATTGCAGAACCTCTTGTTTAATTCTTTCTTTTTTAGCTTGCAACGATTCAGTTTGTGATTCTGTTTCAATGTTATTTTTCTTGATAGGAACATGACATCTATGTAATTCATTTTCAAATGTCATGTATACAATTTGGCTATTCTTTTCAATCTCATCCAAAATTTTAACATCTTCAGTAAATTTAATTTTATATTTGGGAGACGAATCCGACATTAAATCATGAGCACTCCGTTCCGATATTACAAAATTATTCATTCCTAAAATTATAGCAAATATCATTGTGATGGCAACAATTAAAAGCCTTTCTCTCCGACGAGAGTAGAAGCCAAATGAAAAACAAGAAGAAGCCATCATCACTTTTTGCATTTTTTTGATTTTGTTTGACAGGATGAATAATATCAAATTCTGAAACACGTGTTCATTTTATTTCATTAATAGTATTATCAATAATGAATGAATCAAGAACAAAATCGTGGGAGTACCTCGGTATAAACACAGTTCAGTTGAATAATATTATATTTTCCCGAATCAAACACCATTACAAAAAAATGAGTAAATTCAACCGAACGAAAAACACTCCAAGTCGAGAGGAATATGGCGAGACAACGAGTCTTCTTTCTGCTCAGTATAGCAGTAGTAGCTCGGGTGGAAGTGTTAGATCTAATAAATATGATGGTTTAGATCAGGATCATCATGGTTTTGCTGCGGAGGATGATGCTACCTCATCTCCGAATTTTTCTTCTCCAATGCAGCAAGCTTCAATTAACCATGATCCTCACGAACAATTACTTTCGGATTCTAAGGAATTAAAGTCAACAAAAAAAAGTGGAATATTTACTCGACTATTTTCGAGAAATGTAAATGATGTAAAAAAAGAAAATTATTTTGAAGAGAAAGAAGAAAGAGAGGCGACTAAACAAGTAATAACGCAGGTCTCATTACAGGAAAAGGTTCATGGCCTGATTATTGATCTTTCATATGCACTGGGTATTTTTGGTGTACCCTCACATCGATTAGAAATGCATTTAAAAACTTTGCTAGGATACTTTCCGTATGAAAAGTGTCAATTTAGATACTCTCCAACTAGTCTTTGGTTTTGTTTTACCCCCAATTTTAAAAACACAGAATACAATGAGCAGGATGGAATCATTTCGCATGACAGAGAAGAATATTTATCTCAATCAAAATTTTATGTGGTGAAGCTAGATGAGTATGACTTGGAAGACATGGATCTGATAAAGTTGTGTGAATTAGATCAACTGGCAAGTGAGATACCAGGTTTAATTGAAATGACAGACAATAGTCCTGAGGCTCTTGTCACTCTTATTGATGATTTAAGAGACAAAATAAGAACCATTATTTCGAGGTATTCACTTTGGAAAACGTCAATACAGCTCTACATTGCGAATGTCATTTCTTCCAGGTATGTTAACAGTTGTAACATAATGCTTATTGAATTGCACATGTAAATTTTAGCGCGTGGGTTTTATATTATGATGGTTCTTGGATGGAAGTACTATGTGGATTTATAGTGGGTCTCGCAACAGGAGTTTTCACAGTCATATCCGAAAAATATCCATCCTTCAATAGAGTTAATCCATTTGTCTCGGCAATTGTTGCAGGAACAGTTGCATCTCTCATGAAGGTTATATTTTCTAAATTAATGAGCGACGAAGATAGAGGAAAATATCCGTTTTCTGTATTTCTTGTCACATTATGTGCATTATTCGGCTTACTTCCACACGTGAGTTTTACCAATGGAATTTCAGGTTAGTACTATTCCCAAACAAATTGTTAATAACGACTTTACATTCCAACTGCAAAGAATTGGCAACTAAAAATTTAGTCTCAGGAAGTACAAGAGTTTTCTATGCATTTGTGTTAATTTTACAGGTATGTTTGTCTCTTCACTGCTTTCATTCACACGTGAACTATTTCACGAATAGATGGGATTTGGTATTGTCGTGGCGGATAAAATAAGTTATTTATTCAACATTTCAATGCTTCAAGAAAAGTATTTTAAAGATGGAGCTGATGGAAGAGAGGAGTTACCCTTGTGGCTAGGATGTGTTTGTTTGCCCTCCATAATTTTAGGAAATTATTTAGATTACAAATTACCAATAGTATTTAGAAATCCCAATGCAGAACAGCATCTGTATAACGAAACCGATCGATTTCGAACCTTATCAGGATTTTATCACTTTGTGGTTAGAAAAATTCTTAGCATTCACTTGCCAACATTTGCATTTATAGTATTCGCTTCCTATGCTGTTTATATAGTCACAACAGTGTCTGATGACTATGTTGGCGAGGAAATGTCATGCTTACTGGGAGCATTTTTCGGTACGTTGTTCATGACATGTTGCATTTTTGAACAACAATTTCTGAACTGTGAAACTGTTATCAACACTAGGTGGAATTATTGCGAATATTTACGCATATATTTCGAATAGACCAGAATTAGTTGTCTCTATCAAGTAAGTTGTAAATTTGAGTGATGTAAAATGTTCACATCATCGATCTAGTGTCCTGGACTTGTTGGTTCCAAGTACCTATGGTGTCACTGGAATTGCAAAGTTTTATAATAGAGGCCAAGATGATGAATTGCAGTCAGGTGTGAAATTTATTGCAGACTTGTTGGTTATTCATCTTTCTCTATCAATTGGATTGCTACTAGCAGATCTTGTTTCTCCAAAACAGAAATCAAAAAATGGAGCATTCACAATCGTCTAGAAATGACCATCAAACTGTGACCAATAAAGCTCCAATTTAACACAAAGTCAACTAGTTGTGTTTATTTTCAACTCTCATCAACACTTGAGATTACCAAATTGTATGGGAATTGGCCTAAAAGAGAATGCGCAAGAAAAAAAATGAAACGAAATAGCGAAATAGCCTTGCATCCTCAAGCTCTCAAGAAGGGAGAAATAAACGGCCATTCGTGGGATCAAGCAACAACAACAACATTTACATCATTAAATGTTGAAACTGTGAGATTTGGAGTTTTAGTGGAAAATAATTCCGATATGGACATTATTGCTAACTTTGAAGCGGATAATGTGGCTCTTAATGGCATGTCGATTGTGGTCTTACACAGAAAAAGCAAAATTGCTGCACATGTAAGACATGATGGCTACATACAGCCTGTCACCATAAGAAAAAACCAGTTGGCTGATGATGTATCTGAGGTGATTCAAAAAGACGACTTGAGTAAAATTGGAACTATTAATGTCAAAGTACAGAGCAAAAAGAGGCCAAACAGTTCAGGCATCGCAACCAAAACATGGCTCAAGCGCTCCTCTTAACAATAAGGAATCTATGACTAAGGAAGGAGCTCTTTCAGTGGGATTTGGCGAACGAAGGCCAATCACTGTTGTACCTGGCACCACGTCCACATCCTACGACCGCCACGAATTGATCAAAACATTTGATATCAAGTATCGTAACTACATTGGATTTTTGTGGTTGCTGACTCAAAACGGAATTACCATAGAAGAGTCAAAGACACAATATGAATCGAACAAATCTCGAGAGGTAACTTCCAAAGAGCAGAAGGTTATTGAAATTAGTGATGAAGAAACTTCAGACAATGAAGAAAATGAAACAACAACACCCACGAATGTTGCCATTCCTTGTGTTACCCATTCAAAAGTCAAACAATTATGGATAAAGTGAAAGGTGTGTCACAACGAGTTGTAGAACAAAAGAGCGTGGATGAATTGTTGAGATTTATCAAGTTGATCGATGAAAATTTATATCACAATGTCGAACCAACATTCAAAAAGGAAAATATTTATGGAGTTGCCTTTGTCAGCCTTACCCAAAGCGACCTTAAAGACATGAAAGTGAGCATTGGAGATATGATAAAAGTGAAGCAAATTCTTCAGCAACTTACAGAAAACAATTAACTATAGAGAGTAAATGTGAGTGAGGAACAAGTTGTGTGAATGATTTCAGGAAGCAGATCATGTTGGAACCATCAAGGAACTTTAAATTTGAAAAAAAACAAATGTGTGACTACCAGTGCATCGTCATGGACAATGGAAGCTTCATGACCAAAGCCGGATTCGCTGGAGACCCATCTCCTCTTTGTGTCTTTCCAACCATTGTCGGAAGACCTCTCCAACAACGATCGAACATGTCGTATGGAATGAAAAAAACACCTTGCTTTGTTGGAGATGAACCAAGTCGAAAGGGTCCGGTACAATGGGATTGTCCTCTTTCTCGTGGCGTTATTCACAATTTCCAAGATATGGAAATCATTTGGCGACACACCTTTGTCAACGAGTTACGAGTGGAAGATCCGTTTGTGGTGCTTCTCTCCGAAACTCCTCTCCATCCAAAAGCGAATCGAGAGAAAACCACTCAAATCATGTTCGAGTCCTTTCAGGTGAGAGCTCTCTTTGTTTGCAATCAGGCTGTTCTTGCATTGTTTGCACATTCGGGACGGACCACAGGAATGGTGTTAGATTCCGGAGAGAGTGTTTCCCATTCCGTTCCGGTCTATGAAGGTCATGCTTTGAAACATGCCGTGACACGAGTGGAGATGGGTGGCAATGAGGTGACTCTTCAGTTATGCAAGTTATTAGGGGAACGAGGTTTTTCCTTTCGAACCAGTGGTGTAGAAAAGGAACTTGTGAGGGAAATCAAGCAAAAATTGTGTGATGTGATGCCCTCCTTGTTGGATTTTGAATTGGAAATGAAGAAGCACGACAAGGAGGACAGTTTCATTTCAAATAATCCTCGTTCAACAATGGGAAAATCATATGAATTACCGGATGGAAGAATTCTCACGATTGGAAGTGAAAGATTTCGTTGCACTGAAATATTATTTCAACCTTCTCTCTTGGATTCAGAAATGGTGAGTGAAAAAAGCTGCAGTTCACCTGAAGGTTTGCATGAAGCCCTTGTTCATTCCATTTCCAAATGTGATCTTGAATGTAGAAGAGAGTTCTATTCGAATATCATCTTATCTGGTGGAAATACACTGTTTCCAGGAATGCCAGAGAGAATACGGCAAGAATTGGTTCAAATGGCTCCTCCTTCCATGCAGATTGAGGTGGTGGCTTCACCGGAGAGGAAATACTCTGTGTGGATAGGAGGATCCATGTTGGCTTCCATGACGACTTGTTTTAAAAGCACCACATGCATGTGGAAGGAAGAATATGACGAAATTGGACCCTCACTCGTTCATCGAAAATGTTTTTAATTGATCATTAAGGTTGACTGAGTTTTGTCATCCTCATGGGACCGCTGGTTACATTTGGATCCATGGGTTGCCCCTTCAAGAATAAGAGAATTCATTCCTTTCCATCTAAATATCCTCTTCATGATTAAGAAGGGAAAATAGTTTCACCTCTGTCACGATTCTAAAAGGAATTGTAGTTTTGAATTTTGGTTGCAACTTCCATTCTGTGTGAGTCATTTATTGTCCCGATTTATTGGATAACCGTTTTTGAAGGTGATATCCGCGCCCTTCAATCGTGTATTAATAAAGAATAATTTATATTCTTAGAAATGGTTCATTCAATTCCATTGTACAAATTTATCGGATTTCTCCTTCTAGAATTCCTTTAAATCGCAAACATTTCACCTCAAAGATTTCTCACCACCAAACAAAAAATTCATTATCACGAAATGAACCACAACAGTCGCAATCACCATCTTGTAGTCGCTTGTTGTCTAATTTCATTGGCTGTTCTTTACTGTTCTTTAGTTTTTGCTCAAGATATCACATTGCCCTTGACTTTCAATGTCAATGCTCATCGCTTCAATTCTTCCTTGACCGTTCGAGGTACTGGAACTGTTAAAATTCCGGTCACTCAAGCTGATATTACCCTCTCTGTGGAGGCCCAAAGACCAACTGCCACAGAAGCTCAACGAGTCGTGGGAGACTCTTCAGCTCGTGTCGTTCAAACCTTGCAACAAATGGATTATGTTTTCAAATTGAGAACATCATCCATTTCATTGTTTCCTGTGTACACCTATAACGAAAGCTCAAAGGAGAGTTATGTGAGTGGTTATCGTTCATCAAATACAGTTTCCTTCTCTCTGAGTGAGTTGAGAAATACTGGTGCCGTGTTGGACAAATTAGTCGAGTTAGGTGTCACCACCATTAGTGCCATGAATTTGGTGGCGAATGAAACACAAATAGCTCAAGCACGTAATAAGGCAAACGAGTTGGCCGTGCAGGATGCGATGGCCAAGGCAAGTCGAGTGTTGAGTGCCATCTATGATGCTGCTTCGATGGATATCTTGAAACAACGATTGGAAATTACAGAAGTGAATATTGAAGGAAGTGCTCCTGTTGCTTTACCAGTCCCAATGTACAGCGCAGCAGGAGGTGATAACAGCAAGTTTGTGGCATCTTCAGCAATACCTGTGGTTGGAGGAGATCAAACAGTAGAGTCCTACGTTTCACTTAAATTGCAATATTAAGACAAAGTTTTGGTGAACATGTTTCTTGCTGAGAGATAGCAGTGTTTGTGTGAAGTGCCACTCAAGGGGTTTCCGTCTCGACACAACTCTTTTTTAAAATTTTGCGGATTTGGAATGTCACCTTGATGAGAGGAAAGTGAACGCGAGTAAAGAGTAAATGTTTAAAGTTAAATCAGAGCCGTTTAAATTTTCTCATCGACAAAATTACAAAGGAATATTGGCCAATTTCTTTTGTGGATTTTCCTTCTTCTTTGTCCTCAAAACTTCTAAATCTTCAATAATTCTTTGTCTGGTTTCGTGTGGCTTGATCACATCATCCAAGAATCCACGTTCAGCAGCAAGAAGTGGAGTAGCAAACTTGGAACGATAATAATCTTCACGTTCCTTTTGGTTTTCACCTTCAATACCCTTAATAATTTTAACAGCTCCTTCAGGACCCATAACAGCAATATTGGCTGTAGCCCAAGCATAATTATAGTCACCTCTCAAATGTTTTGAACTCATCACATCGTAAGCACCACCGTATGCCTTTCTAGTAATGACAGTAATCTTTGGAACTGTAGCCTCAGCATAGGCGAACAAAAGCTTGGCACCGTGACGAATAATACCACCATATTCTTGGGCTGTACCAGGCAAGAAACCAGGAACATCAACGAATGTAACAATTGGAATATTGAAAGCATTAGCAAATCTAACAAAACGAGCAGCCTTAACTGATGAGTTAATATCCAAAACACCAGCTAATTCACATGGTTGGTTTGCAATAATAGCAACAGTCTCACCATTCATACGAGCAAAACCGGTAATAATATTCTTAGCATAATCTGGCATAATTTCAAAGAATTCATGGTCATCCACAATTGGTTTGATGACACCAGTGAGCATGTTATATGGTGCGTTGGTATCTGCTGGAATTGCATGATCCAAACTATAGTCCTTACGATCAACTGGATCTGTTGGAGTTAAGAGTCTGCTTTGTGCGTTGTCTCTATTACTAGAAGGTAATAAATTAATGAATTCTCTGGTAAATCTAATCAATTCAATATCGTTATCAAATGCACGATGAGCAACACCGCTTACTTGAGTGTGAGTGGTGGCTCCTCCCAATTGTTCACTGGTAACAGTTTCACGAGTGACTGAGTGAACGACATCGGGACCAGTAACAAACATGTAACTGGTGTTACGAACCATGAAAATAAAGTCTGTCATTGCAGGACTGTAAACGGCACCACCAGCACAAGGACCACAAATCAATGAAATTTGAGGAATGACACCACTAGCATTCACATTACGTTGGAAAACTTCAGCATAACCAGCCAAACTGGCAACTCCTTCTTGAATTCTGGCACCACCACTGTCATTGATACCAATAACTGGAGCACCAACTTCCATAGCCTTGTCCATAATCTTACAAATCTTTTGGGCATGTGTTTCAGAAAGAGAACCACCGAATACCGTAAAGTCTTGAGAGAAAACGAACACTAATCTTCCATTGATTGTACCATGACCAGTAACCACACCATCACCTGCAGGTCTGTCCTTTTCCATTCCGAAATCAGTACATCTATGTCTAACAAAAGCATCATATTCTCTGAACGAGCCTTCATCCAAAAGAAGATCAATACGTTCTCTTGCTGTGAGCTTTCCTTTTTGATGTTGCTTTTCAATTCTCTCCAATCCACCTCCTAATTTTGCTTCCTTCTTCACTGCATCAACTTTTTCTTGAAGACTACGAAGAATGTCTGATGGTGATTTTCTATCCGGAAGATCCATCACGCCAGAAGTATCAATAACGGTTGGACCTTTATTACCGAGGCATCCTCTCAATTGTGTTGAGAAGTTAACCTTTTGAGTTTGACCCATCATTCCAGTACATAATGAAGAAGAAGAGGTCGATGATGATGACGATGTTTTTTGGATGAGAGGAAGAAATCTTCTTGATGATGAGGAGGCTTGCCTGAGAAACATTTTTTTGTTGCGTCGTTCGCTTTTGAAAAATTCAGTGGCTTTGATGGCCTCGACTTTACAAAATGGAGACCGCATCTGCATGCAAATTGATTGAAAAACAATGAAAGATCAGAGCGAGAGCAGTAAAATCAAGGACTCTGCGAATGACGATTTCAATAACTCTTGGATTTGTCCTTGTGGATAAAGAATTATCCTAATTGTTTCATGTTCACAAAAAATTGTGTTCTTTCTTTCAGTAGCGAAACAACAAAACATTGCTTTGATGGTTCATTATATCAAGTATATTTGGAGTGAGGAGTTTATGAATGCTTGTTCTTTATTACCGGCCTATAATAGACATTCGGAACAAAGTTATTGCAATGATGATGGTTGTGGGAGCTCATCGGAGCAAGAGGATGATGGATTTCCCTCTCGTTCCCAATTCATCCACGAATTAATTCAAGCCTTTAAGATTTTTCAACCCAAAGATGGTTTAAAACTTGAGAATGATGATGGAGAGAATGATGAAACTCACAAATCACAAACTAATTTATCTAATTTATCGCCCATTAATAATAACATGAACAACCGAGCGGATATTGAAATCGTTGAACCCGAGAAGGCTTTGCTTCATGAGCTGGAACTTTTTCATTCAAGAGACTATTTAAAAACCATCTTTAAAATCGACAAGTTTTTGAGGAGAAATGAAAAATCAAAACCGTCATCATCAGATGAATATGAAACCAATGATGAGTTGATGAATGATAGTGAAAATGAGTCTTCTGACTCCTCGAGTGATGATAAAGACGATGAGGAGGAAATTAAAGAGCTCCGAAAAAAGTTTGGCCTTGTCGATGATGCTCACGATTTTCCAGGGATGGTAGGTACATGATGAAACACTGTAGTATTTATTGGCTTTATGTATTCATTCACATACATGAGCTTAATTACATTTTATGGCTTGGTGGATCATGCAAAACAATGGCGTCGATAGTTAACAAATTTTGTGCTGAAAATGTGGGCAAACAACATTCGCTCACTATATTCAACTGGGAAGGAGGTAGGCACCACGCACGAAAAGCAAGAGCTGCTGGTTTTTGTTATGTGAATGACATTGTTCTACTTGCTTTACAAATTAAGAGAAAACGCATTATGTGCATTGATGTAGACGTCCATCATGGAGATGGCACACAGGAAGCATTCTTTAATAGTGATCGAGTATTGACTATTTCATTTCATCAGTTTGGACCAGGTCTATATCCTGGAACTGGAGAGGTCAGTGAAACTGGCCAAGGCAGGTGAGTGTCAAATTAATGGATGTTGGAATTTGTGTATTGTTGATCAGAGGAAAAAATCGTAATATTAATGTACCTCTGAAGGAAGGTCTCACAGACGACATGTTTCAACCACTGTTTCAGAAAATAGTTTCCAAAGCTTATGAAAAGTTCAAACCTGATGTGGTTCTCTTGATTAATGGAGCAGACAATTTGAATGGAGACCCACTCGGCTCATGGAATTTATCAATTTCTAGCTTTCAATTTCTTTCTTCATTTGTTAGAAATGTGTTAAAACCTGAAATTACAATTATTCTTGGTGGAGGTAAGGAATTAATTAGATTTAAAAATCCAAATGATTGCCATGACATAAATTCTTACATGATTAGGAGGGTACAACTACATCAACACAGGTAAGAAGTGACTTGCTGGTTCAAGTTCTCAAACTGACCCACAGTTTCAGCAATTGCATATGCCACTGTTTCGAATGTATTCGTGAATAACAAATATTTACCAGAATCAATACCAGAACATCGCTACTTTGAATTTTACAAGAACAATGGTTTTTGTACGAACGTTTCGAGAGGTCATAGACAGAACATGAACACAGCTGAATACATTAAGCAAGTAGGAGATGACATTGGTGATGTGTTGGACAAATTGTCAGTTTAACTAAATTACTGAGACTGAAATGGAAATGGCAAGGTCATTCATTGCATTACAAGTACATTCAAACAAGCTCGCAAGCTGAATGTAAAATATTGAGTATTTTCAAAGTGATTATATTAAATCAATCACACCTATTGTCAAAAACAAAATATCAAAAGGCGAGGGTGGATTTTCGCCACCAATCGCTTCTGATTTTTGAGCAATTCGCGGTGTTAGAATTACACTACTTGCCTCAACGTTCTACATTACTTGATTGGGATTACGTGTTGAAACTTTTGAAACTTGCCTGCAACTTGTGGTTTCAGCAAATGTTGATCAATTTCATTTGACATTGAAACTTCACCAAAGCAGAACTTGTTTGTTGAAGATGTCCGAATAATCAGATCAATTTCTTTTTATTGAAACCACAAGAGATTGGGTGTAAGAACTTGAATCATTGAAATGAATAAAACAAGACGCTGACTGTGTGATTTTCGAAACAACAACCAAGAACACCAAGAATCGTCCTGATTTCTTGTCACTCACTGTTCATACAACCAAAGGTTGTAGCGGGAGAGTCGTCATATTCCTGACAGGCATCCCGTCCATATTCTTCTTAACATGTTAAGAAAAAGAAATGAATTTTCACTTTTATTACCAATCGCAACCTTAGAGTTCGCACCAAGTTCAATATTCACAAAGACTGTATGAACCGTGAGTGACAAAAGCTGAAGCCTTTGTTTGTTCTTTAACAGAAAATGTTGTTGAATTTGGTGTAGAGGTGGAATGATGAATTTATTCCAGTTGAATTGATGAAAATTTGTGCAGTGGAATGTGGTTCAGCAATACTGTCAGAATTTGAAAGTTCACATTCACTAAATGGCCTTTTTTGGACAAACAAACATCAAATTCTGAATGAATGAAACAGAAACCTGGTGAGAGCATATATTGTTTGCTCTCTTTCAGGTCAATTCAATGATAGCTCTTACTTTCGGAAAGTCTTATTTCTCATTTCCAAAGTATTATGAGAGGGTCGTGAAGAGAAGTAATGGTTGTTCATGACTTCTGATGCATCATGATCCTCACCATATTGGTACATCACGCGATAATTGAATTGTTTTCGTTGTCTTGTTCCTACGACAATATTATCCATGGAAATTTCGGAAGAGTAATTGTTGTATCCCTTGTTGCTTCTTGTGCAGACCATTTTGATTATGTTTTGTCGAGTTCAATGATTAGCTCTTTTCTTTGTTGTTGATTTCGTTCTTCATACATTTTCATCAAGAATTTATTTTTGAATGTCCTTCCAGTTTTGTTGAGAATTTCTAGCAGATTAAGGATTCCACAAAAAAATGGATGACAGCAAGCTCAATAAATAACCATCACTTTCAGCTCGGAAATTCATCAACAAACAAAAACAACAATTCAAGTAACAACTATTCACTAACAACATCATCATGGACTCTAGAACATCACCAAATTATTCCTCATCACGATCTAACACCACTGATGAGAAAATTCAAACAAAAACCGAATGGGTCCGATCCCAACCTATTGATATTACCAAACGATTACCAAATTTTGATATTGATCCACGCAATGTGGTGAGTGGAACCCGACGAAGAAAGAATTTGGATTATCATGTTTCTAATTTAACTGGAATGCAAGTCACTGTGAAACGATCCTCAAAGAATACTTTGGAAAAGAGGTCCATGTCTTCTTCTTCGAAAATTACAAAATCAAGAAAGATGAAAAAGTAAACGACCTTATATCACCCTAAATTTCTAATGGAAAGAATATCTCAATACAGTCAAGAGTTTCTTTGTTTTTATGAACGCCAAGAGTTCCCTTTTTGGATCTCACTTAATGACATGCATTTAATATTATTCGGCACGAAACACAATAAAAGAATGGTGTTAAGACATGAAAGAGATCGGTCAATTGTGCTCCACATGACTTCGAAAGTCAACATATATTGACTAAAATAGATGAAAAAAGGCTACAGCACTGCAGGTTCCCAAGTTGTCTCCAACCTCAGTACTGATGCAGCTCGACGATACTTAACTTCTCAAATCGGACGGGATGAGGTGCATTCATCGTGATATGGCCGTAGCCATTCGTTACTAAATAATGAATCTCAAAAATCATTTTGGGGAAAAGACTCCCTCCAAATATAAGCATCAAAAAGGCAAGGGTGAATTTTAGCCACCAATCGCTTCTGATCCATGAGCAGTTCGCGGTGTTAGAATTACACAACTTGCCTCAAAGTACAAGTCAGTTTGAATAGGATACCTGTTGAAACTTTTGAAACTTGCATTCAACTTGTGGTTTCAGAAAATAATACTATGCATTTTCCAGATATGAGGAGATCTGAAGGCTGACATTGAAACTTCACCAAAATTGACATGGTGGTGAATACTGGAATCAACATTTAGAGCTACTATGTCTGTAATTGAAAAAGTGTTTCGAAAAAATGTTCAAGCCACTTTCCTCCAAAGAACTTCTTTCTCACTATTTCGATGATTATGATGACGAAGAAGAGTACGAACATGTCGAGTTTGACGACCATTCTCTCCTCTCCGGAGTAATACAACCCGATTTCTTGAATTACCTCCAGAAATATTATTGAATGTGGTCGATTTTATATTTCCCTTTTTTTCAAGTCTCGAGACTGTACTTCATGGACAAGTGTTTGATTATGAAAATAAGAGAGAAACACATGAAGTGTTGCAACAAGTGTTATTACAAATGAGACATGTGTTTTTGGACATGTTGGAATCTGATATGAAATTGTATGGCCAAAAGTATAGTGTGGTTTTATCACTTGTATTTGAACGCTCCACATTTTGGATTTGTGAATTTTCAAATTTCACGTGGACTTACAAGTGAGAAATGTTTTTACATTAATCTGAATTCAAAATATTCATGGATTCGAATTATTATTTTTCATACAGATATCTTGACAGTCATTTGGAAGGAATTGATAAGTTTTTCAAATTTCTTCGACGCATGATTTTACATCAGTACTATTCTTATTTCAAACACCACAATCATGTCTCTATTGTGAGCGCTTCACATGATCGCGTCAAGAGAGACAAATTGCTTTCCAAAATGCATAGCCAATTCCAAGGACTCGTTTCAGATTTTTGTAAACTTCGTACCAAAGAGTATTACCAAAAAGTTGAAAAACTCGTTCAGTGGTTTTATTTGAAATCGGATTTATTCATGAACGAGTCTCAAAATTTTCCATTGAATTCCATTCCACAACTCTCTGCACTGTATCATCAAGTAGTGAATTTTTCACCTCTCCTTTTTCAACGTTTGTTGAAGAAACAAATTCCAAACAATTCCAAACTTTCACACAAAGAGAAAACTCATCTCATGGATCAATTGGAAACCTCAAAAGAAGAGCTTTTGGCAATCATTGTTTTCACTGTAATCTTTGTTTTAAGAACGTTTGATAACTCGTTTTGCAAGTTTCACTGTTTCGACAGATTTTATTCGACAACAAATTTTCAATAATTGAATGGCACAATAGACATTTTTTGTGGAATTTGCGACCTATGCGAGCTATATTATTTTGAAGGACAATCATGTTCGAGACAAGTTTAACATTTTCAGATTTCATGACTTTGAAATATATATAATATTGTTCTTTCAATCACACAAGCAAGGAATTTGTGTATCATTCTTTAGGATTTTATTCATCTTCAATTCATAATAAGAAATACACAATTTTGAATTCGATTGTTGGCCAATCCCAATTCCATTCTTAATTACCAGCCAATTTCATCGTTTGGACCCATGATTCTCTCTTGCTAATCTTTTCCCACCATGCTTTGACATGAGGACGTTCCAAAATCAAATGTCCAACATTGATATTAGGATGAAACAAGAAATTTCCATAAGGCAAGTGATTCAAATCGGCCAAAGTGAATTGATTCCCTCCAATGTAAGGTTGTTTAGCCAAAATCTTTTCATAGACATCCAACACGGAGGCGAGTTTTTCCTTGAGTTGTTGAACACGTGCATGATCGACTTCGCCCCATTTGAATAAATTCTTAAAAGACCAATTCAAAAGTCAATCCACTTGCTTGGGGATCAAAATAGGAGGTCTCAATGCTAGCACCTTGTTCGAAGAGAGCTTGCTTTTTTAAACCTTCGGTGCAGGTGCCACATGGAATCAATTCAGTGTCGTGGCCCTTAAATTTGGCCTCCAAATATCTGCAAATGGCACGAGATTCATAAACCAAAAAGCCGTCATCATCTTCAAGAACTGGTACAACTCCAAAAGGTTGCTTTTCAAGGAACGCAGTTTGTTTATGTTCGCCTTTGAACAAATCGAGAGGGATCAACTCAAAATCAACATTCTTTTCTTTGAGAGTAGCGACGACTACACGTTGAACACAGGTTGAATAATATGGACCATATAACTTGAGAACCATTCTAATGAGAGCTGAAGAATAAAGCTGATGAATATTTTCAATAACAGTGAAGTTATTATTTCTTTTTTGAAATGTCATGAGGTCCGATTTTTAAGAGCATTTTCCGTTGAGTGGTTGAGGAAACGGACCCGAAAGTGTTTCTCCTGGTTTGAGATTTTTGAAAGTGCGCATTCAATGTTTAAAAAATGCGCACTATCCACATCAAGAATGGCTGATGGGTCGTCTTACAACAGACCAGTCCACCCGCTCATGAGCGACGTAGGAATTTCAAATATGCATTCACTTAACATGATTTGAAAGATTAAAGAGATTTATTGATCTTCAGCACCTTCACCGTCCTCACCTTCACCCTCATGGGATTCAGTTCCGACTTCCTCATTGTCCTTCTCCAAGGCAGCCAAGTCTTCTCTGACTGCTTCTGAGAATTCACCTTCTTCCATACCTTCACCATGACATACCAGTGGACGAATGCTCTCTTAGCATACATCAATTCTTGAGAAGACTTCAGCAATAGCAGTCGAGTTGGAAATCATGCAGACAGCACGTTGAACCTTTGCCAAGTCACCTCCAGGAACAACAGTTGGTAGTTGATACCACACTTGAAACGAGTTGGTGACCAGTCAAACAAATTGAATGGTAAGAACAGTAATGAAAGTAATTCTACAAATTCAAGTGACAACATGATGACAAGTCACAAAAACGACGACGACGATGCGAATGCTTTTGCTCAACATCTCCAATCGAAATTGTTTTGTCCCATTCACTTTCTCATTCTTTCCTTTTTTGAGGCCATTTACAGTGATAGAGAGTGCATCAAAACCAACAAAGACTTTCCAGAGAGTACGAGCAATCTTGGAGAAAATATATTGTATGGAATTGGATGCACGACTGCCTTCTTTCTTTCTCCAAAAGATCAATCCAAGAATACATTACAAGTCTTTCTAAATATGTTATTCGAATTGAGACATCATGATAATAATTATTGTTTATTTAATAGAATGTTATACAATGCCATTAGCTATGATAAATATGGTAGATTTGGTATCGAGATTAAAACGAGCCTTTCACCGACAATTGTGACACGTATGAGAAAGTTGCTATTCAGCCATTAGTCCTCAAATGGAAAAGAAATGTATGGAAATGATAAGAAAATGTAACTTGCCTCAAATAATTATGAATGTCGATCGGCCTTTTGATACTCAAAGTGAAAACATTAAGGATGAATTGATAGCGTTATTTCGAGAGTGGAATTTGATTGTTGATCATCGAAGAATTAAGATTTAAATAGAGAGAGCATCAACAAAAGCAAAATACTAGGTTGCTTTATCAGTCTTAACCATCTAATCACTTGATTTTTGAGATTCATTATTTAGTAACGAATGGCTACGGCCATATCACGATGAATGCACCTCATCCCGTCCGATTTGAGAAGTTAAGCATCGTCGAGCTGCATCAGTACTGAGGTTGGAGACAACTTGGGAACCTGCAGTGCTGTAGCCTTTTTTCATCTATTTTAGTCAATATATGTTGACTTTCGAAGTCATGTGGAGCACAATTGACCGATCTCGTTCATGTCTTAACACCATTCTTTTATTGTGTTTCGTGCCGAATAATATTAAATGCATGTCATTAAGTGAGATCCAAAAAGGGAACTCTTGGCGTTCATAAAAACAACACAAAAAAACGGTTAAAGTTGGGAATTAACTTTTTCGATACTGCCAATGTTTATAAGTAAGTAGGAATGAATCAAATGGAATGATATAATGATGATACAATGAGTTCTTCTTGATCATTTCCACAAAATGTTTGTAAACGCTGTTGAAGAATCTTCACAACGATTAGGAAAAGATTGTAAGTAGAAAAAGTCTTTCTCTTGGGCTTCTTTTGATTTTCTTTTGAATTCGAAATATCGTTGATTGAAATATCAATTCACACACTCGAAAAAGTCGATGCGATCATCATGAAGGCGAGTTTCGGAGCTGCCAAGTCCTATTGTGGGAGTCGCAACATTGGAAAATGCGAATATTGCATTCCAAACTCGACTGGCACATTAAGAGAATCATCGATTTATTTATTTAGGTCACGGTTCTTTAGTGATGTGTGTGAACAGAGGCATTTCATCATCAGATGATTGATTCAGATCATTGCATTTTGTTTGAACGAATGTGCGTTTCCTTCTCTGGATAGAGTTCCAAGGTGGGAATCGTTCAAGGTTGTGGCAAAATATTTGGTGGATATGAATGATCTTGATGCTGAAAATTTGTATGGTGAAGATAGGCACCCTTTGACCGAAACAAATTTTCAATCACTGTACCACATAAAGAACATACTGGAAGACTTTGGGTTGATTCATCACATGAACTGAGCAACATTTCAGAGAATCAAACTGCTTGCCCATGTAGACAACCTTTAGAACCTGACGGCACTTACAAAGGAACAGAGACTTAAACACAAAATAATCCCTCCTTGGTCTTTTTGTATTAAAGTGAGTAGGATTAGAATTTATGTCTCATGGATCGTCCAATTTGTGAAGATTGGAGGTTGGAAATTTCATGTGAAATTTTTGTTCATTTCTTTAAAACATTTTTTGTTGTAAATGTACACCACGAAAGTGTCGTAAATCAACATTCTTGTCAAGATAATAAAATTTGTGGCATTTGCCAACGAAAAAGAACAACTGGAGGACTTGGATTTCTGACCATTTGGAAGATAACTCTTTAATGTGCCTAAATGGCATCACTATCAGGTCAATGAAGCCAGAGTGATGGATCTGGCCTTTAAAAAATGTCTGTTAGATGTCAAGGCTTTCATGATGGGCTTTGTGGCATATACAGTGTAACAAACGCTTTCAAACATTTAACCAAATGTAATCAGGAAGCTGAAATTGCTTTGTTCAAGAGAATGATCGATTCTGATTACTTCAAAAAATCCTGTATTTATGATGGTTTGTCCGTAAAGCAACTTGCAGATATCATCAATGATATACAACCCTATCTCACAGTTGGGGCGTATAAAGTAAGCATTCAACAAAAGAATCTTGACGTGGAACGATCTGACAGTTATTTTAAAACTCTCAAGAAATTGCTTGAAGAAAACGAGAACTCTGTTGCAATCATTGGTATTGAAGGAAAGATAAATCATTGGACAGTGGTTTATAACGTCACGGACGACCAAATGCAAGTAGCAGATTCTGGAGGGATGAAAGTTATCAATCGTACCTTCTGCATTGTTTCAAATAGAAACATTGACAACAAATACAATCTCATACCAAGTGAGGTATTCTTGGTTTCGAAAATGAAATAAAACAGAGTATAACACTTTTCCAAGCATGAAAGCATGTGGTCCTTCGGTTAATTTTGGTGTCCTTTTGCTCTATGAATTAGATAGACGTTCATTCTATTTCCTCGAGAAACTATCATCCACTACCAGTCAACGTTCTTCGTGAAGGTAGCTTGACTGGGCTGGGGTAGGTGATGAGATCATTTCAACTTTTTTCAAATTTGCAAGTGCTTGTAAGTGCTTTCTAGAGGATTTGCTTAACAAAAGCTTAACAAAAAATGATTCCACACGAACGATCACCATTCATCATTCACACACCAACAACTCCTCAAGATACGGATTATCCAACAACCAGCACTGCATCTACAACAGAATTATACAATGAAACCATCAACGAAATGAGTCGCGATGAGGATCCAATGGTAACATCTTCCTTGTCTATTGACGAGTCGTCAACGTTGGGTCTCACCAACACAACCAACATAATGACCGATGATCATTCCATGTCCTCCGTCAGGAAAAGTAAAATTGAATTATTCAATCATGATGAAATTTCGGAATGTCCTCCTCCAATTTCTGAATATGCTCCCGATGATTTTGAAACCAATATTTATAAACAAGAAATAATTAGAACTATGAGTAATCACTCAAATCTTCAATTGATCTCTATTGCAACTGGACAAAGCCTTTTCCGAACCAAATATAATCAATTAAGAAAGTTTTGTAAATTCACGGTTGAGATTCAAAAGCCTCTTCCTCCAGTTCCACCTGCAAAAGAACAATCGGGATTGTTAGGATCACTCAATGAAGAGGTATTTCTGAGAATACGAGCTCCACAACATTCTCATGATGAGGAAGAAGAACCCGAAGATGAACATGTGGAAGGTGGAGAAGGGGAAGATGATGACGATGATTATTGGATTGATGAACAACAGGAAGGCGACGATGAAACATTGGAAAGTGTTGTTGAAGAAACACAACGACAACAGCAACGACCAAGATTATTGCCAAGAAGAGCACCAATAGTCTTTTCATCACGACGTCATGAACCTTATCATCAACCGTTCCATCATTATGAAAACAGTGATGAGGAAGCAGAACATGAGGAAGAAGAAGAACGTTATACTTTTGAGGATAGTGAGGAAGAAGAGGATGAGCAAATGAGAGATCAAGAAATGTAAGATTTGAGGACTAATAATATTGTTAAGGTGAGAGAACTTTTTTGCAGGAAGAATGGTTACTGTTGGGAAGAGGAGCAAATAATCATCATCACCAACTCTTTCATTGTGGATTGACATGAGGAATGATTAAGATTATTGAAGGAACCGGTCATGAAAATAGTTATTTCAAAGATGACACCGAGTCGAGAAAATAGATCCCTTTAAAGGAGGAAATCATCAAAAATAGCAAATGAAGAAAAAAAGTATTGAGATTGATTCTGATTTCTTCTTTATCATAGTTCAATCCTTTACGACAAATTTTCATCAATTCAAATTTCAAACATCACCAATTTGCCACAACCAATATTTCTCATCATGATGGTTCAATATTTGCCTTTTAGCGGACTGTAGGACTCACTACCTCTCCATTCTCCAATCATCATTCCACGTTGTAAACACACTCCGCAAATGGACCACAAAAGAGCCTGAATGGCGGTTTTGCTTCTGTCAGCTGCCACTCCACACTTTGTCTCCACCAAAAAAATGAGATTTGTCACTTCCCTCGTCATTTTGGCTTTGATCGCCAGCGTTGCCTATGCTCAAACTCAAGTAAGTACTTGGCCTCATCCACCTTGTTTTTGTGATTGAATATTCTTTAAATCTTGGTCATCCACACAATCGTGTTTCTTGTTGAAATCTCATCCCATGTTGTCATCATCATCACGAACAACGTGGTAATTTATTTTTTCTTCCCATCGTGATGTGCGATCTCATCTACGACACTTATTGGTCATGATCATTACCCTCCCACTCGATGACATTCCATCATGACTCGCAATGGTTATCACATTGCTATCACATGACTCAAACTCTTTGTGAATAATGACAATGGTATCACTTCTTGTGTGATTTTTTTGATTGTTCACACACCACCACCAACAACAACAACAGCACTGTATCAGCAAGGCCTTTATCACTTCCTCAGTTGTTGTTGATGCCAGCAAGGCTTTTGATGATATCGAAAGAGTTTGGTACGATGCTACCACTAACAAGCAAGTAAGTATCAATTGTGTTTTGTTGTTGTTGTTGTATTCGAAATGTGAGTTTAACCCATAATTCACTTTTGTGTGAAACAAATTTCACTTTCTCTCTTTGTGTATGATAAAACTTCACTGAACAAACAACAGAGAACCGATATTGAAGCTTTCACTCCTGTCCGTAGAAGTGTTTCCCTCTACTTTAGACATGATTTGCAAAAGGGTTACGAATACAACAAGATCACTGGTGAATGCAAATCCTTCCCAATTGGTGGTACTTTGCAACCATTCTGTCTTGCTCAAAACGCTGTCTTGAACGGAACTGTCACCATTGGTGGATCTTTGAAGTGCACTGTCTGGAATGAAAACATCCGTGGATTCAACGTTAGATTGGTTTTGGCTCCAAACCCAAGCTTTGGTATTCCAGTTAACGTGATCACTAAGGGTGGAAGAGTCGGAACTGCCTTCCAAGAATTCTTCAACTTCCAAGCTTACTCTACTTTGCAAGATCAATCCGTCTTTGATATTCCAACTTCATGCAACCGTGCTACTAGATCTGCTGCTGAAGTTTCTGAACTTGCTTTGGATGTCATGGAAAGACATACTTGGTTGAATTAAATCTCGAGACATGATACATTCGATTTTGAAATACTTCAACAACTACATCACGAGATGCACGGTGTGATTGGTGAACATTTTCACCGGTAAACACTTTTTCAATAATAAACTTTGAGGTATTGGTCATCATTCAACAATAGAATTGTGGGTTGCTGACTCTTGGGTGTTTTCGGAATGGGTTCTCGAACAAGCATGCAACATGATCAAAATTCTTTTGGCAAGTGACTCTTGAAGAACGATGATTTGTTAATCGTGCATCATCATCAATTTCGAATACAACAAGTCTTTCTAGCTTCCGTTGTCGAGTAATTTTCAAAATCTCGAAAGTCCTTAATGCTCTCGAGTTATAATGAATGGAATTTCGTCATTAGGAATGCATTCACTAAAATTATTCATTGCATTCTTCTTTGAACATCTCCATACTAAATTCAAAATACACACCTCTCTTTTGGTTAACAAGTATTCTTCCCGTTGACGATGAAGAAAGCATACATGTATATCATGCAGGTATTTTTAAAGAACGAATTGTTTGCACGCTTGATATTACCTGAAACAAGCGTCTCGAAACTAAGTTCTTGCTCAGAGAACAAAATCCCTGTATTTATTAATAAAGGAACACTTCTTTCAAGCACCACCGAATCGATCCCTTTATTAATAAATACAGGGATTTTGTTCTCTGAGCAAAATCGTTTTGGCCAATAATAATAAAAATCCATCACATATCCCCAAATGGAACTGTAAAGAGTTCCGACTGTGTACTTTCGGATTTTCCAAAAGAGTTAGCACGTGCTCCGCCATCAGAAAAAAAAACAACAAAACATCCACACACTCCTTCTCTTTGGTTCAAAAGGCTTGTTTTGCAAAAGGCTTCTCCGTATCATCAGCAAACTCCTCTCATCATCAGCGTTCTATTGTGCTGAGCAACTAGAATCAACAACGAACATAAATTCTTTTTGGACGAGTTCAACCCCATAAAGCTTCTTCTCATTCCTCTATTCACTGAATTGTATGAACATTTATAAATCCTGACAACAACAATGACACTGTTCAATACTCCTCTCCCATCACCAACATCAACCATGGATATCAAGCAACGCTTTAGTTCAGACTTACCTCCATCCGAACAACAACAACACTCCACACTCAACTCGTGTGCTTGGAGGTCCGTTGAGGAAGGAAAAGCAGAGAAGGAAAATAGCCTTTCTCATTATAGTGAAGATGAAGCTCGATGTTGCTCTTCTAATCATAGCAGAAGTAGTAGTAGTACAACAAGTAGTAGTGGCCCAATCGAAGAAGATGAACTCTTCAGTGAAATGCCAAATTCTCCGCCAATCACATGGAAACAAATTGAATTTTTCTCTAATATAGATAACCATCCTCATGTAAATAATTCCAATATTCCTAACAACAAGATTAACGAAAATGATAGTAATTTCATGCCACTGCATCCACACGAAAGTATTCACGATGAGTCAGACTACAAAAGTTCATTACGATATTTATTACGGACCTTCTTTCAAAGAAACAATATAAAAGGAGGCATTTGGGTGACTTTATGGTTTTTATTGAATCTAATCGTGGCCTTTGGAAACAAGATTGTTTTTTGGGGAGGATTTGAATTCCCTGTCATTTTATCATTGAGCCACATGGTCATGTCTTGGATTTTATCTTCGTTGGCCATTGAATATTACAAACGAAAAGCAGTGGAAAAGAGCGAAATTGAAGAATATGAAATCAGTCCCGAGGTGAAAAAGGAACTGTGGCTGTACATTGGAATATTTATTTTGAACATCATCTACGGGAACATTAGTGTGTTTCGAACCTCGTTACACATGTCACAGGTACGTTTTGATCATGAGAGCATTATTGACATTTTCATGCACTTTTTATGCACTATCTCTGTATTTGCTTCATGTATTTCATCAATGCATAACCATATGTTCTTATTGCATCTCAAACATAGATTGTTCGAAGTACGGTACCAATATTCGTTCTTGTACTGAGCTATCTTTTCATGGGAACGACGACCTCAATATACAAAGTACTCATCGTTATTACAGTAATTATTGGCGTGATACTGACGGTATTACACAATGTTGAAATCACCATTTCTGATCTGGTGGTCCTATTAATAGGCAACTTATTTGCCGCATTGAAGACGACATTAACAAACAAGTCTCTCAAAAGCTACAAAATTCATCCATTGGTTCTTATCAAATTTGTTGCTCCATTCGCCTCTTTAGGAATGTTATGCATTGCATTATTCAATGGAGAAGTTTGGTCATTATCGAAACGATACCATCAAGTAGAATGGTGGAAAGGTTATGGGTTTGTGTTCATCACTTCAGTACTTTCCTTCTTCCTCAACACTACCAATTTTGTAGCAAATAAGACAACGAGTCCTCTCACCATGAGCTTGACAGCCAATTTGAAACAAGTATTGATTGTGGTGGTGAGTTTGACCTTCATGCATGAAGAAAGTATTACTCTGTTGAATATTTGTGGTGTGGCAATCACCTTATCAGGAATGTTCCTCTATTCTGTTCTCTCTGTGTAGGTGTGAACGATGATTCATCTTCACAATATGCATAGATGAGAAGAATTGTCATTCGGGAGTTCATTAATTTTCGGAGCTTGAGGCAATATATATTTATATATTGCCTCTCTTTCACAATAAAAAAATGTCAAACTCCGCATCTTCCTCCATCACCCTTTATTCCTTCAAACCTTCTTCATCATCATGGAGAGTTCGTTCAGCTCTCTATCACAAGAAATTGTGGCCCCAAGTGACCGTTGAAGAAATCTCCTTGTTGGACAAGGTCAATGAAAAACAAGAATACAAGGACGTTAATCCTATGGGTCAAGTTCCCTGCCTTGTCATTCATGATCAAGTCTTAACTCAATCCATTCCGATCATTGAATATTTAGAAGCTGTTTTTCCAAATTGCGGTCAAGAGGATGCTCTTGTTGGTGATTTGATTCCAAAAGACCCACTTCTTGCCTTCCAGGTCAGACAACTTTCCGAGATTATCAATTCTGGTATTCAACCCATGCATAATGGACGTGCCATTCGTATGTTGCCCGAACAACAACGAACCGAATGGATGAAATATTGGATCCGAAATGGTTTGAATGTCATTGAGAAAATTCTCAGCTCCAACTATCCAACACCACTGCCATCCAATGAGGATTACAAGTATTGCATTCCTCAATATGGAAAATTGAGTATGGCTGATATTTGTCTTGTTCCACAGGTATGTCTCGTGTCTTGTTCACCATCAGTTTTTTGTTCGTTACGGAATGTGTCTTTTCTTTACTAATCCATTGATTGTGAATTGAAATTGAATGGATTCATAACGATGATGATGATTTGGACTATGGTTTGAAACAACACCAAATGTGTTAAGGTATTTGTTGCCAAGACTCGTACAAGTATTAATGTGGACGAAGAGTTTCCAATTACTTCCAAAGTTTATTCTAATTTGATCAAGATGGAAGAATTTGTACAAACACATCCTCAACTTAAATAAGTATGTACACTGAAATAAGTGATGGCAAATAATTTTTCACACAATCATCACTCTTTGATAGACAATGATCGTTCTTAGAAGTTTCAATGTGTAACTGTACTTAATCTTGTGGGATGTTAATATTATTTGTTATTCTAGATGTTGATGGACCATATTTGACGTTCACACGAAATTGGATTAAGGAATGAGCTGGTGAAAATAGTTCCTCGTTCTTCTTGAAAAACTTTTCCTCGAATCGTTCTCTCTCCGTAGGAATTTATGAATTCACACTTCTCCAACCCAGGAATATAAACCCATGTACAATCTTTGAATTTACAATAAAAAAAGTTCATGGACCTTAACTTTTTAAAGTGTCTGGCAAAAAGGGCAAACAAGGAACAATCTTCAATGTCATTAATATTATACACAAGTACATGCTCTACATTAGGAAATAATTGCATGGTTCTCGAAAGATACCCCAGAGAAATCGAGTTCATATCTATATATTGTGAATTAATAATTGGAAATGTTTTTTGTAAGCTTAATATATTTTCAAAATACTTCTTCCACGAGCGATTGAGTCTTCTCAAAATCACAGAATATGGCATTGGAGAAAGATATGAAAATATTTCCATTAATATTTCATCAGGGAGGAAGAAATGATATGAATCGGGACACGACTCCTCCTCATTCAAACAGTAACAACAATCACCCATGGAATGATCTTCCTCTTCTGGAGACCATGTCATGCAATGATATTGCTGGACAGGAATGGAAACAGCTGTTTCCGGTGTGGCTGTCGAATGTATGACGTTAATCTCTCCGTCTTGACTGGACACACTGTTTCTTTGACTTTTAATGAACAAACTCTTCGGATTGCAATTTGTATGTGCTCCCAACAAGTCCACCAAATCGTACAGATAGGCATCTCGGTCCACCAATACAACGGCACTGTATGAAACGATAGGTTGATGTTGTTGTTGTGAATGTGGAAGAGGAGGAGATGAATGAAGAAGTCCATGAGGATGATGATGAGGTAACGTCCATGAAGAAGACTCTGAAATTCTTCGAAGCATTCTCGGAAGTTAGATATTATTACAATAGTTGTTTTGGATGAAAGTTTGAATAGATACGACACAACGAAGGAATGCAAAGTATACAATATTTTCTTGAATCTCAGTTGTTACAATAACAGCAATTTCAAATAATTTGATGTGCAATTAAATCGGAAAGAAAGCCTTCTCGAGATGCAGTGTGTTGTACTCCGGAATGATGGCTTTCAATAAGCCTTTGCAATCTCTCTAATTGAAAATAATATTCGATTTAAATACTTTTTTTAAAGTCTTCTTTCGAAGTAGTGTCGAGCGAGAATGGTGGCTCGTTCTTTCAATTAATCATACATCTCTATTAATAGAGAAGTTTAGTCTTGTGACAATGCAGTGTATTCGTCAACTGTTATCAAAATTGAACATTAAAAACAAGTTCTTTTTCGGTATTGTAAAACCCTTTGGTCCAATTACTCCGTTGCTCCAAAAATAAAAAATTGCCTTGCCAAATTCAGGTTTTTTTTACCTTAAACAATTCACTTTACTATTTGAGGTTGTTTTAGTGAGTCTTTTTCATTGACGATCAGTCGTGACGAGACCCTTTTCCTTGACATAGAGTTTGATAATTTCTTGATCCATCTCATAATAGCTTGGAATTTTAGCTGCAATTTTTGGATCGAGATCCACCAATCCAATATCATACTCCACCATTCCGTCGTCATGATTCCCATCACCATTCACACCATCTCTTTCGACATGAGAAAGATTAAAAGAAATCATCACAGAACAATCCTTCACGCAATGGGCAGTAAGATACATTCGAAGCACATGCCAACAAAATTCTTCATCTTCACTTCGACATGCCTCCACCAAATCCTCAAAAGTACGCAAATGAGGTTTCACTCTCGAATAGATGGAATGTTCTTCTTCTCTTGACTTTTGGCCGTTAGAATTGGAAGAAAATCCACTACAGGAACATTCAAATTCTTGACAACAAGGACCTTTCTCTTCTCTTGTCAATTCTTGTTTTAACAGATCCATCCATCGATCCATGTCGCTATTGAAATTGAAAAGTAATTCCTGAATTTTTTCATCACTTCCATACTTGTTTTTCAATACAGAATAAACATGAGGATAAATAAATTCAATATCGAAACGATCCAGTTGATGTAAACGTTGCAAAGTTTCCATAATATTCGAATGAATCAAACAATAGCTCACATAATGTACAAATTTTTCAAGATTCTCCACTTGGTGCTTTTTCAATAATTGACACAATTCCTCTCTAAAATTACGATTTGGAACTGTCACACTATTATCATCAAACCAGACGAGTTTTCCATCAATATATAGTCTCATATTATTTTGTGGATTATCAATGAGATCAAAAAGGCCCTTCTTGACTCGTTCTTCACGACTCGAAAATAAATTTGTGGGACAAAATGAACTCGTGTTGAGAATGAGACCTTGTTTGAGTTTGGTAAATTGTTGCATGCAGTAGCGACAAGTTTCATATTTGATGGGTTTGTTGTGCGGAGAAATGAACTCTGAACTGCAAATCATGCCCCATTTTGGTTTAATTTCCACGCAGAACGTGTAATCAGGGGTCTGGTTGTGATGGTCATGATGACTACTGTTATTCTCAAGTGTTGGATCAAGGTGATGATTTCTATTAAATGTGAAATCTCTCATGAGAATGGCACTGTCAGCAAAAATGTCAAAATCGAGCTTGTAATTGAGCATTTGTTCGGAACGGAGTGGATTGATTTTTTCTTTAATTTCTTGAAGGAATTCTCGACTCACTGGAACAGTTTCCTATATTTGGTTTCCCATTAATTTTGAAATTATTTTAAAATTATTGTAAGTCATTAAATTATGATAATAATGTATAACATTGAGATTTTGATAAAATCAATGACAATTTGTTTCGATCATGATGATGATAAAAATAATAAATTATGACATACTCCTGGATCCACTAATTCTTGTCCCTTTTCATGACACACATCCAATAATTTTCCAATCACATCTTTCACATAAATTTTTAAATATTCTTCTCGAGAGGACACTCCTTTCAATCTGGAGTAGGTGGAATTTAATTCTTCTTCATAGGTTTTGTGTGAATTGGGTGACGATTGGGATATCAGTAACAATTCTCGAGGACATTTGCGAACACGTAACACTTTTCCTCGCAGCTGTGTTTGTTGTTGTGGTTGTAGAAGAAAAAGTAATATCATCATATGCATTATGACAGGATCACCAAATGATATTCCACAATTCTACAATAAATACGCTCATGTGAATGCATGGATAACTCACCTTTGATGTTGTATGATGTTGTTGATCCACATGAGACAGAATTACGTTTCCCAACCCTTCACACTTGTATTCCCATTCATCGGAATTGAGCATTTGAGAACTTGGCATATTTTTTATGAAGACATCGTTGTCTTGCGATCAAAATTTAAAACATCAAATTTTAGAAATGATTTTTTTATATTTTAAAGATTGATGGTAGAATTAATCGTGAATAACACCTTGGACAGTGAGATCTTCCTTTGGTTCTTGAACAGTGACAACGTCAGGTTGTGCCTTTTGATTTTGTGGTCCAGTACCAACGACCCAAGGAAGCATAATCTTCACCTTAATACCCAAGACACCTTGCTTCATGTAAACGTGACGAACAGCAATATCGACGTAATCCTTGACTGGTTGACCAGTTCTGATCATATATCCTTCTGCGAACTTCATTGACTTGGCTCTTTGAGCTCTGAGCTTACCAGAGACAATGACTGCACCACCCTTAGCACCACTGTCCATGATGAATCTCAAGATACCATAACAAGCCTTTCTGACAGCGGTACCTTCAGCCAACTTCTTCTTGAGCTCTTCAGCTTGTGCAATAGCAGACAAACCCTTATTCTTAACGCTGTCGGCATATAATTCGATCTTTCCTTCTTCGAAACCGAATCTCTTTTGAATGACTGAAGTCAATTCCTTCAATCTTCTTGCGTTATCTCCAACAACACGTTGTGGGCTTGTAGCACGAATAACAACTTCAGTTCTGGCAGCAGTAGCTTTGACTTCAACTCCAGAGTAACCATCTTCAGCGAGTTCTCTCTTTAAGAATTCGTTCAATTCAGCGTACAAGATACCTTGATGAACGAAGTGCTTCTTCTTGTTGACTTGTGTGGCAACCATGTTGTGCTGTTGTTATTCAATCACAAGCAAATAAATTTTAAACGATAAGAAAAAAGGGTGAGAAAAACACACGTACTTTTGGCGTATTTTTTTTCAGACAAAAATTAAAAATTTTCAGGTCAACCCAGTTTTACAAATTACAATAGAAAAAAATGAAGCTTTTCTCTGAAGCCATCGCAGAAGTGTTGCGAAGAGGTAAACAGCCCAATATTGCTAGGCAGCCCAAGAAACTCATGGGACATTATTCCAAGAGACATGGAGGTTTCATCTTTGAAAAGGAGAAGGTCCCAATTTTTGCCAACCCAGACTTGTCCGATTTTAAAGTATGTAATGATGTTTGTTGTTGCTCTCCAAAATCATGAACATGAGTGTTGTTCCGAACAATTTGTGTGATGTAAATTGTTGTTTTCATCACCAAAAAATTGTTTGAATCATGCTCAAATCATGATGTGGATAAATTTCAATTGTTTATCGGAATTGGTATTTCGTTGAATGATATGATGCGGATAACATGATGAAAATTATTATTATTACTATTATTTTTGATGATTTCACTACAACTCGGACAATGATTGGATCATATTTTACGAAAAACAATTTACGCAAATGATGAATTCTTCTTGGAATCATAATGAACAATTACGATCAATCGCGATGAACAGCTGAAACCATACGTCTCTCATACGACACCCAAGAACCCACTAAGAGCCGCAAAACAAACCAAAGCATAACTTGAATAATAATTACAAAATTCTAAAGCATTGTAATTTTCTCTTAAACCTATGGATATTTCACCCTTCCAGTCGCTCTTTCAATCTGTCACCAGTTCACAATTACATTCTAGACTTAATAAAAACATTTCATTTCTCAATTAATACAAGGTTAATTGAAATGAGGCTAAATAAGGGCTATTATTGATTGAACAGTGAATGTGATGACAATAGCACTGATACATCATAAGGATGGTGCTTGCACTTGATTCTCATCTTCCTCTAAACACTCCTTCTTCATTTACTTCTTACATTGTATACGCTCTCTCAACGATAACTAACTTTGGATGTCTAGCACTAATTGTGTTTGGTTCTTACCGAAAACAATCACCAGCTGTCGATATGTGAACTGTTTGTTGAAAAGCTACTTACTTGGTTCACAATGAATGTCATTGTATCATTACTCTTCCACCATATTGGATTTGCATGGCATTTGGGATTCATCATTGTCTGATGTGATACTACTACCGTTCACAAATTACATTTTCAAATAAAACAACAACAACATCAGCACTGCTGGACCTACCCAGTCATCATCCTGTTGTGTATTTGTCTGATCTCTGAGTCTCTCTCGTTCATTCACACCCTTCCCATCACCAACAAAGGAAGATCCTTGCATTTTCAACATTCCTACTAATTTGTAAGTCCTCTCATCTCTATTGACTCAAATCTTTTTTCATCAACAAACCTACACTTTAATTGCTTCATTTTCCATTTGTCCTCTCCCAACCTCAACGCATTCGGCAAAACCTTTATTATTCAACTCGTCTCTCTTCATCTCTGTTTTCAAACCACATGCATGTGAACTGCCTTCCTCATTGCGGACTACTTGCGGCGCTTGATCTTCCTGCGGTCGTCATCTGCTACGGGAACTCTTTTGCTTCAAAAAATTTATTTTCTCTTGGCCAACCGTAACCTTCATCATCATCATCATCCTTCCCTCTCTCACGCACGCACGCACGCACGCACGCACGCACGCACTCACGAACACTGGTGTTGTACAACACAGTTGTTGTTGTTGTTGTCTGCATTACGTTGCTCCTCTTCTTCTTCTTCGTATTCCATTATTCCTTCAAATTCTTCCTTCTCCATTTGTACGTAGAGTGAGTGGGGAGTTGTTGTTGTGTGTTGTACACTGGTGTTACAAAGCCTTGTTTTCTCTTTCCTCTTTCTCTCTCTGTTCGTTTAGTCTCTCTCTTCGTTCGTCACTTCAACATCATCCCGATTTTTAGTGCGGAGCTCAAGTACTCAACCAACAACAACACGACTCTTCAGTAACAACAACCGTAATAACAAATGAATCCCTCTTTCCCTACTACTCAACCACCAACACAGCTGCATGGAGTTACTGTTCAATACAACAACAACAGCACGTCATCATTATCCTCACTACCACATTTCCAAACTTCTAATTTATTTGCTTGTCCACAACAGAGCTTGCATACCCAGAACTCATCCAATCAAACGATCGCTGTAACTTACTCGTCCCTGAGAAATGGTGATATTTCTTCTCTCTCAACTCCACAACAATCCCACACTCTCATGACCCCAATGGATCAACCACATAATAAGCCTCTTTCACGTCAATATCCGAATTGTCATGCAACAGCCACCACAACCTCCCTCAAAAGAAGACTTTCGTTGCTTGATCCAGCATCACTTGCATCACTGCAACATCAGCTTGCCGCATTAACGAGAGACATTTCTTCGTATCGAAATGTTGAGCCTCTTCCAATGGCTCACCATTGCATTCACAGCAGCATCTCATCAGATCAAGTCAACATGTCACCCATAGCCCAGCAAGAACGAAAGAAACGAAAGAAAAAAGTGCCACCTGCGATTGTGAAACAGGGTTATCTCATGTTTCATCACTATGAAACAAATCCTCATAATTTGCAAAATACCAGATTGCTCATGAGAGAGCCAGTTATTTGTATTTTAAACACAAAGAAGATCCAACTCTTTAGCCTTAATTGTTACCAGAATCAATTAGAGCAGCAACAGCAGTTACTTTTATCCCTCACTGAAATTTCTAATTCGTCCACCAATAATAAGATTCCAATTTGTGACAAGTACTCGGCCAATCTGGTTGGCACTATTTATTTAGATGATAGAATTTGTAAAGGAAAGGTAGTTGTGAAATGGATCTCTCCGACGTGTTTTAGTGTGTACATTGAAAAGAACCACGCTCAAGAAACCTCGCTCTCTCATGACTGTACAGAAAAAACAATTACCAATCATGTAAACACAATAACCAACATTAATAGAGATTCATGTAAATCGACATTTAACGATCGCCTCAAAAACTCAACCACTAAGGAGGAATTTGACATGTCCATGTTACCGATGGATATTTCAGCATCATGTACTGAGGTCAATGATTGTGATATGCATGAGAAAGACAGAGAAGATCGATTAGTTTTTGAAGCGTCCAATGATGCTGAAGCATTCCAATGGATGACACAAATCAAGCAAGTTGTTGCCACTCTTCACAATGCAAATGTTTACATCATTAGCGAGTTACTTCTCAAAATGTTTGAATATCTTGATGAGAAGACCCTACTCTGTGGCGTCTCCCTCACAAGTAGAAAGTTCTTTGACTTGGCACAACACGACTCTCTGTGGCTCAATTTATACAAACACCATTACCAAAAGATGACCTATGATATTAATTATTACAGATACATGCTGCGAAATGTTTTAATGACCTCGTCACCATCCATTGCTTCTCCAAATAATGATTCTTCCACACCTCAAAAGCCAGAGGTTAGGGATGAACCTGATGCAGTTTATGGCGATCAAGTTAATTGGAAATATATTTTCAAGAAACGAATGATTTATGAAAAGAAGCATCTTCCCTCACCAACAGATACCACATCATCCAGTCAACAATCTTCTTCCAGTAACACATCAACAACGACGGCTACTCCTAATTCCCAAAATCCAAGCACAACAAGTGCTACTACGACTCCCTCATCAACGAATAACACAAATGGCTCCACCACTGAATCATCAACTCAATCACAAGCACCTCCTCCACCATCTCAACCCTCAAGCAGCAGTACCAATTCTGGAACAAACACTGAGAATACCGACACTACTATGTCGACTGTTGAACACAAATCTCTTCCCAAAGAGGATGCAGAACGACTCCTCAAAGAAGAGGAAGAACGAAAACGAAAGGATGAGGAGGAAAAGAAGAAAAATCTTTCGTCACAATACCTCAAGAAAGGAAATGCACTGTTCAACGAAGCTGACAAATCTTCAAATCCATTTGTAAAGAGAATGTTGTGGATGTTTTGCGTCGATAACTATGAAACATGTCTCATGCACAATGAAAAGAATTGGACCGCTGCTCGAAATTGGTGCGTTGCCTTAATACGGCTCGAAAAACTTGCTCATAACTTGAAAACAAACGATGCACAACTGTATCTTGTTTTCCTGCTCAACCAATGCATTGACAAATTCGAAAGATGTGTGAAATATGCTCCCAAAAACGATGAAGTCATCACACTTTGGGCTGGTACATATAGTGACCTCGCTATTAAGGTTTCAGATATTGAGCTTAGTGATCATCTGTTCAGATTGTCACATGAGAAGTTTGAGGAGGCTCTCAAAATCAAATCTCATATCGGAACTTACAATGATTATGGTATAAGTTACTGTGATTGGGCTGAGAAGAGAATTCGATTGTTGAAAAAACGTGTCAAGATGTCACCTTCTATTCTCAAGACTGACGCAAATACCTCTCTTCTCGACTCAGATCCTAAATCCCCAACTAAGACTCTAAATTCAGGAAATCCATTTTCCAGTGCTCCTTTACCACTTTCTTCCCACTTTCCAAACACTCAATTTGCCAGGTATTCCACATTCACAACTCCAACAGAAATCACTCTCGAAGAATTCGAAAGAGAGCGAAGAATCATTGAGAGGTATCTTGATGAAAGTTCCAGACTTTATGACATGTGTCTCAATATCAAACCAGATTATTATCATGCACTGAACAATAAGGGATTCAATGAAAAGCTCAAAATTGACTTGTTAAAGGTTCGCAAGCATTCTTTAAAGTTGACAGATGAGCAAGTTCTCGAAACTGACATTGAAAGAAAGAGACTCATCGACATTGCTTGCAATCTTTTCCAAAGATGTATTGAGATTAAGGATTATGTCATTGCAAGAAACAACTATGGAAATGTTTTACTTCAGGAATCTAAAGAGGAATCTGGAGCTGAGAGATTCAGGCTTTTGGAACAATGTATCGCCCAGTATGAACAAGCAATGATTCTCGAGCCTAACAATGATGGATGCATCTGTCGATGCTCCATTGCTTATTTAATGAAGGCGGAAATTATTTTGTCTGAGATGAAGACTGGAGAATGCAAAGTACGATCAACTTTTGGCACCACTGAACAACAAAACGCATATCTAGAGCATTTGTATGAACGGGCCAAAGTAGGATTTAAATGTATTAAGAACGTTTCTCTTTCCCATTACAACCTGGCATGTCTCAATGCAATTTTTAACAAGAAAGAGGAATGCAAAAAAGAACTATTCTCTTGTATTGACATACTTTCCGAGCAAAAGTTAAGAGAGGATAAGGATTTTGATAATTGCAGAAATGAACTATGGTTCCACGAGCTGATGGAAACTGTATCTAAAAGACAATCAGTTTCGATTGGCCCAACAAACCAAAATCTAGATCTCTAACTTGAATAAAAAGATGTCAATATGAAAGCATCATCTCTTTTTTTGGATGATATTGGTAATAAGGTTGAATGTTTGGTGACCAAAGTGTATTTTATTATTTGGTGTACATGGATTGAGGTTGTTGTGGCTGTTGTTGTTGATTATTTGCTCCAGAACTCTGTGCATGATTTACAACATTATTACCACTGTTGTAATAAACAACGGTTCCTTGATCAGTGTTGTTGTAATTATTTCCAACCACTGTTGAAGAAGTTGTGTAATAACAATATTGAGTATTTGCTGGTGGAACCATCACATTGGAGGTTGCAGGAATTTGTTGTTGTTGTTGAGGAAGTGAAACTCTGGTCGTTCTGACAATTCCCACAGCCGAGTTGGTTTTCTTCGTTGCTGTTGTGGCTTTCTTTTTACCAGAAGCAGATGACGAAGGAGTTTTTCTTCCATTTTCAACATTCAAAGGTTGTTTCTCACTTGAATCTCCATTAATAGAACGTTTTGATTTTCTGTTTGTTCTTCTTCGTCTGTAACACCACACAACAAAATACACCACACTCATCAATACAAACAGTGCGGTCAATACTGACGTGACAATCACACCAATCATCCAGTCACGTGGAATAATGACCTGAAATTCTGAAGCATGCCAATGAAAAGTACTAATACTTTCTTTCGCATAGCAGTAATAGGGAACAACTGATTGATTGACAACTAAGGCAAACACTTGAGAAGCTTCTTCGCTTGAAGTGGAGATCATTCCAGACGAAATAGTGGTATAAACTCCTAAATAACTGTTGTAATTGACCACCCACTGAGCTTCATAACAAATGGATTCATAACTTTGACAAGTTTGTTGTTGCCATTTCCAGTGTTGAGAGGAATACTCAAAAAGATCCAACTTGACCGAACTTGTCATTGCATCCTCCTTGTCGTACATTCGTGGAGGTTCAAAATTCCGAATATTAAACTGTTGAGCTTTGGTACAATCTTGAACCGTACACAACCGATGATTCACCAATTCTTTCTGAATATGGCATTGGTAGGTCTGTAATTGATTCAAATTGGAATATTCCTGCGAGTACAAGATGGAAACAATGATGAGAGAAATGAGTGAGGCTAAAGCAAAGAAAATCAAATAGGAACCTGGACTTTTAGCTGTGGAGCTGAAATAGGGTATGAAGATGATCATTTTTTTTTTGAACGATTTGCCATTTGTTTCCGCGAAATGTGCGAAAAAGTATTTTCTAAGGGAAGGGCGGAGTTCGCGGAGAAAAGATTCTGTTGAGTTCCAACGGTACTATCGCGATAAATGTATCTTTAATATTTTTTTCAAAAGCAATATTGTTGTGACTACACGCTAAAACTTTGTTAAAAATGTCATTCAACACTCTTGAAGAGAGATTTTTCACAATTCTATAACCCTTCGAATTCATTTCCAGAGCTTACGAACCGAGTTGGAATGTCTGAAATTGAACAGCCTCTACACTTTCCTTGGTTTGAGGTTTCACACACCATTTGATCAAACTATTATCTTTGTGTTTGTTGTTGTTGTTGTTCAAAAGAGAAGAAAACAACGATTGCAAACTCAAATGCAACCTGAATCGTCCTATTCCTCATCCATGAATGCAGATCCACTGTCCATGAATACTCAGCCATTGCAATGCTTCATCAACACCATTTGGAAGAAGGAAGAGGAATGGCAAGTTCACAACAACAATTTTATGTTTTGAAGAATTAAACAATTGAATAATTGGCCAACTTTGTGCAAAGAGAAAACGCAGCTGATGTTGATTATATGACTATCTTAATGAATTTACTATTATTTGAATGTCATAGAATTCCATTTTAAGACTTTTCATCAAAAAAAATGAAGTCCAGCTTGATGCTTCTAAGTAGCGGATCAAAGCGTTCCGTTGAAAGAGTCTTCTCTATCAATCTCTGCTCATCTTTAAAATTAATTTATTCATTCTCATCAATTTGTAATCGCAATTTTAATGCCAAGCTCGGAATGAATTGTAACAAACGAATGGATTTCAAAGAGCAATTGAAACAACAAGTTTCTCAATTAGAAAAGATTTTAGAGGAGGATAGAAAATCAATGGATTTGGTTTCGTTCGGAACGGTTGTAGAGCCTGCTGATTTGGCAAAACATCCATTCTATACTTATGATGTCAAGATTTACAAGATGGGATGGGACGCTGATTTTGATGAACACGAATTTGTTGATGGAGCTAAGCAAGCTTTTCAAACAATTAGAGAATTGCTTATTGAAGATCCATCTCAGTTAGAGCCCATGTTTACACCTGAATCCTATGAAGGACTTCGAGATTGGTACAAATACATTTCCGAAGAAAAACATTGCAAAATACACGGAAGCCTTGATTCAATAAGTGAAGCACAAATATTGAATATTAGAGTTGATGCAGAGGGTGCTACAATTGTTAATGTGAGAGTAAGTGAAAATTTATCCGAGATGTATTGAAAAATGACTTTCAATAATGTTATTTATTTGGAAATGCAATAATTATTGTTATTATTTTGGAAATCATAATGACAAAATTTATTTCATGAATGGTAAACATGAATACTAATAATATTTAACCTCATCATGGATCTAATGTATTTTGCATGAAATAGCTCAAATTCAAAGAAACTCTCTACTTGGAAGATGAAGAAGGTAACGTGGTATCAGGAAAGAAATCCCCTCAAACAAAGATTGGAGTCATTTCGTTTTTCAGGCCAGACAAGGAGACTGATTGGCAAGTGAGAGCCATTGTCAACCCCTATATTTTAACAAGCACACCTGAAAACGATGCTTAACCTTTGTTATCATAAACTTTGTAAAATTGTTTGGAAACTAGAATTCGACGAACCATGCCATATGTTAAATTTCTCAATAAAGGGCAATTTGCTGACTCTGAAACTCTCATAACCATTCGGTTCTCAAAAGTTTTCCATATGTTTCTCCTCACCTTAGTTGTTGTTGAGTCCAAGCCATAATAATTGATCGAAATTAAGCTCAAAAAAATGGCCATCAAGAAAAAGAAGAAATCAAGAAAGGACGAAGAGGACATTCCATTAGTTGGTATGTTGTTCATATGTTCTTACTCAATGCTCACTTGGGAAAACATGTTTACCACATGGAACAAAACAATGAATATATCTGTAGTTTACACGACCTATATTGGAGCCGTCCCGCAAGCGCTTTCTCATTGTAAATGGCTTGAGCAAATGTTTAAATCACTCAATGTACGATATAAAAAAGTAGATCTCGGGGTTCATAAGGATATGGTAACGTTTGTGAGGCAGACGAGTGGAAAGAGAGAACTTCCTCAAGTGTTCATTAATAATATTTATATCGGGGTAGGTGAGGCTGAAGATTTGATGGTGAGCCTTAATTATATTATAATATTACTCTCAATATCTGGATCGTATTTATTTGTTTATGTTGTTTCATACACCTTACTTCTTGCATTGTTAGGGATATGAGGAGTTCTTTGATTGGCACGAAGACGGGAATGTATATTATGTCCTCAAAGAAATGGGCTATACGGATCCGATCCCGGAAGTATGTTTGCTTTACATTTGATACATGAACTGATCACTACTTTTTCTGTTATTATTATTTTACTCCCGATTGAACATTACAATAATTAAAATATTAAGGAATTTGACAAATCAAAGGAACAGATTGATCAAGAGGCTGAAGAATATGTTAAAAATAATGAAGGAGTATTTCAAGATATAAAGGAGAAGGCCAAGAAGATGGAGTCTGATATGGAGCATTTGCAAGCAGTGCGAAGAAAATGGTTGTTTCAACGAAAGCAGAAATTATATGAAAATCTTGCCGAGTCTGAGGCCAACAAACAGGACACTTCGAAAGATGCAATTGAGACAAATGTCAACGTAAAGGATATGATCAAACGTTTGAATTCAAAAGCTTCATCAGCACAATCAAACACTGTTCAATCAAACACTGTTGCTTTGAAAAAGAACACTACGGAGAAAAAGTCATTCGATACAATTCCATTGCCTCAAGATGAGACGACAACTAACACGGAAAATGATGACCATCAAGATGACATTCCTCTCCCTGATGATAACTAGTCGCAAAGCAAATAAAAACACATCAACAAATGCCGACTCTTTTAATTTTTAAACTGGATCATCAGAAGTACAATTCAGAACATCACGAGATTGATAATTAATAATTAATTTTTGATTTTTCGAGAGTTTATTTACAATGAACGAATTGATTACAGGTCAGTTACTCTAGGGGATTTGTTGAGGAGGAAAATTAGGAAGTGATGATGATCAAATCGGTAGAAAATTTAGTATCCGAAACCGTAGAGTGTTCTTCCTTGTCTCTTCAAGGCATAGACAACGTCCATTGATGTAACAGTCTTTCTTCTGGCGTGTTCAGTGTATGTAACTGCATCTCTGATTACGTTTTCCAAGAAGTTCTTCAAGACGGTACGAGTCTCGTCATAGATTTGTCCGGAAATACGCTTCACACCTCCTCTTCTTGCCAATCTTCTGATGGCTGGTTTGGTGATACCAGCAATGTTATCTCTGAGGACCTTCTTGTGTCTCTTGGCACCACCCTTTCCGAGACCCTTACCACCTTTACCTCTACCAGTTGTTGTTGTCATTTCTGCTCTTTGTTATGTTTGTATTGTTGGAGAATTGATTGTTGTTGAGTATTTTTTAAATTTTGGTCAATTCTTATTTAAAGCCTTCCGTTAGACAGTGGCAGCAACGGTTTTTTTTGGAGCCACTTTTAAAAATTCTCAATCGTTATGATTGGTTGAAAAGTTTACAAAAACCAAGTTGAGGCTTTGTTGACACAGCAGCATTTATCAAAATACGAAACAATTGGTATTTAACGGTGGAGTTTGGAGAGTGCTTTTTGTAAAACAATGCGAACCCTTTCGTTGATGTCAAGATTAGGTTTGTCTATACTATATTTAATAAATGGGTGGCTTTATTGTGTCGAATCGCATTTTGTCATTGCACTACAATTTAAAAGTGTTGAATTGGAGAGGTGGCAGTCTCACCTGTCTTGACGCCATGCAATTGCTTGCTTCCGGAGAAGTGGACATAGATACGAAGATGAACAATGTCATCACCAGTATCCACCTTCACAAAGTAATTGGTACCAGCAACAACTTGAGTGGCATATTTGAGTGGTTCATACTTTTGCAATGTCTTGCCGAGCTTTTGTTCAACTTCTCCTTTGACAGCTTCGATCACTTGCTTGACTTCCTCATCGGCTTGCTTTTCGTTTCCAATGCTGTTGTGGGGAGTGAACAAGGTTGTTGTTGTTGTTGTTATGGAGACGCAATATTGCGTTTGAATGTGTTAATTTACATTGAAATGTTGAGTGTTTTCACGTGTGGTGGTGGTTGTGTTGTTCCATTCCGCACCAAGACAAGATCAATACCGATCATTCATCAAAAAATCTTTCGGTAAGCCAAACACAAACGAGATCATTGCAGCAGAGGTTTACTTACGATCCTGGCTTCATTTTTTGTTGTTGTTTGATGATCCCGTGAGGCTCCGACTCGAGAGAGGCTTTTTATGTCCTGCTTGCAAGTGGCTCTGATGATGTATTTGAGACGAGAGAACTCTCGATGTGTTGAACACTCTCAGGAGAAGGACGTGTGTGCTAATAATTGTTTCAATTCCTTTTTCTTTGAGCTTGGAAAGGTTACATTTTTGTTTCGAAAGGAAAAGTATGGAACACGGAACCTTATCTTTACGGTTCTTTCGACTAATGAATTGGCGATTATGGCATGACCAAAACATCCTTAATCGAGTTGTTCATAGGCTTGAAACGACTATTTACGAATCATCACACACACACATGTGGCCAGGTTGTTTACAATACACCCAAACTATATAGTATCACACCAGTCCGATCTCGCCTAATTTCTATATACGGGGATTTTTATAACAAGCAAAACAATATTTCTCCTTTGTAGTTGACCACAAGCACAATTAAAAAAAAACAACTCACTGCTTCCCCGCTCTATCAACATGAGATTCCTCTCCTTGTTCAACAAATCTTCATCTCTACTTCTCCACCACCATTGTGGCCACAACAGAGTGCTCTTGAACGTAGCTTCCAGAAACATGGTTGGATCATCGTTTCACTCCAACCTGTGCGTACGCAACAATGATGTAAATAATAACAATTCCAAGGACAAGCCAGCCACTACCCCCGAAAAGAAGGAAGAAGAGAAAAAGAAGATTAATTTTAGCTTTGATATGGTTGAAGGAGAAGACAATTTGAAAAGAGATGACTGGTACATGAATGAGAAGGAGGCTGCTAAGAATTTTGAAGAGGAGGAAAACTTTAGAACCAACAGATCTTTCATCTCTCCCACTAGCTAAGTGGTATATATACTCCGAAATAATTGTTCATCATTTGTTGTTGTTTGCAACAGATCTGTACTATTATTGAATCGCATAAGAGCAACAAGCAATAGTCTTCTCCATGCACATCATCACCATCCTACTGATAACATCCTAAACATAATTGTAAAATCACAACCCTTCTTCTAATCATCATCATTACTGTTTTGATGGATAATAAAACTTCACCAACCAAATTGTAATATTAAATTTCATCACGACTACAAAAATTAATTATCATTATTTATCCTTTGTTCATCGCTATAGCTTCCTTGTTGCCATTCCTCATCATCCGAAAGTTTTGTGAATCCAAAAAGTATTTTCGCGTTTTTCTTCTTCTTTCCTCACGAACATTCCCCTCTTTCAAATACCCATGAACAGCGCCAAATTTCCTCATTCAAAAACTCACCTTCTTGAATCTTCAATTCTCTTCGCTTCATCCTCTCTTCGCTTTTCAGAAAGAGAGTCAAAGCACCTCATGCCGCGATGAAGGTTCCTCTTTCAAGATCAAAAATGTTCATCACTTCTCAAAAAAATATTCGTGTCTGTGATGAGAATGATTGGCTCATCTTCCATTCTTCTGAGAAGGCTTGCACGACAACGTGCTCATGGAAGCACGGGACTTGGCTGGCAAATGAATATTGAGGAGCCAGCACTTCATCCGACCAGAGGTGTTTATCATCATCGGGATTATCAATCCATTTCTCCAGTGACTCACGAAGAACTAACTCGGGATCAAGAGACTCATTTAAAGGAGGAAGAATCCATTGAAAGGAGTAACGATCTTACTGGAGTAATTGGAACTGAAAATATACCTAAACCAAGGTATCGATATGATGAAAATCTTGAATTAGAGGAACGATCACCACTCATTGCAAATGCCTCTCCCGACAAAAAATTACTTCCTACTATTGAAGATGTTTTAAAATCTCGTTTTCATACTGTGACAAGTATTAACAAAGATACTGGTTTGAGATTAAGTTTAAAAGACTCTTATGAATTTTTTGATGCAACTGGGACAAGATTTCTGTATTATTCTCTCGATAGAGAGGAGAGACGGTACTTTTCAAATGTTGATGACTTGATAAGATTCATTCAGAAAGATATCAAATTTCAAACAAAAGCAAAAAAATTAGATCCAACATTTGACGCTTCGAATCATGAGTTGCCTCAATTTTGGATTGATTGTCAAGGGTTCACCAATGATGATGTAGATACATTGAGAATGTATTTTAATTTTGAGAAAATAACAGCAGCATCTTGTTACAGTGACCACTTTGATGCATCCGACAAATGGGAGTATTTTGATGATTATTTTTTTGCATCTTTAAGCGTGAGAGAGAAGGAGAATGGAGACGAAGAAACTTATCAAATTGAGGAGATTAACACAAAATCAAAAAATTTTTATGATTTATCAAGATATTTTACACGAAAAAAGAAGAAAGAAGAGAAACGGCCAAAAGTCAAATTATATCCCAGTATTTTTGTTCATTTATTGTTGTATGATCGATGCATTATCACATTTCATGAAAAGCCATTTATTGCCTCTGAAATTATGTTAGACCACTTGGAAAGGCAATATTCAAAGATTGGAAGACGCTCTAAACTTAAAAGAGTATACACAACCGAGAGCATCAATAATGGAGAATCTCCTCTCTTTTCCCATTCATATGCTTCCATGTCAATTTCTCCATCTTTTGTTTTTCACAGTATGTTGGATGGTTTTATTGACCGAATAATTCCCATTGTAGATGGAGTTGTACGTAGTTGTGACATGATCGATGAGTATGCACTTTCATTTTCGAGCGCCTATGCTGGAAATACAGTGATTAATGATATTGCCGATTTCAAAAGAAAAGTGATTGTCCTAAAGAAGCTGATTTTCCCAAAGCATCGAATGCTGGTTTATATTGTTTCGCATCATCTTTCTACTACATATTTCAATGAGGACGTGAAGATTTTTTTTAAGAGACGTTTTGGATCACATTACTTTCTGTACGGAAAAGTTGGATATTGCCATTGATTCTCTCAACGAGTCACATACAAATTATTTGACCAAGTTACAAATTGAGGTAGCCCAGGCAATGGCAACTACAGACAAATTTATGAATCGTTTGAGTGCAATGGCCATCATTTATGCTCCATTGATGTTAATTGTAAGTTTTCGTGCAGTATTTTGTCACTCTAAATATTTCGTCTCTTCATTTTCTGAACATTAAGGCCGGAGTGTTTGGAATGAATGTGCAAGTACCTGGACAGCAGCAAAAAGACCTCTATTGGTTTTTTGGCATTCTTTGCTTTATGGGAGTTATGACAATGATTGTTATCATTTTGTTAAGAAAGAAAATTGTTTAAACTCATCAAGTCTTGCTACCAAATAATAGTAGCTTGAGGAATGATAGGCTCAACTTGGATGAATATTGTCGATGCTATGGAAGAACGACTTCAGAGAATTTCCAGATTTGGACAGACAAATAGTGAATGGTGCAAATGCTTCCTCTTTTCACAAGGTGACCCAAAGAATGGCGCATTACTGACTTTTTAATGATTCAAAATTGAAATAATTTAAACTCAATGGAGGAATTAAAGAGGTTAATTTAGAATTTTTAAAAAGATCCAAACATCACGACGAGTTGTAATTGTTTTGTATTTCCTCTTCATTAAGGTCATACCAAAGCGGTATTTCCAAAAAGGGTAAAAATTGTTTTTTAAACCTGTTGTGACAAGTCATGAAGGAATCTACATTTGAGTTTGACCACAACAACCTCTTTCTTTAGAAATCAACAACTCTGAAAAGGATCCATTCATAATGACTCAACTCATTCAATGACAACCCAAACGATGAGTTTTCAAGTGACACTCAATGCCGCGACACTTAACAAGATCACACAGGAGATTAATGTAATGAGACAGAAGTGAATGGAATGTATCGATCGATCGTTGAAATGAATGGTCAGAAGTGAATGGATCTATGCAACTGTCAACGACACTGAAATCGTATCCATCTCAAACACAGCTTTCACCAAGTTGAAATCTCCACAACAACTTCCTTGCGACACCCTTTTTCTCACCTCCAACGTTCAATCCTACATTTTGCTCTATCGATTATGCACAGTGACCAAAATCGATTGGATGTCGTCTTGAATGTTCCACAATGGATTTTTTCCCCATTGTCATTGCAATGGTTCTGCCAACAAATACGACGGAATGAAACTCTTGTATCGAAGGGTTTTTAAAAGGAATGAGACTTGGTGCATTTTAGATTTGCCTTAATTTCTCAAGAATGTTTTTGTGGAAATGTTGGAAGTCAAGAAAGGAAACAATTGTTTAGTGTGCTCAGTAGTAGAAAGTATAACTTGTCTACCATAATGCAAGTTGCAAAAAAGCTTCAATTGGATATAGTTTGTTCAGAGTCTGTGAAGAGAATGTGTGAAACATCATTTAGCATGCGTTATGTCGACACTCAGAATTTGAAGTGCAACTCCACTGTGGAGAAACAATTCATCCAAAGGATCATCATTCTCGAAGATGAAGAAATTCTCAACACATCATCAACAAATTTATTGTTGACTGTTGTTGGATTTTCTCAGACTTTGTTTCAATTCATACATTTTCACGTCCAACATGTTGGCGTATAGAGAAAAATTGCTAGGAGGTTGTAATATTTCATCGTCCTTATCAGAGAAATGTCCCACAAGATTTTGTTCTGATAATTGTGTTTGCTCAAAGTAAGATTTAAGCTTCATTTCTTCCAATACTTGAAAGTTTCCGAATAATTCATGATCCATTCCAAGTAAAATTGATGCAAGTAATGTGAGTTGATTTGGTATAATTCCATTCTTATAATAAAGTCGTTTAAACATGTAGTGTAATTCACAAAGACGTTCTACAAATTCATTTTCATCGAAGGTTCGTTCGTGAGGTGGTTTCCTACAAATTTCCTTACACGCTTTTGCAATTTCAACTTGAATATGAATTGGAATTATTTGAGAAGAATGATAAGAAAGATAGCAAGACATGTCCACCAAGTGTTGCTCCATTTCCAGTGAAACATCATCAAAATCAATGGTTGGAGTTGATTCAATCTCATTCTGTGAGGAAGAAAGTTGAGTTGTGAGAAAACTAAACAAGTTAACACTTGACATGAATTGATTCACAACGTCCTGATAATATTCTTGCTCTGCTGCAGTTCGTTGCTCTTCTGGAATGCAGAAAATGACAGTGCCCAGAGCAAGGCCATAGGCAGGCTTGCAGTTATGTTTTTTACAGTGTTCATCGAGTTGTGTTCGAAAATAATTCATAGCAACAACATAAGCTTGTTCTTGTGGAGTTCTTTCCATTTCGTCTTTCAAAAAGATGGCAGCTGCATTAAGGGCAACGCTGAATTCTTCCTCATCGGTCATGATGCTTGGATTTTCTTGTTGCATGTTTGGTGACGTATTGAATGGATTCAATGTTGTATCTGTAGTGGAGATTGGTGTCGAAACAGAGACATTTTCTTCAACGTTCTCAAGGCGAGGACTTGTTTCGGGCAAAGGATCCACTGCATTCATAAATTCCACTAAAGAATTGGATGACGTAGAAACAGTGGTAAGCTCAGATTCTTGAGATCCTTTGAGAACGCTTGTCACACCAGTGAAGGAAGAATTAGAGGAGGATATTATGAGAGGTGATGAAGAAAGAGGAGAATTTTGAGTATTAGAGATGCGAGGAGAATTAACGAGAGAGGATGACAGAGTATAGTTAGAAGTGATCATAGTGTCAACATTCGCTTGTTGCAACAATCGTTGTGAGGAACGAGGTGTTCCTTGTTGCTCGAGTTGAGACAAATTCAGTGACGTCGATGACAGTACTGCTTGTTGTTGTAAATCACTCTTCTTTTTCGAAAGGAAAGGATGAGAAGGAGAATAAGAAGGAGAGGTTGGAGTGGAGGGTGTCATTGAATTTCGAATATTACTACTATTACCATTCGAGGCAGCGACGGTCGTATTCATTGTAAACGACGTCGTAAAATTCATACTATTCATAATAGGATTCACTATTGAATTCACAACAGGACTATTACCACTCGATGGCACCGAATTCGAAGGAAGATTTGAACCACTGTTGGCCAATAGTTCAAAACTTGCACTCATATTCACCACTTGATGAATGGCATGAATCCACTCCAACGACTCCTCTCTGCTCTCTGTAAACAAGTAGTAATTTCGAGCATGTTCCTGATCGGCCACCACAAAACCAAATTTCAAACCTTCTTTCTGAGCACGTGGATCCATGTGCGACATTTCATAAATGTTGGAAGTGGTTAAGCCTTTCAAGGAAATCTCTCCTTGAGGAGTCTTGTTGTATTCCTTCTTCTTATTCATCTTGTGGTAGGTCATTCGGTTGGAATAGAGTAAAAAGTATCGTGTTTTGTAATTCTTCACTTTGGCTCCCTGTTTGATCATGATTCCTTGTTTGAAACAAGTCTTGGAAGCATTGTAATGTTTTTGTTGTTGTGGTTGTTGGTGAGGTTGTTGGTGAGGTTGTTGTGGTAGTTCAGGAGAGGATGAAGTGGAATGAATATTATTCATAGGTTGATGATGGAAGGGTTGTTGGAGTTGTGGGAGTTGTGGTTGTTGTTGTTGAATTTGTTGTTGTTGAATTTGTTGTTGGTAGGGATTATAATTCGCATGAGAAAAGCTTTGTTTGATGATCGGAGCAGATCGGCGATGGTTGTTGTTGTTGTTGTTGGGATTCGTCATCTCATGAAAAGGACGATGATGATGAGAGGCAGAACCCACACCACCACCACCACCAACAACAACAACGCTGCTGATGGATGGAGAAGAAGGAGAATGAGGGCTCATGGTGTTTCTCTTGTAATCTACTCCTCCCCCGTATGAATTCAATAAGCCTTTTCTTGTTCCTAACATCATGTTGCGTATTCAGTAGTAGTGTTATGAAGGAAGATACAGAACGATCAATACAGTTGAAGTGTTATAATGCAAAGCACCAACCTGAGCTGGTGAGAGAATTGGTTCTTGTTGTTGTGCGAATGGAATGTTGGATTCCAACAACAAGGTTTCAGTGTTGTTGTTGTTGTTGTGGTTGTTTTGGTTGTTGTTTTTTGGTGGGTCTTGCTCGCAGTGATCGCCAGTTCTCCAACAATTCTCTCTGAACAAGAGGTACACAGGAGGCTTTTTGTTTCGGAATCACGAGACAAAAGGATTTGCTCAATGTGAGATTGAGAAGACCGTCGCGACACCAATAATTGATCTCACAATCAATCCTTTGTACTGTTAAAAGAGGTGTTGTTGGACTCTTGATACGTTGTGAGAGAGTGATTCGCAAGAGATTGAGAGTTTTTTCCTGCTTGAAGGTTGAGCAGATTGTCAGTTGTCAAATGCTAATTTTTCAGTAGACTTTAATTGGTGTTTGGGAACGCCTTGTGCCGAATCGTGATTCGAGTCGAAAATTTTGATACGATTGACAATTCCTTATTGAAATATTTGATTAGAAAGCTAAATGGCCCTTTCCTGGTTGCCATCATTGGGCTTCCGACAATCCTCCCGTAAGAGACAAATGATTTGTATAATAATTATTATTGAAATACTTTTAAGGAAGAATATCCTTGAGACTTTCTAACAATTGCTTTGTGGAAGGTCTTTCACTTGGATTCGAGGACCACATGGATTCTAATGTAGAGCAAATTTTTTTCATGTTCTTGACGAGAGATGACTTGGTTTTGTTGGGATCGTGATGCAAAATGTTGAAATTGATTGTACCCAAGTAGTCATCATTTTCGTAAAAAGTACCAAACCATTTCCAAATGGAATCATCATTGTGTAGATCAAATGGAAATCGTGGCCTCAACTCTCCACTTATGATTTGGGATATGTTCACAACTTCATAAGGCATTCTAAGGAATAGCAAAGAGAACATGACAATTGACAACTCGTAAATATCACTCTTAAAATCGAGGTTCAGAGGAGTGGATTCCCTTCGCTGAAGCACTTCAGGACTTTTAAACATGAGATCTGTTTCGGTAAATACTACATCCTTGCAATACCTCAAAAATCCGTAATCAGTGACTCGAGCAACATTTCGGTCAACAACCCCTAAAACGTTAACACTAGATACCAGCCTTGACTTATCATTCTCCTCATCCGGAATTGTTTTTGTTTCTTTTGGCTCGACATAATGCACTAAAATGTTGCTTGGTTTAAGATTTCCGTGCATCAGTAATCCCTTTCTGTGAAGATAGGACAAGCCATTGATTGTATCTCTAATTAATTGCAGTTTCTCCTGGAATGAAATGGAATACTTGTCGAGAGAGTCCTTATTCGCTTGTGGTACGTTTGGACTTGCCTGAATAATTCCTGCTTCGACATATTCTCTCAAAGAGCAAACATAATCCGGCAACTTTTCATAAATGATATATTTTGTGTTGGTGTCATCTATTGAGATTCCAATATAGCTTTGAATGTTTTTATGTCTTAGCACACTATTGTTGTTGTAATTACAGTGAATGATGGAGAAGGTAATCTCAAATAATGTGACATGGTCACTAGTACTTACGCTAACTGTTTTGCTTCCTCAATCAATTCTTCTCTGTAAACATTGAAAGGTGTTGTGACCTTCTTTAGCATGATTGGAGTGTTCGAAAGTGTTGCATCAAACATAATTCCATGAGGGCCTTGTGAATGAGGTAAGTTTGTGATGAAATTAGTTGGTCTAAATCTCTTCTTGATAAAAATATTATGAGCGTTCACCAAATATAATCTCTTTTGGATGGTGAGCCCTCCTAAACTGCTTTTCACAATGAGCTCTCTGAATGTTTTCCTCTTCTCAGAAATTAACTGTCTTCTTCTGTATCTCATAATAACAGGAATGATACACACAATGCTGATGACAAATAGCGTCACACTGAGCAAAGCGATTACGGCAATGACAAGATAAAATCTAATATCTGGATATAATGAAATATCTCTAATTATAACATGGCCTTTGAGGTCAATCAACAACAGGGTCCCACTGGTATCTGATGTTTTCATGTCTGCTATTTGATAAATATTAACTGGTTCAATATCATACAAGGAAAAAGGGACAGATCTCATCTCTAACTTGTAAATCGCTTCATCATCCCCAGTAAAGTAAGTATACTCTGCATAGCAATCAATTTCTGCTGTCCATTTGGTGGAATAAACATCTCGAGTATTCTGGATAAAAGGAAGGTTGTAAATTTTCTGGCTAACTGGAAGGAGTGAATATTTTCCATTCTTATAGGTTTCTTGAAATTCAACATCCAATATCTGACCAGGATAAAATGTCACATAAAGGTGTAGATTGAAAAATATTCCGGACATGGGAACCAATGATGTGTTCTTCAGTGAGATGGTATTCTCGTAATCAATGTACGTGTTTTTTCCATCAAGCTCCATCTGATAAATTTTACCTTTTGATGTGGCATAGAAAATATAAGGTTTCAAAGGGAAAATAGGTTTAGGGTCGGTCTCAATGAGTTGTGACATATTTTTGTGGATTATTGAAGAAATTTTCACTGTCTTCTCTATTTGATCAGAATCACTACTTGCAGTATTGTCCAGCGGTAAGAAAAACGACGAAAAATCTTGTAAGCTTAAAATGGCAACGCTAGACGTCGCGTTCGCTAGGTATAAGTAATCATTATAGATGTAAAGAGAATCTGAAAAAATGGTGTTATCAAATTGTTTTCTTCTTGTGATGGTCCAATCTTGCGTTTGAAACTCAATAACTTCAGAATAAATGTGAGAGCCATTTCTATAATTAACAGCAACAAGCAGTGAGTCATTTGAATATGGAAAGAAAGATGTAAGGTCCTTTGATATTTCAGGTATTGGGTTATAGGAAATCATTAGCAGAGTTTCTACACCATTAATAAAATATTTTTGTGGATCAAATTCAAACCGAATAAGGTGAATGGCTGTAGCTTTCATACCAATTTCAGGGTTATTGATGGAATAACGAATTTCAACTACAGATGTACTGTTGGTATTGAAAGTAGTGATATTCCCATCAAATACATAGTCATCAAATAATTGAATCCTCTTTCCTTCCACTGACGCTGGCATGTAGTCGCTAACGAATCCAATTTTGTAATCATTCAACGATGATGTAGTGTTGCTCCAAGTTGATGAGAATGTTAAAATTTGTTTTTCCCTTACTTCTACAAATAGTGTTCTGTTTCGGTCGTCACAATAATTTATCATCATCATATTATGAAGCTTTCCACCTTTGGACGATATTAATGGTATATTTGATAAATACTGGTCCAGCTTTCCTTCACTTCTGAAGAGAGTGGAATGGTAGATTCTTGCTGTGCTATATGCGACCACTATCGGCAGATTTTCCCCTCTAAACAAAAAAATGTTATCGATCGTGGACTTGTTCACATCTGAGGATAGATCGACTAACGGTAAATACTCTTTCAAAATAAAAACACTCTCCTGAGAAGTACTGGCTTCCATTGATACCAAAGAGAATGTTGTTCTTGCAGAGTTCATTGCTACAGAAAATATTGTTGTTTTTTGGCTGTCTTCAAATAATTCACAAGGAAGAGCAAACTGATTAAATAATTGAGGCAAGTGATGCTGCATTGGTAGTGAGTCTAAATTAATTAAAGACTCGCTCATAATTGCTATATCGTTATTACTAATTCTAAATATTTTAAAATAGTTATCCAGAGAAGAACCAGCTATCAATATTTGGTCTATATTTGATCTTAAAATCCTTCCAAAAAATGAGTCAATGTATTGCTGGTCTTTTTGTTTTTCAAGAACAAATATTTCTGCAGATCTAGATGCTAAGCTCTCCCATTCAATTCTCATTATAGTGGCAGAAGTTAGTCCTCCTTCAATGGTCTGTATTCCAAAGACATTTATAATTGTAGTATTTTTAGATGATGTAATGTCACAGTCCATAATTCGTTTCATTCCTGTATTAAAGTGTGTGATTACGATGTGGTCTTGTGTCAGCTGTGTCAAAAAACCATCCCTACAACACAGAATTCGATCTTCCATAGATGCCAATGACAGAATTTTGAATGCTTGAGGAGAGGGCATTCGAATGTTTCCTGGAGCCAAGTACAACTCCTGAGTGACGTTGTAAATATTTACATTTTGTTTGCTTCTATACATGTATTCTGCATAGCCGCTGTCAAATAGCCTATGTAGCACATGAGCTTCTTGACTTATTAAAGATTTTTCATCCATCTGCAGTATTACCGAAGGATCTTGCTGTTTTGAAAAATCAGGGTTGTAACATTTTGATGTATTTCTACTGAGAGCAACATCAAGAATAATTCTCGATGTGGAATACACTAATTTTCTCGTTGAATATTGACCACTCTGATTTCCAAACTCGTCCACTTTATCACCTCCGAGAGGAAGAAAACGAGCCAGAGGCCTCCAACCATTCGCAACATCTAAATAGCCCAACACAAGGGCGACTATCAAGCCTAAACACATGAAAAATATAATTCCACTTCCTTTTCCCGTTTTCGTCAGCGTTGCATTTGGGTTGCTCCGAGAAGATATATTTTCCAAATAGTAAATACCATCGTTTTGATTTGCCATCGCTCGACCAAAGGAGAAGAAGAATGGACAGGACGAATGAACAATTCTCCTCCTTCGATTCATCATTTTTATTCTAGAATTAAAGTTGTTGTTTTTCAATTTGAGATTTTTTTGTGATGAACAACATTTCGCAGTCATTCATCTTGGAATGAACCTTAAAAGGAACTTGATCCTCCACCAGTGAATAGTTGCCTAGATGTTGTGCTCCGACAACAACAAGTTGACATCTTTACAATTTCTTCACACGAGCATGTGATTGGTCAATATCTTTCTGGGTATGATGGATTCTCTCTGTTTGCTGTTTCAGTTTGCTTGACGTGTTCGATCCGAGGGTGATGATTTCATCTCCGAGACCAATCATGGAATTCAAAAGTTGATGACTCTTGTCATATTGAGCTAAAATAGCTTCTACTTTGTCGATCTGGCTTTGTGATGGAGTCTGTGTTGTGTTCTGTGTCTCGGCAGCAGTCTTGGTTGTCTTGTTGGTGGTTTTGTTTGAAGTCTTGCGTTCGTGCATTTTTTCAATCTATTTTTGTTCGAAAAGCAAAGAACTGTGTTCATAGAAGAGGACAGTATAGATCCACATTCCATTCAAATTTCTGTAAGGTGTCACAGCATCGAATGATGTCAAGTCTCTTCAAGTTAATTTCAAGAACGAAAGTCATCTAAAGCATCCGTATTGATCACACACCATTCTCCAGGGCTTTCAAGTCCCTCCAAAGAAATCGCTCCAATGTGTGTTCTTTTTAGAGCCACTACTCTCTTGGAACATGCTGCAAACATTCGTCTCACTTGATGATATTTTCCTTCTACGATTGAAATAGATATTGTGGAAGGATTAATATATTCAAAATTTGTAATGGGTTTGAGTGTTGTTTCCTCACTCCTTAATTGCAACTCTCCAGAGAAGAAAATTTTCTTCATCTCTTCTAATTCATGCTCTGAAACAATTTCAGGAATAAAGTTCACTTCATACCTCTTTTCAATGTCATGTCTTAACACTCGATGATGAAAATTACCATCTTGTGTCAATAGAAGAAGACCTGAGCTATCGAGATCTAATCTACCAACATAACCAAGTGTTGGATGCCTACGAGAAAATTCTTCTGGTAACAAATCATAAACTAGTTTGTGATTTGATTCCTCTCTCACAGTAGAGCATAAGTATCCAATTGGCTTATTTAACGCTATTGTTAAGTTGAGAGTAGGATATTGAAAAGGAGAACCATTGATGAGAAGTTTCGAAATATCTTGTTCTTGCACTTTGTGCTTGAGTGAAAGGATACGTTGTTTTTTAGTGGGATCTAAGATTTCGTTTTTTCTAATGAATGACTAGTTCAATATCAATCATAATTATTATTTGATAATTCATCATTAATTAAAATAAATTTTAAATTATATTATCATCACATTAAATTAATATCAAATGTTATCCACATCAAATCATTTTTCATAATATAAAATATGATTTTAAATTCCGACCCCCAATCATTTTCATCATCATTGAAAGAATTTAACCAAATATTGATATTATGATTATTATTAATATTGAAAGTATTATAATTCATTCTCAAATCTTCCTCTGACACCTACAATGGCTTCACTTCGGGAACAGAGTCCCATTCCACTCAAAATTCGATCGATTCGGAAGGACGACATTTTTTTTGTAAGCCTATCGCTCTTGATGGGTAGAGCTTTTAATCAATACTGGGAAAACGAAAGACCTGAGGCACCGAAGGGCCAATAAATATTTTTTCAATTTTTTTTGTAAGCCTCCAAAAAATGTTTGAAACACAAAGGATGAAGGCTCGATTGTCCTCATCATCCTCATCATTAACGCAAATATTCAAATTCGGAGGTAAACAAAAAGTAATAATACCACGAGGCTCAAGAGGATTCATGAATTTATTTTTCTGTAGTTTGGAAGGATTGCTACTATTTGTATTACTTGTGATGAATGAAGTGGTGGTGTTGGTGGTAATTGGAGACGAACAGAATGATCCTTCATCATCATCCACCGTATCACCATCATCATCCTTTTATCCGAGAATGAAATATTCAAACATTCCGAATGTTCATCAAGAAATTGATAATGAATGGCTGTATGAAATGATAAGAGTGGTCATGTATGGCATTACGTTCGCCCTAACATATTGGAAATTTATCGTAATTGGAATGACAGTCTTGATGATTGCAAGTTGGGCTGTAAAATTAATTACAAAAGAACAAAGACGTCCTGTGGGAAGGTGTTGGAATTGTGGAGAGTCATTGAGGCTCACGAGAAGACAAATTGACTTGGGGTGGAAATGTCCCAATACAGGGTGTAATGCCTTCAACACAGTCATTCATGCATCATTGACAGGACGAACGCTGAAGAGTATATTTATGAGGTTTTCAATTTATTCCTTCATATTGTTGCAATCAGCACATTTGTTATTTCTACTAGTTGGAAGCGAGACAGCCAAATTATTAATTGGCACTTCTTTTGAAAAATCAGAAAACAAACTTTATGTTGTGGAATTTATCATGCTAATACTTTCAGTGGTTGGATGCATTCTTAATGTGCATAGTATAGGTTTTAGTGTATGTTATTTAATTTTGTGACAATTCCTCTTAGTTTGAAATAGTTTTTATTAGCATCCATTAGTTTTTTGTCATGCAAATGTAGACTCGCTTTAAAAGGCGTCTTATTGTTCTCAAGTATTTCCATTACCGTCCTTGTACGTTTCATTTTATTATGAATGTTTATTATTATTTATCAATCACTTTATTCTGATGTTCACATCAGAAAACAATTAAGCTTAACGAAGTACAAATGGATATGGGAGACGAATATGACTATGAACGATATTTAGAAGAAAGAAAACTCATCAACAGATATCATTCTCAACATGTCATTCAATCGCTTGATCAGAGTGACCAATTCGAGGAGGAGTCTGAAAATACTGCTGAATCTACAGGCCATGCATTTTCAACGGATCAACCTGCCTGTGACATCACCAATGCCGTAGATAATGAACTTTATGAAATTGAAACTGTAGATCTTTCACAGCTCTCTCTTTCGGGAGAAACAAGGCACGAACAATCCAATGAAACTCAAAGTCCCTGGTCCAGAGACGACCATCAATATTACAAACCTCCAAAATATGCCAAGTCCTATCAAGAGTTGGCAAAATTTTCAACACACATCATTGGCACAAATGTCAATACCGCAGGTTCTTCAAACAGTGCAGAAACAACAAAACCTAAAGAGGAGGCAGACACAATTTCCATGTTGTCGGCCTTAACAATTTCTTCAGAAGAGGAAGATGAAAACATGAGTGACATTCCTGATCTCTTGTCAACGAATGTGTCTTCGACAGAGTCACCAGGAAGACAACAACTAAACGACGTCGAGAACAATCCTGTGCCAACCATTTCAACAGTTGTGAGTGCCGAAAATGCTGAACAATCATCAAAAACATCGATCTCTTCGCCAAACAACTCACCACAGACATCGAGTGCCTCTGCAAATACCTCATCCAGTCTCAACAAGTATCAAGCTATTGGAATTACATTTTTTATGTTCAGCCTTACTGCAGTTTTAGCAGCTACTTTGTTGAACATGTATCAAATTTCTAACTATACTTAGAGAGTTTGCTGGAACCTTGTCTTCAATTTACCTGAATTTATTAAGATAGAAATGGTGTGTGAACACTATTGTCTCTTATACTTGATAAGAAATTCTGGATAACACTGATTCTTGTCATAGACAATGAACTCAGCATATGAACCTGAAGATGCATTCGATCTTCCAATCACACTATCATACACTCTTCCATTGGTATTTGGAATTTGTGGAGGTCTACGTTGATTTCCTAAATTAGATGAAGCTCCTGCATTGTAAATTTGTCTTCCCAACACAACTCGACTGAAAAACATGGAATAGTCATTATTAGAGTCTGGAGTGCAGTATTGATCACTCTTACTGCAATATTCTGCAAAGTATATTCCAGCTCCAAACAGGCCACTTAAATTGCTCACTCTCTCGTCAAAGCCGTGTTCAGTGATGGAGTTGACCACATTCGGTTTGGTTCCATGCCACAAATAGACTTCGTTGCAAGTCATGTCCAAACCACATTGTTTGATCCAGGACTGAGCATTCGAATGTGTCACTTCATGAGGTTTTACCTTCATTGGATTTGCAGGATCGTTATAAGAGACAAGTTGCTGTTTTCGTGTACTATACAAGGAAAATAATGTTGGATTTTCAATTCTGAAAACTTGACTCACCACCAAACGAGTGTAGGTCATTCGAACTTGTTGATCTCGTCCGCTTCCCAATGTCGAGGTACGGCATGTGAAATCGAGCAATTCCTGGAAGATATCTTTCATGTGTTTGGTGACATCAACCATTGTTTGTTGAGGAGCTTCTCCAACGAGTCGATGTTTCCAATAAGAAGGCAATGTGACAATGAGTTGTGATTTGGAATCATTTCTCAATTTTTCATCCAACTGTTGTAATGCTTTTTCCTTTTTCTGAAGCTTGTAAATCTGTTGTTGAATTTCTAATTGTTGATGTTCACTTTCATCTTTATAGAGCTGTCTTTCATTTTCCAATTCCAAAACCTTTCTTTGAATTTCTTGTCTCTGAAGATCTAAACTTTTCAATAATTCGCTCATTTCTGACTGTTTTTGATTCAATAATTGTTTGTCGAGTTCCACTTGCTTTAACTTGTTTTGGAATTCAATTTCTTTTGGAAGAGTATCCACAACGAAAAATTCATTGGCCAATGCCTCTGATGAGGTGGGTCTTTTTGATGGATTTTCATTGAGACATTGTGCCACTAATTGATTCAGCGAGGAAAAATCTGACAATTCTTGTGATGTCATGACATTTTGGATGGTCTTTCCAAATGCGTACATGTCAGACATGAACGATGCTTTTTGTCCAAGTTTCACAATTTCAGGAGCCAAATACTCGAGAGTTCCACTTGATCCAGCAGTCCTTGTGAGAATATTCAATGTTCGATTTTGAGTGTCATAACTCACATCAAAGTCTCCTAAAATCACTCGAATATGAGATTCTTCATTCATTTCAATAAAAATTTTCTGGTTTGATGTCACAATGAATCACACCACTCGAATGCATGTGTTGAATCGCAACAAGTAATTGTCTCCATAAACGTTCCCAGAAAATCATGTCCAAATTTTTCGACTGTTCTTGTCGTTGAGTAGAAATGAAAATTTTTAAATCTCCTCCATTATAGAATGGCATCACTACATAAATAGTCATTGAATTGTGTGAAGAATTAGTCTCCAAGTAATACCCTTCGATCGTGACAATATTTCGATGCTTAATTTTTTGGAGAATTTTCAATTCTTTTTTGAGCTTGTCCAAATCTTTGTGATCTCTCACTTGATATTGCTTAATAATGTATCTTTTCGATTGAAAATCAATTCCTTCAAATACAGAGTGGTTACCACTCCAACCAGAAAGTGGAGAAATTTTCTTGAAAAAGTCACAAGAGAGTTCTGGAATTCCCAAAATTGGAGCGCTCTCTTCAGAGAGGTGTGAAAAAACATCTGAAAATCCAAGTTGTCGCAATGTCAATAATTTCAGACGAATTTCGTTGGATTCATTCATCCATTGTCGAGCTTCTTGTTTTTTTGTCAGTATTTCGAGCTCCTTTTCAGAAATTTCCTTTTTCAAAAGTTCTTGTTGTTGCACATCTGTATCACCAATCAAATCTTCTTTCAAACCTTCAATTTCAATGTTAATCTTTTTAATGGAACGTTCAATACTTCTCTTTTTTTTCGTAATTTCATCCATTCTCTGTTTCATCGATGGAAATTTTTGAATCCACTCGTTTGCATGTTCATAATATTTGTGTTTCTGAAAAATTAAAGGAATACATTCTTGAACGAGTGAATTTGCTACTTGTTGCACATGTCGATAATACGAAATGCAACCCACAAGTCCATCAAATAATTCTTGAGGAAACTTTTTTGACAATTCAATCTCTGAAAGATTGCGTTCTTCTTCCATTAAGGCTAATTTCGTTTGTTGAATCATTTCATTCAATAATGACATGTCTCCTTCATGAGAATGTCCTTCTTCTAAACCATTTGCTAAATCTCGAAGAGTATTTGCCAATAGATGAGTGAATTCTTGACTTGACAAATTTGACAGTTGAATGTCAGCACACGCATCTTCTTTCCAAAATTTAAAATGAATCGCAAGTATCGAAGCTTTGATGAATTCTTGACCTCCGTTCACACCATTCAAAGTGCTGTAACTCAATCTTTTATGAATTTCATTCATCAATGTGGAATTGTCAAACAATTCAAGACTCTGTAAGAAATTTGTAATTTTTTCAATATGATCCTCTGCTTTGATCGCCAATTCGTTCAATAATTGAACATAATCACTCTCTAAAATAATATCTTTCAATTGTTGATAGTGTGTGAAAAGTGAATGAAAGAGTTGAGTATGTTGTTCGTTGGTGATACTATATTTGGTAATGGACATTGCTGAATCATGAGATTGACAATTGGAATGACACTTGTCGAAAGGATTCATCAATAATTGTTCTTGAATGCGTGTCAAAATATCTGATTCCAAATCTCCCTCATAAAGTTGTTCATAAAAACGATCAGTCATTTCCAATTTTTGTGAAAAACGATCTTTTGCTTGTTTCACTTGTGCGTTCAGTTGTGAAATTTCTTGAAAATGCTTTATGGATGGACATGGTTCGGAATCACTTCGAGTGTCACTTGTCATGTTGTCGGATGACATTTCATTTCGTTGAACATGACGAAGAGTTGGGAAAGCATTTTTCATTTCATTGAAATTCATGAGAATTGTCATCCATTCTTGATCACATTTGTTCAACAATTCTTGATTGTCGGACTTCAATAATAATTGTTGAAGTTTTAAAAGTTGAAAACGCAAATCAAGATTTTGTTGGGCCAAATGTTCATTCTTGTTGTTTTTAGAGTAATCATCACAAAGAGGAGGATAGGAATGAGTGAGTTGAGAGAGAAGAAATTCAATTTTAGATTGGAGTGCTTGGCGTTTGTTTTGCATTTTTTTGACATTGAATTCTTTTATTGACAAGTGACACATTGACACGTTGAAAGTAGTTTTGGAGAATTATCAAATTCATCAATAATGGATTCCACAAGAACTTTACTTGTGAATACTTCTTCCTCCATATTGTCCCATTTGATGCTTTTTAAAAACCATTGAATAAATCTTTTGAATATCTGAATCACTCATCCATTCAATTTCATTGGCATATTTAGGAATTACTTTTTCCACAAATTCTTCATCATTTCCAAAGAATTGACTTCTTTCAGTTGCCAATCGATTTCCAATTTTGGTAACCATGTTCATTGGAGAAGATGTCTTGTAATGAGGAGTTCTTTTGTCATTTTCCACTGACAAGATGATGCGAGTCACTGCTTTCTCTTGTTGTAATAAAAATCCACAATACTGACTCTTCAACATGGTGACATCTTCATTGGAGTGCATTCCAAGTGTCCACTCAATGAAATGTCTATAAAATTCATACAAGTATTCAAATCCAACCACTTGTTGAACCACAAAATAGGCAAATTGTTGTTTCGAATTGGAATTGGAATTGGAATTCCATTTGGAATTGGAAATGTTTATGGCCCATCCTTTATAGGCACCCACCATGGCACCCACCATGGACGCCACTGTATCTGTATCTCCACCGACATCAATGACTCTTTTCAAACATACCAAAAAATCTTCATTTCTTAAAATGATGGCATGAAAAAGAGCACAAGTGACACTTGCCATTGCAAATCCATCGTTTGCGTTTTTTACATTTTGTTTGGTCGTGAGATTGGAAATTTCAACAATGGTTTTCGTTGCAATGTCAATCAACTCTTGATTGGAACTCGTGTGTGAAGAGGAAAGTTCATCGAGAATGGCTTTGAGACTTGTCGAATAGATTCGTTCTTTGGCATTTTGATAATTGGGAAATTGTGAAAGCCAAATTTCAAAAGATTTGATTTCCTGAATGACCTCGCGAATGAGTTCGAAAGTGTTCAATTCAACTAAATTTCCTCTTAAACATTGGAAATTAGTTTGAATTTACAAATTGGTGTGAAAAAAGAAAATTTGAAGAAACAACAATTGAATCGAAACAAATCATATCATACCATCCTGGACAACTTACTGAATCCATTGATAAGTGAGCCATGCAATTCCATACGCAGGAACAATTCCAAAAATGTCCTTATGTGTCAATTCTCCATTCATCAACACGTCTTTTCTCAATTGTTCAATTTGATCATAATATGGAATATCCTTTCGACAGGCAGCAATGGCACATGGCCACGATCTCATGGCCACTCCATTTCCAGCCGTTGGTCGAGAAATGTCATTGTCACATTCAGCATTCAATGAATCGACACTTTCTCTGAAATTTTTTCCAGTTCCTCGAAATCCACCAAATTGATATTGAGAGAGAGGAGATCCAGCCCATGAGAACCAATCTTGCTTAGAGAGAGCTTTCCATAGGGTTTTGATATAGATTGGATCGAGACGTTGATTTCTGTTTTGAGTGTTTTTGGAGGATTATTTTTAAAGTAGTCACAATGATCACGTTGGCATATTGACAGATGGCATCATCACGTCAAGGTGAAGAAATTTGTTCATCATCCACGCATAATAAATAATAAATTCATCATGATCAGAGTGGAGAAATGATACAGTTATTCATCAAAAGAAGACAAAATTAAAGGATTAAAACATTTCATCAAAACTCACATCAAATAGCTCTCAATCAATGAAATGGACATTTGTGTGTCATCGGTGTAAATCAATCCCAAATGGCATAATTTTTTTGGAAATACATATTGTCGAGAATTAGTGGTTAATGATGATGAGCTATTCGATTTCTTCAAGATCCACATGTTCGAAATTTCATTCGGGGATTTGTTTTCGAACGGAGATCCCAAAGCATCTCCGATGGTGGATCCGATGGCTGCGAGAGCCATGGCCAGATATTGAGGAGGAGAGGTACAACGAGTGGCGCATTCGAGAAGGGGAATGTCTTGGCGATGATCGATTTGATTTTCGAAGGTGAGTGTTGAGAGAGACATTTTTTTTTGTTTCAATTCTTGGACGTGAAATGTCAGATGTCAAAAAATATTGACCATGTTCTGTCTTTATTGCTCTTTGACCTTCTCTGTTGGTTCAAGATCAATTTAAATAGGTTCTCTTATTTTTGGATGGAATGTGCACAAGTTTCAACTCGTCCCTTATTTTACCTTTTAAGAAGTTGAAAGAAAAGGGTGTCCATTTTTTGCCTTATTACCAATAATGTCCCTTATTGGAAGGTGTTGATGCCTTAATTATTTCCATAACACAACACATGAGGTTTTGCTTGTTATCGCGTCCCAACTTGGCACTGTTTCTCCAATACGGTCCAACCGTGCGCTTATGTTCCATTTCCGGAACAACAACATGTTGTTTGAGTCATCATGCCCGTTCTGTCAAACTTGTTTGGTTATAAGAACACGGTTCGTAAAAAATTGAAACAGCAGTCCCCATGCGACGCTTGATGTTGAACACTCGCGAAAATCTTTGTGGAATCTTCTTTGTTTCTCCGTTCATCATCAACATTGGTCGTCATTATTATTGAGTAGACACAATCCACGCTTTCAAAGTCGTCGAGTGAGTTCCATGTCCCCTCACAGCAAGAACAGTTCATGGCAGCAGAAGAAACAACAACGCGAACAACACGACAAAGACAACGACGACTCTTCTTCTCGATTTACTTCTACTACTAATACTACTACTTCAACTACTGTTCATTCCAATCATCATCCTCATCATCATCGATCAAGAAACACTGCTGGATTAGGCAAACAGTTCATTCGAATGGAAGCAGCAGCAGCAACAGCAGTTGAGAACAAGGATCAACAACATCTTGTTTCTTCTTATCCATCATTCTCATTTGGTAGCACCACTACTACTGCCAATCACCACTCTTTGGTTCCCATCATCCACCATGATGATGTCCTTGATCGGGAAGGTGGTGTTCGAACACGTCTGTACCACCACAACAATAGGAGGGAGGATCCTTATGTACATCCTCCAACAGTAGTTCCTTTGGAAGATGAAGGTCGTGGAGAGAAGGAAGACTCCCTTCATTACAATCCTTGCAATACTAACAACAATCAAGATCATGATGATCATGAAGAAGAGAGGATTTCAGAAGAGCTATTGGTTCGATTTTCCCGACCACGTGCAGCTGTTGTTGCTGGCACTCGTCGTCGTCGACGCATGTCCTCCTTAATAGTGGATCCTCATCGAGTGGGTGGTTCTTCATCTTCTTCTTCTTCTTGGACCAATCCTTCGAGTAACACTTCAACGTGTTCGTTTCCGTTCTTGATGAATACAGATAATCGTCCTTCAACAACAGAATGCTCGTTTCCTTTCGTGATGAAAGAAGGTTCTGTTGTTGATCATGTTCCTTGTCCTCCTCAAAGACGATATTCAATGGATGCAAGTATGATCATGAGGATGCAAGGACGGTTCCATGGAACACCAACACAGATGAATCCTTTCAGTCCTCTCTATCTGTACCGAGAGGAAACGATGGATGAATTACTGAATGGCGAGCATTCGGAAGAACATCGACATCGGGTTTGGAACGAATTGAGGAAATTGGGAAATGAAACTTGTAGTCCAAGTGGTAATAGTAGAAGAAGAAGAAGTAGTAGTAGTAGTAGCAGTATTGTTCATCATCCTCGACAACCACCTCAAGAACAACAACAACAACTTGCTTTCGTATCATCCTCAACGAAAACAAACTCCTCAAGTCTTCAGTTAGATCCTCGATCGAATGGTGTTCTTGTTGTGGATGGTGGTGTTGAGGATGATCCTCCTTTTCCTGGTGCGTCCTTCTCCATCAGAAGAAACGATTCATCGAGCTTTGTCCAGTTTCCGTCCCTTCTCCCCTTGACAGTTCCCAATTCCTTAATTCAAGATATTGGTAACAATGAACATCCAAATAAGAAGAAGAAGGAGGTGGCATCTGACTTGTCTTGGTTTCCTTCTTCTTCTTCCCCAACAGGATTCCCTCCTGCACAACGATCATTCATCATTCATTTTGAAAACGTTCGACCTGCTGAATCAACCTCATCATCAGCAGTATCCTCATCATCACGGGTCTCTCCCTCTTCCTCCTCCACTTCTCCCAATCATTCATCCACTTCTCCCTGCTTCGGATTGACCCTTCATGAAGTGGATGTTCAAAAAAGTCATCCACGAAGAAAACCCAAAGGTTACGATCATATGGTGAAACACTTTACCTTGAATACTCAGAATCCTTCAAAGTCTAAGGATCAAGATTCTCGAAAATAAAGAATTATTCAAAATTTGACTTGCCTGAGAGGTTCTTTCAACGTTTAGTAATGAAATCCTCAGTAAAAGATAGATCTTTCCACAAATGAATAAGGAATTAACCAATTGGTTGTTTGGGTTGGTTAATTAAATTGGATTAATTGGGGTTGACGTATCAATTAAAAAAAAATGAAAATTTCCTTGTTGAGCGATTTACACATTGAACATTTCGAGAGTTATCAAAAGTTTCAAGACAAGTATCAAGAACGATTTCATCGGAAACTTTTGAAAGAGTGGCCATGTGAGGACACAGGAGGAGCTGATGTGTTGATTCTCGCTGGAGATGTTGCGAATGTGAAAAAAGAGAGTTTTAAAGAGTTTTTGGAGGATGTGAGTCAACAATTTAAACATGTGCTTTATGTGGCAGGAAATCATGGTTTGTTTTTTCTTTTTGGATCGTCGGAAATGTTACAACATTTAATGTTGATGTGATGTGGATAATGAAATGACATGATCATTGTTGATGTGATTGACATCATGACATTTGGCATGAATTGTAGAATTTTATGGAAACGAATATTATAGTTGTGTGGAGAACATGAAACAAGTGTGCAAAGAGTTCAATAATGTCCATTTTCTGGATCAATCAGTGGTGGAAATACAAGATGACGAAACAGGAGAAGTGATTGTTTTTATTGGATGTATTTTGTGGAGTCAAATTCGACAAGAATCACAAAATTATGTTGAAAAAGTAGGTCATTCCTATGATTCTCTATATTCTCAACACACAAGTATTGGATGGATTTTTTGAATTTCAAATTTGCAAATTTCTTTATTCAAGTCCATGAATGATTACAAGAAAATCAAAATTCAACACAACATGACCATGTCAGAAGAAGTGAATCTCACTACCAATGATACCAACAAGTGGTTCGAAGAACAATTACAATTCATTGAAAGACAACTCGATATTGTTAAAAAACAAGAAAATAAGAGAGCCATTGTGGTGACTCATCACGCACCTCTCACGAAAGGAGTAAGCGATCCAAAATATGAAAATAGCACGAATGAATGGACACGACAATTAAACATGGCATTTGGCACGGATTTGTCACACTTGATGGGACCACCAGTGATTGCATGGTTTTTTGGACATACTCATTTCTCATCGAGACAATGCTGTCGTAACACCATTGTGGCCAGTAATCAGTTGGGATACTTGTTTGGAAATTTGGATCAAACAAATGAATTATTTGACGGGTTTTGGATTTTGGATACGAATCAAATGGATTATTCCAAATTTAAGGAAGTGAATTTGCAGAAAAGTATGGAACCAACCACGATGGATGCTGTTGCTTCGACCAATTCCAATTCCAATCATAACCACAAGAAGAAGTGTCTTTGCATGTAATAATATTGGAATATTGCACTCAAGAATGTCATGCTATTCAACTGCAACACAACAACAATTTAATACATTACTGATCTCGTTTCTTTCGAAAAACGCAACTACTTTCACCCTCCTTCTATTCCAAAACAGTTGAAATGGACAATAGTGACTTTGTCCGTCACTTAGATGTTTCAAACCTCACGTTCGATGTTTTATTTTCTTAAAACAATTTTCGTTTACAAAAAAATGTCTGAAAATCAAAACAACCACACAACGACCGACATATCGGGTGATGAAAATCAAACACCACCACGATCTCGGGTAGCAACTTCGGAACATGAGGAGGAGGAGCATGGAGCAACCGTGCAAGTGCCAGGATCATCTACTCTATTTCCGAGCGGGATCATACAAGATGGACAATTTTTTGTAGATCCCGAAACGAAGCTGGAATATGTGTATCATGGGGACAAGGGAGCTTGGTTTCCTCATGTGCAGGAAAATCAATTTGAAGATCAACAGTCAATTTATAATTTTCAAGAAACGGAGGAAATGAGACAAGAGAGATTGGAGAAGGAACGTGCGTTGAAAATACGAGAACAACTACAAAAAGAAAAACTTGAAAAGAAGAAGCGAAAACATGGTTCCGAAAGCACCGGTAATCAAAAATTATTTGATTCCAAGAATGAAGAGAATAATAATGAGCAAGACGAGAATGAAATTTCAATAGAAAAATCAGAAAAGAAGAAAAAGCCGAACGATGATTTTTTACCTGGTTGGCACGAGCAATTTAATACTTCAATATATATTACGGGTTTACCTTTGGATGAAAAGAAGGTCACTCTGCAATTTTTAATTGAGACCTTTTCAAAGTGTGGAATTATCAAAACAGATCCCTTCACAGAGCAGCCAAAAGTTAAATTATACAGAGATGAGCATGGCAAGCTTAAAGGAGATGCTAGAGTGACATTTCTCAAAGAGGAAAGTATTGATTTGGCTCTCACTTTGTTTGACGGAGCTTCTCTGTTCGGGGATGGATCGAAAATCACTGTAGAACGTGCCCAATTTACCAAGCCAGAAAACTATGACGCTTCACGAAGTTTAGAATATCACAATAGAAGAAAACAAATTAAGGACAAGGAAAATAGAAAATTACAATGGGGTTTCGGTGATTATCCAGATGAAGCAATGGCCTCTGAGAATGAACCACATGGAAGAGTGGCCATTCTCAAACACATGTTTGTTCCTGAAGATTTCTCTTCGGATCCACTATTTGGAGCTGAGTTGAAAGATGAAATCAAAAGTGAAGTTGAAAAAATTGGAAAAGTTGACAAGATTAAAATTTATTCTGAAAATCCTGAGGGAGTTGTGGAAATTCGATTTAAATCACCGCTCCATGCTCGAGAATGCATTAAAGAGAATAATGGAAGAATGTTTGATGGACGGCGAGTGGTAGCCTATTTATGGGATGGAAAAGAGAATTTCAACGTTGTGGAATCCAAGGAACAAGAAGAAGAACGTCTTGAAAGATATACCAAAGAATATATCGAACAATCCGCTGAAAAATCGAACGAAAGTAAACCTTAATTTATTATTTCCATTCCATGTCGTGCTTGTGATGTGAGGTTGATGTGTCCATTAGAGTCCATCGTTTTAACATTGCACATTCTTGCAGAGAATAAAATTCAAAGAAAAAAATGCAAAAATCCAACAAAAAGGAAAAGCTTGATTATTACAAGATTCTTGGACTTGGTAAGTCAGAGAATTGTCGTATTGTTGAAAATATGTATCGGGATGGAACAAGATTTTAATGCATTACGAATAATGATTTTTAATCGTTATTTAAATTTGGGTGTATCATAAATTTTTAATTTTTAAATTTTAATAATTATGTTCATGATATTGCGCAATTCAGATCGGGATTGTTCCGAAGAGGACATCAAACAAAGTTATCGGAAATTAGCCAAACAGTTTCATCCTGATTTGAACACGAACAAACAAGAAGCCACACAAAAATTTCAGGAAATTACCGAAGCTTATGAAGTATTGTCAGATCCCGACAAGAGACAGAATTATGATGCTTTCGGAGAAGCAGGTCTCAATAACAATAGTAATTCCTTCGAACAAATGGATTCTGTTATGAATCCCTTCGATATGTATTTGAATCAATTTGGATTTTTTGAAACATTATTCGGAGGAAAAACAAAACCTCCAACCAATGAGGATCAAGAATCTGTGGTTATTCCAATCGATGTCACACTCGAAGAGCTCTACATGGGATGTCAACGAGAATTCACAAAGAAGAGAAAAATAATTTGTAGAACTTGCAATGGTACAGGAGCATTCTCAAATGAACATGTGTTTTATTGTAAGGCCTGTAAAGGTACTGGAAGAAGAATAATGAGAAGAACTCTTCCAAGAAATATTGTACAGCAATTTTCCACGATTTGTATGGATTGTGAAGGTAGAGGACAATATGTCACAAAAAAATGTGAGACCTGTAAAGGAAGAAAATTGGTCAACGAGATTACAACCGTCACTGTGAAAATTGAGAGAGGAAGTAGACATGGAGAAAGGATTGTATTGCGAAATCATGGAGATGAATGGCAGAGTAAGGCAACTAGTGACATTACCTTTGAAATTAGACAGTTACCACATAAGGAATTTGAAAGAATGTAAGTGAATATGAAGAGTTCAAGTTGAACTCATTTCAAGGTATCTTTAAAAATCGAATATTTCAGTGGAGACGACTTGTACGTGAAGAAAACAATTACTCTATTAGAAGCTCTCACTGGATTTCAAATGACACTCAACACCCTCGAAAAAGGAAAACAAATTGTCGTGAAATGTGAAGATGAAGTCATTCAGCCAGGACAGAAAAAAGCAATCCCCAATCAAGGAATGCCAAAGAAAGGCACTACTAATGAATTCGGTCACTTGGTGGTTGTTTTTGATGTGGTGTTCCCAGAGCACTTAAATATGGAGATGAAACGATATTTACGAATATTACTCGATCCCAAAACGAAAGATCTTTCAAGCATTCCTATTCCACACGATTTAAGATCGGTTGCTTCGTCTCTTTCTTCTACGGATGGAAGTATCTCAGCATTTGAGATTAACAACACGAATGGAAATCAAAAAAACGAAAACCAAACCATCTTTCATGCTCAATTTCTTCCTGGTCATTATGGTGTTAAGAAGGGTGTATCACCACTTTCAGGGTCAAATAACCACAGTAGTGAGAGTAGCACAAAGATCTCAAGTGATGATGGTTCAATTTTTTCTTTCATTAAGAATAAGGTAAGAATTCGTTTTTTGGAGGTTCTTTTGTCTTGTATTTATTTATTCAATTTATTTATTTTACGCTTTTTTGACGATGACAGATTAAATCCATGTTTGTATGAATATTGAGAGGAACAACACATGATGACTTCATTCCACATTTGTCTCGAGTCGATTTGATCAATACAATTCGCGTCAACAAGCTTATCTTCTGAGAGCATGATTCTAATCACAATACTCCTATGGGCATGACAGGGTTGATGGAGCATGAATTGCACAAGAGATCGACATAAATTCTATATTTGGAAGTTTCTTAACCTCGATTTGTGCGCGAGAGTCAACACAAACGTTCGCGTTTTACAGTTCAATTTAAAAAAAAAAAACTGTTGTGCATCAAGAGAGAAGGAGAAATTGCCGAGCTCTCTCTTGTTGTTGGAATCGAACGACAAAGACAACGAGGACGATTGAATTAATCTCGGAGCTGTGTATTGCATTTGTTGTTTGTCGCGTTAGAAAGTTCAAGATTTACGCTTTTTGGACACTCGGTTTTAAAACTCCAATAACAAAATGCCCTCAATATTTATTTCCCGATACGAGGATATATCTCAGCTCATTTTGAAATCAATAACCAGTGATGAGCAATTGTATCATGAAAATGCTTATACGAATCATCATCACGAACACACCTCTTCAAAGAAACACAAAACTTATGATATTATGTTATCGGAATTTAATGACATGTTTTCAAAAGTGCCCTCTTCTGAGCATACTCTCCAACAGAAAGTAACAACAAAAGAAGCTACTGAAAATAAGATTGTTCCGTTTAATAATCATATTCAGAAAAAAGATGACACAACATTTTGGATTTATGATCCGACCGATTTTGATCCATGGTTTGTTGCAAAGTTTATTCCACCAAACTCGGAAACGTTTGTGGCAAGTCATGTAGAATTTGTTGTGAGCACTACAGCTCCAAGATATGTAAGAAATATTATGAATGCCATACAAGTGGCTTTCAAAATGGCAACTGCAATTAATGCCAACTGTTATTTAAAGGATTCCACCAAATCATACACTATCACGAACGATTTAATAAGGAAATGGCTCTTTGACCCTCAAATGGTGTTTGTGAAGGAAAAACAAAAGGAATGGATTGAAAAGATGGAACTGATGGTTCAAAAGAAGATGGCTCCTCTTGAGTTTCCGATTGGCAATATGGACATGATTCGAGATTTCTTCTTCTTTGAAATTACTCGAGTCTCTGATGTGGTGGCAGTTTTCAAATCTCTCAACAAGATCATTCCTCCCTCATTGAGCGTTGCTGCTCTTGACGCTAATTTAATGGACATTCCAGAATTTCGCCAGTCCACTCCAGAAGAGCGACCAACCTCAAGATTTAACGAGAATGAAAATCAATCATGTCTCATCGTCGATCGAAAATCTAAAATATGTAAAACCAAAGTAGAATGGGATAGTGCTGAAAAAGTCTTGCGAGTGTCATCCAACTATTTTGCGAGGCCACCTGTTGGAGGCATGTACAGAACACTTCCCTTTCATTCACTAGCAAGTTGCACGCTTCTCATTTGCAAATGCGTCATGAGTCACTTGGGGAAATCATGGAGTGACGATTGTTTCCTCAATACTCGAAGTCTCAATGAAGGATTTGTTAAAAATCTTCAAGAAAAGTTGAAACATGATCCCATCAGTACAGAATTTTACTACTGGCTGGAGCAAGCTCAAAAAGAAGACGACCAATTACTTCTCTCGGATAAGTAAACAATTGTTGCTCCTTGTTGAATGCTCAAATGAAGCAAAGTTCAAAAAAAATGGCAGCAAAACATTTTCCAGAAATTTTCTTTGATCTTCATATGAGCGAAGATGAATTGGTTTCAATGATTGAGTAAGTGATGATAATGATGAGAGATGATGATTCAATTTTACAAATGAATTATACAAATTGTTGTGGACTTGTCCATATTTTTGTGCCTCACGTGTGATGGCATCGGGATTGAAACAATTTACAAATTCGGAAAATATTTTTGAAAATTCATGATGATGATGAACCTATTCCGAATGTATTTGAATATTTAATTCACTCACTAATTGATCCTATTGGCTTTATGAATGATTTCATGAACTATTCTTCTCGTATATGATCTGAATTATCCTTTTAGAGAACGATTCAAAACAGTCTTCTTTGAAAACGTTTCCGAACCACTCAAACTTAAAAGGCTTACTGGAGGCATCACCAATCGAATTTATAAAGTTGATTTCAATGGAAAACAAGTATTGTGCAGAATTAATGGACTCTCTACAGAAAAGATTATCGATCGAGATGTTGAACTATTTCATATGCAAGAAATGTACAAACATGGACAGGGACCTCAAGTACATTGTGTTTTCAAGAATGGTTATATCTATGATTTCATTGTTGGAGAATGTACGTCCACAGCTGAGTTAATGGCAGACAAGTGTGAAAAAATTGCTGAAAAATTAGCCATGTGGCACAAGATGAATATTGAAAAGGAGAGTCGAGAGCCTGTGCTTTGGAAGCTCATTAATAAGTGGGTCGAAAATGCGAAAGGATTTGAATGGAGTGATAAGGACAAGAGGGAAAAGTTTTCTCAATTGAATTTTGAAAAAATTGTGGAACAATGTGAATTTCTCCAAAACAAGATTTTTAATGTGAAAGAAAAACAGCTCGTGGATCCAAAAGATTTGAACTCTGTTCTTGATTTATTTTCTGTTGGCTTTTGCCACAATGATTTATTGGCATTGAATGTTCTCTATAATGACCAAGACGACTCTGTTCACTTCATTGATTATGAATATTGTGGTTATAGTTATAGAGCTTTTGATATTGGAAACCACTTTGACGAATATGCTGGATTTGATTTAAAAAAGAATGACTACCCAAACCATGAAATTCAAACCAAGTTTGTTCGAAAGTATCTCCAAACGGTGTATGAAGGACCAAGTTCCAATATTTCTAATGAGATGGTTGAAAAGTATAGAAAGGGAATTCATCTCTTTGCATGCATTAGTCATATTTATTGGGGTGTTTGGGCTATTAATCAAGCTAAATTTTCTGATATTGATTTCGATTACCTGAGTTATGCTAAGGGTAGATTTGAATGGTATTTTGAGGAGATTGGAAATGTAGATTTTGACAATTTGTAAAAACACGAAACATATCATAAAACTATGTGATAGAATGCCAAAAAACAAAGTTCTCTTTGAGCAGCAACCAATTTTCATTCCAATCGTAGTGGAGTTGTTTTTTTGCAGTCACTTGGAAACAAATTGTTTGAGTCTCAACAGTGAACCCTTTCTTTATGGTTTTTGATTATTGTGATAATCATTTTATACAATTCAAAGTTGCACCTTCATTATCATCAACCTTCAAAAAAAGAATTGTTCTGATTGAGAGCGAAACAAATAATAATTGTTTACTGCAATTTCAACAAGAGTTAACTTTACACTGTAGACTAGTAGAGAAAATATGGTCACATGTTGTAGTCGAGAGTAGCAACAACAATCATGCAGTACACTGGTTTGCCGATGATTTAGGCAGTGAGGTGGAAAATATCAACAAGTTTCTAATCACGAACATCAACAGTGATCTGGTCTGTTGAGAGTGGCCTTGATCCTTCTGCAAACAGAGGCACATTGCTTGGATCCTTAATTAACTTTTTGAATTGAGTCCAATTATTCTCACAATAAACAAGGCAATCCAATACTCTGTCGTTATGGAAAATATCTACAAAGTGAGAAATCATAAGTTCACATACTGAACTAAGTGCAGGTAAGTGTTGAGCCAAAAATTGTTGTTTCGATACGTTTAGAGAGCTTGGTGGATATGCAAAAACTGGGCCAAAAACGATGGCCAAATTTGTCTCCTTCATCATGTTGATGTGACTGAATGTTGTTATTCTGTGCAATAAACAACACATGCATTGAAGCAAAAAGTAATTATGTTCTGGTAGTTTGTGCATAATTTCTCTCAAGTGATCAATCTTCTCGTTCTTATCAGATATCTTGTCCAACTGTAATACCGAAGAGTAGAGAGCATGTGGAATTGGAGGTTCTGGAAGTTCTCTCAAAAATAATTTCAAGAGACCTGCAATTGTGTGTTCGTCCTCTCCCTCTGAGAATTTAATGTCTTGATCTGGATTTTGATCGAATTGAATTTCGTAAGCTCTCATTCTGTTCTTGTTTCCAGGAACTCGGAATAATCCTTCAGTTGTCAAATTTCTCTTATAAAGTCTAGAGATACATTTGTAGCAAATATCTGGTAAAACTCTTTCTGGATGTCTAGCATGTAAATCCACAAGTGGCACTCCAAATGTTACCTTTCCTTGTGTGGAAAGATCGTAACGACACTCAACTCTCATGTGAATTTTACCGGAAGCCTTTTCTCCAACACATACTGGACGTAATGGGAACCAGTCTTCTTTATCGGCTCCAGCTCTTGCACTCTCTACTTTAACAACCACTTGTCCCAGAATGTCATCAGATTGGAATCTATCCTTATCAAAGATTATAACGTGTAAATCGCATGGTAATCGTGAAATGTCAAAAGTAAATTCCTCACGCCATTTAGGCTCTAAAGTGTTATTTTCAACTCTTGTATGCTCCACTTTATGCTCCATATTGAGAACAACATAGGGATCGGCCAAACCTCCCATTATAGCAGTGTCACTCTTTTCCAAATCTTTTGCTTCTCTAATTTTCACAACTACTCTTGCCTTCATTTGGAAAACAGTTGGAGCAGCAACTCGAGCATCATCAGGTACTAATTTTCCAATTGTTGAATGAGGAGCATCAGGATTATTACTCAAAGAAGAATCATCCGTCGATGTATTAGACACCAACTGTTGATGACTCACATCTCCACTTCTATTACTATTCTTATTATTTCCATTCTTCTTCAAAATAGTTTCCCGAGCCTGTTCCATCGCTTGCTTAAATCCTCTCATCCACAAATCCTTCTCATCCCAACTCTGAAACACCACCAACATGTGCGACACATCGCTCTCAATCACAATTTGATATTTTTTTTCATCGTTTTTGGATTCATCCGTAAATTTCAAGCGCGGTTCCGTCGTGAGCACATAGGCTTTGGCTTCGGTTGCTTCCACTCGATTCGGATCAAAGAAGAAAATTCCTTGAGTGGAGACGATGGTCCAATTGATACGCCAGGAAGGTCGTAGAAGGTTACGGCCCTGAGATTTGAGGGTTTTACGGTAGAGGAAGCCTTGTCGGATGGGAATGTCAATGTTGTATCTGATCAGATTAATATATTAAATAAATAGGAGAAATAGATGAAAGAAAGAAATAGGAAGAATGTGATATATGCGCGATGGATGTATATATATGAAATATTGAGCGATAGGGTAGAAGTGGAGGAGGAGTTTGGAAGATGATGATGCAATTCATGATGGGTTCAGTAAATGAAGAGGAGGATAAAGATGTACATCACGAGCAATGATGATGTATATTGTGATAATTTGTTAATGTAAATTTGTTGAATGATGATCATCATACATAAAGAGATGGTGTGAGTGCACAAAGTTTCAATAGTAATACCACACACCGCAAGTGCAAGGATGATGAAATCGGTTGATGATGAAAAATTGAAATCATCACACAAATAATGGAATGATGAGAATGAACAATAATTTGATGAATTTGTCGTCAAAGGACAGAAACGTTTCCATTCAAAATGTATTGTCATTGCGATTCCACATCATGAGAGTACACAACAGCGATGATGTTTGATGGAAGAATTTTGTGTGCACATCATAGGAGGATCGTGATGTCAAGAGTTTTAAAACATATGTAACAAAATGATTCTCGAAGAAGAATACATACCGTCCGAACTCTTCCAAGTCCTTTGAACTACTAATCATGATGATGTTTTTGTGTGTTGTTACGACTCGTTTTTGCGATTATCGAAGAGGATACGACGAGGTGGTAGAATGGTTTCTTATGTACACGGATGTTTAATAGTGCTCGATGTGAATAAGAATTTAAACGTTGTTGTGAATGATGATGGGAGTCTTGTTGTTGTTGCTTTAAAGGACAGAGACGTCAAACGGTTTTTGCAACAAACAAACTCGTCAAAATTTTTTTTGTGTCAACTGTCGCCAAGACGATGAAAATTGAACTTGCAACACAAAAAGAGCAGCCATTACTTTTCATTCTCAGAAAGCAACGAAGACGATCATTTGTTGGGCACTTGAAGTGAAATATGTTTCAGGGAATCATTTACTTCTTTCCACTCACGCAACAATTTCATGCATGTCAATTTAATTTAATTGCTCGATAGAACTGTAAATCGAGATGTCATTATTTGAATTTTGCACCTTCACCTCCTGATCTTCTCAACAGTTGCACTACAAGCATGACAATTCCCATCACCATAAAGACGATAGGAAGAGTCTTCTTCTCCACTGAAACATATCGAAAAGCTCCCAAACCAAACAACACAAAACTAGCAATCATGGAGAATGTTCTTGCTGTTTCAAAGCTTTTCACATAAAACAAATACGCAGCATAGAGAAAGAGTAATGCAATGATCAGACCTCCAAACAATGAAGGAAGAGAACCTGTCAGGTGACACGAAAATGAGATTCCGATTGCATTGGAAATGATGGTGTCAAAAGTCATTACGATTTGAAAGTGAAACACACATGACAACAGGTCAATCACAACACTCGCATTTTGAGTCCATCAACCTACCCTAATGGTCATTCATAATTTTTTCAAATCGCACCATCAGTCACCACCAACATGAACACGAATTCAAATATTTGATCATTTTCGTCAAATATTTAGTATTTGATCATTTCAGCATTCGGAAATTCAAAAAATTAAAATTAAATTTCAAAAAATCAAAATGTTCATGTCAACCCTTCTCTCTGAATACCGTCTTCTTCTATATATTAAATTAAAAACAAACCTTTCTCGAATATCCCATAAAACCTCCTCCTGCCAACAACACGCAGTAAAGAACATGCATCACCACGTCGATCATTTTTTTAAATAGAATATAAATATTCGATCAAGGAAATATTTCCAGTCTTTGAAAGGGGTTTCAAATGTTAGCAATGCTAAGACACGACGTGTCGATACGATCGCTCTACTTGCGTGAATTTGTGGCAGAAAAGGACGAATGATCGACGGATTCAATTCCTTCAAAATGTTGTGAAAAGAATGATTTGGAACTAAATGTGTGAGTCACATTGCACGGATCATTTGATGTTAAAATGGTTGTTTTAAGGTGTTTATAAGAGATGATATACAAGTCAAAAAAATTAATTGGAAATGTCCTTCATGAAGACATTTTTGAATTCATCGAAATCGATCACTCCATTTCCATCTCTGAATTTCAGTTCACAATTTTCACACAAAAATTAAATATAGGTCGAAATAAGAATACAACATACTTATCCGCTTGCTTAATCATTTCATTAACTTCCTTATCTGAAAGTGTTTCACCTAAATTACACATCATGGACTTTAATTCTTCATGACTAATGTAACCATCATTATTCTTATCAAAGACTCTAAAAGCTTCACGAATTTCGTCCTCAGTATCCACACTTGTGTTCTTGAGTTCCATCATTTTCATGAATTCATCAAATTCGATGGTTCCATTGTTGTCTTGATCGACCTCTCTGACTGTTATGAAAAATCAGAAACCATGTCCAACAACGATCATGGCCATGAAGATGATTGTTGTTTCGTGAATGGAGTGATGTGTGCGCGAATGTGACAACAACAAGTCAACAACAACAACAGTAGCATTCAAAAACACACAATTATTTGTGATCATCATCATTATGACAAGTATTCATCCAAGTGTCGTCATTCAAGTGTTAACAATGCTAATCATCATCACTTGTCAAAAAAACCTACACATAATTTCTAAATCTTCTTGTGAAGGAACTTGTCCTAAATTTTTCAACACGTCACCCAATTCTGTTCATGTGTATGAGTGTGCGTGCATTGCGAGGTCATGTTGCATGAAAGAACATTGTGAGAGCATGATTCAAAGAAGTTTTAGTAGCAACAACAACAGCACACCATGAACAGGATGATTGAAAACATGAGTGTTGAAAATTTTGTAGCGTTCGAAGGAATGAAGGATTGAGAGGATGTTGTTGTTGTTGTTGTGGTGGTGGTGGTGGTGATTCATCATCACGTGATCATTTTGTTATTATTATTATTATTTGAAAGGAGAAAGAGAAGAGAATCGATGGACAAGCAACCGCCGAAAATGTGAAAGATGGTAACCATTCAACACCAGTGGTGGTGTTGTTGGGAGAGGAATGGATTCAAATATATCGATTGTTGTGGATGATTGATGGTTATATGTGTTATTATTATTAAAAACAACAACAACAACAACAACACCGTGTGATTCACACCAAGAATTCGTTGCAAGAAGAGAAGACACGCATGTGATTCACACCAAGAATGGAACATGAGGACCATCACCGTCAAGAATTGGAGAAGCAATTTGAAATTCAGAGTGAGTGGTTGTTGTTGTTGATCAAACCAACAACAATCGATTTGAATTCGTGTCGTCAATGGAGTCGTCGTCGTCGTCATCAAGATTGAATAATTAAAATCAAAAAAGAATAATAATTCATACCTTCCATGGAAATCTTGCCATCACCATCTCGATCGAAGAGGTTGAAGGCGTCTTTCAATTCGTTCACGAGTTGTTGGTGCGATTTGGCAGTGCTGGTACTCTCGGTTTTGTTTGACATTTTTTGTTTGACTTGTCAACTGCCAACACAAATCGATATCCGCATTGTTGCCTTTAAATGCATACTAAATTATCTCTGAACTTGTCTTGTGTCCGTTTAAAGTCTTTGTCGATGTTGAGGGTTGTTTTATTTACAAGGAAAAGAAGGTGAAATGAGAAAATCTACAGTTAGATTGAAGAAATTTAAATAGATCGGATTTTGGGATTGGATCGGATTGACTGATAGAAAGTTCAAAAATAGTCGCTGGAGCAATCCGATCCAATCCTTCGATCCTGGTTAATTAAATTACCTCATTGTAATTGTGGCATAATTATTATTATTCCATAAGAGCAGCGAGCTCTTTTTCCAGCTCTTCATCTTCCTTATTTGTGGTTGTTACAGGTTTTTTAACAACCTTCTTTCCACCAGTCGTCGATAGGTTTTCTTGAGGTAATTGAAGAGCTTTCATTTCCTCTTTATGAATGGCATCCTCCATTTGTTCCAATTCGTCCAATAATTCTCCTTCATCCATGACAGGGCCAATATTTTGACCAAGTGCTTCAGATATTTGATTTGCATCTTCCAAACTGTTAATTTACATTATTTCAACGTTGACATACGAATTATGTAATCATAATGAAAAGGAAAATTCAATCAATTATTGAATGAAGTAATTCACAAATTTCGTTAAAATTAATTAATAAATTATGGTTCAAAATGGAAAAGAATTCCCACAAGATAAAACTTACGTTTCTCTGACATCATCCATGACATTCTCAATATCCTCAGCAGTCATTCCTTTATATACCTTCTTAATGGCATCAGAGGTTTCTTTTTGAGTCTTGAGTGTCTCAGCATTAATGACTGCTTCCTCCAATGCAAGCAATGTTTGCTCAAGATTTTGTTTTTGGCCTTGAATTCGTTGTAATTGAGTTTGATATTGCTTCTTCTTTTTCACACATTGAGCAGCTGCGGTTCGGTTTCCTTCTTGTAAAAAGGCTCTTGCTTTGGAATCTTCATCTGCACATTTCTTTTCTAATAATTGTTCTCTTTTTTCTAGTGTTGAAATTGTTTCATGAATATTATTTATGGATTTGTTATGTGCTGGTTGGGTATCTTCTGTTTTAGTATCCTTTTTTGTAGAACCACTGCCTATCCTCATGGAAATATATGTTGTTGAGCAATTCAATCATCCAATTTTAATGTATGCATTTAAAATTATCAAGTAATAGTTATGTCCACATAAATCACGAGTGCATCAATGATCATTATTCATATTTCATATTTAAATTATTATTCATATTATAATTATTGGTTCAAAATGGTCATCATACATCTCCGAAGTTAAAATCTCATTATTCATCCCACTTACCCCAAAGCCATGATAATCCCCATACCATTTTCTATGTTTTTTTATAAATCCTTTGCTGTTGTCGTTTCTAAGGAAGGATGAACGGAATGAACGGTCAGATCGTGAATGGTGATGATTCCAGTAGCGAAAGAAGATTCAACGGATTATTCAATATTTTTTAAAAATAGATCTTTCATGTTCCTCCAAACAACTAGTAATTCGAATTGTTGCGGATGATACACTTGGTTGATAGAAGAATCCTGCAATGATTCAATAATGATTCACTCTTTATTATAGGATTGGATACTTGGAACCTTTTCCTGAAGAATGTACATTACACCCCAAATGAAAGGAATGGCAAAAGATTTGAAAAAAAAAATTCAAAAATGAACATGAGAACCTTACTGATGGCAAGTCTTGTGCCAGCTTCAGTGGTGGGCATGTTTTGGGGATTGTCAAAATTAAAACATGCCGGAAATGATTGGATGGAAAAGAAAGCGAGAGAGGATCCGTTGTTTGCTGTATGTGTTGAAGATGATGATTTTTGAATGTTCTTATTGATTTTCGGAATGAATTTTCATTTGAAATTTTAAAATTGAAATAATGGTTCTTGAATTTCAACGTGTGGATGAATATAATGATGATGATTTAATTTATTATTAATTTTCAAAAATGTTCAATCATGTGAATGGCGGAACATCATGATTAACATGTGGTAACAATTTATTAATTTTCATGCTAATTCTGATTAGATCTTTAAGGAAAACAAGGAAAGAGTGGATGCTGGATTACCACCGCTACGACCAGAAGAGGTGCCACAAGACATTCAAAAAATATATCGAAATTATTTTGACAAGGAATTTCAAAGATACGAACGAAATAAGTTTGCACAAGAGGATGAAGAATAGGACTATCATTACCACAGCAACAATCATTACCCAACATTGTTTTCCACCAAATTTAATGATGCGATCATTAGTGCTCAGATGTTATTTCGACATGATGTCTTTGAGTACATGACATGCAAAAATCATTGCGAATTTCATAAAGTCACACGTGAACATCAGACAGCGTTCTTCAACTGAAACCAATCCCACTCATATTATGAACTCCAATTTAGCAAATTGTTTTGCAAGACATCACTCGTCTTTACACAAAATATTTCGATTGCTTTTATTCATGACTTCTAACAATCCGAGAGTTATTAATGGTGAACAGGAATAATCAAAAGCAAAGTGACATGTCAACACGTTCTAAGGTAGTGTTTACATTTAATATTTTCAGAATACTTGAGACATGTAACTTTTCAGAATTTTAATACTATTTCCAAACCTTAAGCATACCATCACGAGAGGCAGTCAACAAGAGAGGTTGGAAATGGCCTTTTGATACTCCAGACACAACTTCAATATCAGTAATTGTGTCCAAGTGATGTGTAGCAATGGGTTGTGAGAAAGTACCTCCCTTTCCTCTGTTGCTTGTTGTACTTGAGGTGAGAGATTGATCGGTTCGTTGGAGTGACATCACATCCTCAGTAAATACCGTACAGTTATCTTCCTTCTTAGCACCATACATAAATGCTTGTTGAGAGGCGCCACTGACAACATAACTCTGATCAATTTTGTTCACATCCCAGAACCTCACAATGCCATCACTGCTGCCAGAATAAAAACATCCATCATAATCATTCACATATAAAGCATTAATATCAAAGGTAGGCTCCTCTGTCGAAAATTGTTTTCTCTCCCTCATAATCTTTTTAATTTCTCCAATGGCAAATTTATCAGAGCCGTATGGCTGATCGATATTGGGTGTGGTGTGTGGAGTTGGTTGACTCTTCTTTCTAGTGTCAGAACATCTGAACTTGTATAAGGTTTGTTGTGTTTCCAAACTCCATAAATTAATGTCATTGTTTTGAGATGCGATATATACAGACGGAGATGAGAATGAACTGGTCAAAACGCTATTCTTACAAATGCTAATTCTGTTAATGGCACTTTCATTAATTCGCGTATTGGAAACGCTAATTTGATATCTCAAGTCCCACAATGTGAGGAATCCACGCTTCGTCGAAGAAATCACCCAAGGTTCATTGTCGCCACAACAAATTTCTGAGATTGGTCCCTGTTCGAGTGCCTCTTTTGATTTCCATGAAAATGCCTCTCTGGCAGCTCTTGGATCGATACCTACAACCATTCCATTTTGATTTCCACAAATTAGTAATGGTTGATTTCCAATGTTGAGAGGTCTCACCACATTAATGGATGCTTCTTGAGTTTTTGACCCGCTTGAAGATTGCACAAATATTGCACCGCTATCCGAAATGGTTATAGTGTACATGGTAGTGCCTAAATCTGCGCTGAATACGTGAATCCATCCCTTATCTGTGCAAGCAGCAATGAGAGGAGATGTCACATTGAGAATTGCCACCGAGTTCACTCTTCCTCCTCCTTGAATGATGGTATACGTCATTTTAGAATTCATTGCAAAATCTCTTTCAGTGTTGGTGAGATCCCACAATCTTACTGTTCCATCGTTGCCACCTGTCACAAACCAATACAAGCTGTCGTGAACTGAAATTTCATTGACAGATCCTTTGTGTTCTGTGGATTGGCCAAACAAGTTACCATTTGGTCTCCATTTTCCAATAGTGGAGGCTTTTAAGAGGGGATTTGTAATATTCTTTGGGAAGTCGTCATTATCTTTTGTTTTGGATTTTGGTTTTCCTGACATTGAGAAGAATGTATTCCATTCATTATTATACTGCTTGGATTGTGATGGTTTTGATGGAGCTTGATTATTTTGTGTAATACTTGATTGCAGACTAATATAGGGACTTTCTATTGGTGTGAAATGTGTAAAGAGTGGAAGATTCAATTGTACCACACTACCACTATCGATGTTGGTTTGGTTTTCGCCATCATTGTTATTTTCCCAAGATTTTGACAGTACGGCTGTTGCCACTTGAGAGAGGTACGGTAAAATGGTCTCCAATTTGTCAACCTCTTCGGGTGAAACCTGAGGCAACTTTTGTGTTATTAAAGTTTGGAAAGGTTGACGAGAGGAAGCACTAAGGTCTTCCATAAGAAGCTTAATAGCTCGATCAAATGTATCACGTGCTATTGGTTGAGTAATGCTTTCAAGCAGCGAATATTCCGTAATAATCATTATGCTTTGAGCCAAATGTGGTTTCAGAATATCAAGCAAGAAACAACTAGTGTCAGCCATTCCCAATTGCTTGCTGGCTGCCGAGAAAAAGGCAATTGCATTATATCGTATCCAAGTGTTAGGGTGGTAGAGCAAATATGAAACTTTTTTAGCAATGTCTACAATTGTCGATTTTTCAAACATGCCCAATTCACACAGTGCAACTAGACCATTCAAAGCTTGATCTATAACAAATTCCTGAACGTCATAAAGAGCTTGCATGATACATGGCAAAATGAATTCTTTGAGCGAGGTTGGACCAACAAAAATCGAAATGCCAACAATTTGTTCAAAGAATGCATGTCTCAATCTCCATTGTCGTGAATTGAGGAAAGTAATCACCATTGGCAATACAAAGTCGTTGGTTTTTCTTCGTCCATAAAAAATACATAAAGGTGTAATATTCTTCAGAAGAGATCGTTTCACAACTGTACATTGATCCATTGAGAGTTCCAAAACTCGTGATCCAATCTCGTCTTGCAAGGAGTTTAGCTCACTGTCATATGTTCCTTTTATCATGACTTGATTATTGATATTTTGGTTAATTATTTGACTCATTTCTAAAAATCTTCTTGCTTGATAGGCAAGCAATGGCAAATTTTCAGCAAATGTCACTCTCACTAAATCAGATTTGTCAGTACAAATAATTTTCAAAGCAGGAAGAATGTAGTCATTAAATAAATTAGAGTCGCTTGGAGGGAATGCGGTGATCTTGGTCAAAATATATGTGAGTGTGTCTATCGCTTTTGATTTAACGAGAGGAGCTTGGTCATTCAACAAAGCACAAGTGTATGGTATCAATCTTTCCAATTTTGTGTAGTTGGAAGAAAAGTCTGCAAGTTTTTTCATGAGGTCAAGGCCTTGTACTCGAACGCTCACACTTTGAGCATTTCGAACACTCGAGCAAAGAAGAGTTGCAATAATTTCAATACCCTCATGGGTGGTTTGTGATTTTCCCAGTTTTTTCCCGTTATTAAATTTTCTTCTTTCAGAGAGCTTTTCGATTTTGTTGTTTGAGGAGGGCGTTTTCTCTTTGTTTTCTGTATCGTCTAAATTGTGATTAAATTTCTTTGTATCTGATATAAGTTCAGGGAGAGAGTTTTTCTGGATATATCCGGTATATTCTGGTGCATTCGTTGCGTTCAGTGTGTCAGAGCTTTTTTGAGCTGTTTTCACAGTAGAAGATATGCTTTGATTGCTAGGGCTCTTTCCAATTTCTGATGATTCCGATAATTCTTCGATAATATTGTCATACATTTCAGAAATTGTTTGAATTCTCTTGTCACAATTTTTGTCTAGCATTTGAATCATTACTTTCTCATGAATATATTTGAAATAAATAGGGAAAATGGTCGGTGTATATTTTGTAATATATTCTTCTGCTGAGAGTCGTTTGTTTGGATCCAAATCGAGCATGTGTGTAATCATCTCTCTAACATCTTTATCTTCGACTCTTTCCAATAATTTTGAGAAGTGTTCGGTGTCTCCTTTGCGATATGCCAGAAGTTGGGAATAGTCAAAGAGCGCTTCACCATCGAGGAAAAGCTGCGCAATGACACATCCAGCACTAAATATATCCATCTTTTCAGTGATTTCTTCTGTGTTAGATGTTGTGTTGTTGTTATTCGAATCCGTTGATGATTGATTGCCACTCGAAGGAGGGGACAATGTATCCTCATTAATTAACATGCTTTGATCTAAACCGTTGTTATCAATCATGACAAATGCGTTTGCCAACGATTTGGTACTTGTGAGTGGCGTTGCTGACGCAGTGTTTCCGATACCATAAACTTGTGATGTTGGACAAAACCGTTCAGGAGCCAATAAACAAATTCTTCTTCCGGATGTATCAAAATAATACGAAAAGAATGAAGGATCATCATCGGGAATTCGTGATGGTTTGAAAGGAGCCAAATCAGTCAGAAAGACCCAATCCCAAGCAGTCAAAATTACATTATCTGCTTTCAAATCGCCATGATAAAGTCCAAGTTTATGAATCTGACTCAATCCTTGCAAAATTTGAAAAGCAATCCAACGTTTCCCGATGGCACTGAAAAACGGTCGGGTACTGATTCTGTCTGCCAAGTTGCTATAACAATATTGTCGAACCAAATAACCAGCCTTGTCGGTCTCCACCATTCTATTATAACTCAACACGTTGGGTTGATTCCTCAGACTCAATTTCTCATTCAATATTTTCAATTTGGCATGATGAGGTGCGAGAGCGAGAGGCGGATCATCCTCTCTCTTCAAATATACCTTTACCACCACTGGCATACCCTCTTCCGTCCAACATTGGACACTCTTGAGTAATCGACCTCCTCCAAGAGGGTGATCCTGAACTAAACCTTCAGCCAAGTCTTGCAAGTGAAGTTCTTGCACAGAGCCGCTCACAGCGAGTTGATTGCCCATTTTTTTGTGCTGAAATTGAATTTCAAAAGCCGATCAGCGAGACTTCTCGAAAGACTCAAGACACACAAATAGAAATCTTTAGAATCTTTTCAATCTTTGGATGATCATTGTTCATGCATCATTTCAAGGACATTGTTGGACACTCTCACTTTGTTTTTCCTTTTTCAGGAATGGGAGATTTCTCATTCCCTGATTTCTCCTTAATACAAAAAATTGAGCGCACTGTAGCACCCTTAGAAAGAAAGGCGGTGAAACATTCTGTTCGGTACTCGCTCTCTCGCGATACGATAATATATCCAAAGCCAAGAACGAGGTTTTTCTCGTTCGTGGCTACAGGCTACTTCGTACTCTACTGTATTGATCAATTAATTAGATCTAGCACCTTTATGGGAAAGTGGAGATTGAATGACAGAGCATAGTCATCCGAGTACTGCTGATCAGTCAGCTCATCCTCCTAGTCATCCCTCTGGATCCTTCTCCAAGAAGAAGGCTCCAACTGTTTCGGGCAACAACGCAATCCATCCAAAAGCCAATGTTTACAAAAAAAGAGGCCTGTACTCCAGCAATTCGGTGGTTCCGGTGAGTGACTCCTTTGATGATGTTAACTCTTCACAATTCAAAGAAGGCACCTTTGGGAATGAACAAGATCATTCCTTTTTCGAGGACAAGATTCAACAATTTTTCATGTTCATCAATGCGTTGAAATTGGAACGTTCCATTCATCCTCTGTTGTGTTTGAGTCTTCATTTGATGATGATTTATCAAACACTTTCATTGGGAATTTCCGTTGACGATGGTTGGGGCGAATATGGAAGATATATTGTGCATGCTCTTGTTGCTCCGAGAACGTTTGGGTTTCAATTTTTGCCATATAATGGTTTTGTTGCATTGTTCGCAATTATGTGCTTGGTTGAATGTATCGGAATGATCATCATCTTCTTCACTTATCGATCTCTAATTTATGGTAGCAAATATTGGAAAAAAATTCGAACTGCTGGTAGAAGTGTTTTTGCCATCATGACATTCCTTTCATTGCCAATGGTAAGTCTTGTGAAAAACTACTTCATTGTTTACCCACCGATAATTGTTTATTACTAACACATGCCATCATTTATTGTCATCCCCTTCACGAACCACTTGTGCATGAATCCATCACAACAATATTCTTATGATCGACAAAAAAGACATTTGCTTTAATGCAAGGATTTTGGGGCTGTGATTATTCAAAAACAGTTGAAATTCAGAAAGGTGTCCAAATATTTGTACTTTCCAGCTTTCCAACTGAAGCATGTTGGGGAACCATGAATGCCGTTTTTTCCATTCTTTCTCTTATATTGGTGCTCATTCAAGTGGTGATCACAATGGGAACCGTCATGATTTTTTGTGACACTTTCATTACATCTAAAGCAAAATTCTTATTATTGGATCCATTTCTCATTTCATATGTGATTGGCTCGAATCAGCTTTATTTAATCATCTCCATCGTGACACCAAAATTTGTTAGCTTTTTAAGGCCCATTTATTTTGCAATATTTTCTCTTGGATTTGTAATCCTTTTATTCCGTAATTTACCATTTGTGAGAAGAAGAGCCAATTCTGTGTATGGTGGTGTTGGGTTTGCGAGAATTGGAGTTGCTGTTGCGTCGTTAATTGCCTCACTGGTAAATGCTAGCGATTCATGGGATCTTGGGCTTGGACTTGCATTTTGCCCTCCTGTACTAGCCTTGATAGGCTTTGTTATTGGATTTTTGGTGACAGATTTCTACACGAAATATCTTTTCAACAGAGGTCATGAAATGGTAAAGCTTGCCCTCACACACGACACACGAATTCATAATCGAGACTTTAAAGCAGTGTGTGCCTTTCTGCAATTTTCAATGAAAGGTATTAATGAACACAAACGATTGGTTTCAGATTTTATTGAAACATCTCAACATGCAGATTGGCTAGATGCTCATATGAAAGTTCTTTTTTCTCTTTTTTTTGAAAGATGTTTCACATTCTCCTCATTACTTCATTTCTCTACAACTTCTTAAAAGAGCCGAAAAACAACCCTCTTCCAGCATATTTATGAAATACAATATTTTCATAAGAACAAGGGAAACTGAAAAATGTTTATCAAACGGACGTTTAAACAGCGCCCATTCAGAAATTATTCTAGAAGGGGTTAAAATTAAGATGCGCAAGCTGAGATATTTGATCATTCAATTCTGGAAGAATTTACTTGCATCCATGGATGTCAATGATTTGATCCAAAACATTCAATCTCTAACATCAGATTGTGATATCGCGTTCAATAATCTAATATTAGAAAATGAGGATGATCCATTCTTTCAAAAACTTTATACTGAATATCAAGAAGAATTAAGTTTTAATGTACTAGACACCGGAAATGGATCAAAGGAAATTCCAAATACAACCAAAGAAACTGAAAATAATGATCAACTATTAGATGTTCCTATGATGGATGATAATTTAGATTCAGTATCACAAGTAGCAGAGGAAACAGTGGACAAACAACAAGAAATTGTTTCCAATGCCATTAACAAAAGAGAGGTGAACCGTCTACTATTTTATTTTCTTGTTACATTTGGAATTGTGTCAACTGGTTTTATAATTGTACTACTATCAGTCACGCTTCCATTGTTGAGCTATTTCACAAATTTGGATGTACTGACAACCACTGTACCACTTCCATCATTACCTTACTTCACAGTTGTTAATATTGAAAGTAGAAACATTTTAAAAGCATCCGATTCAGTTTCATATTTGAGGGCCCTGAATTTTGAGTTGGAACAAGTAGAGAACGTTGAATTGTTATTTGATAGTGGAATATATGATCAAGAAATCATGGCGCTATTCAATAGTAATGACAAGAAATTCATTGTAAGTACCACAATAATATTCAGAGGAAACTATGTTAATAATTGCATATAGATCGACGATGGTCTTACTCTCGAGCAAAATTGTTCCAATTCATGGCTTGTTAAAAAGATGAAACGAATCATTTATCCAAGAATTAACAACTCCTCTCTAGTACCCACAGACAATTACTTTGAATTTTTGAAGTCTAATATTGAATTTCTTACTGACTACTTTCAGAAATTCTTTTCCGAGAGTTATGTAATCCAAATCATACACAATCAGCAAGCTCGGACTGCATATATTATTGTGAGCTCTGGAATTTTTTGTGCATATTTGCTCTATGTTATGACATTTGCCACATTTGCATTCATCTTTGTTCGACAAAGAAAGCTGATCATACAGTTGTTCAAGAGAGTTCCAAAAGAAGAAACTAAAAAGATAATATCGAATCTGGAAAAGCAATCTACTGCAAAGATTGTTAGTACTGACAAGCTTGTGTCGGCTTCACATTCGTTCTTTGTAATAGCGTTTATTTGTTTCCTTTTGACATGTTGTGCATTATCATTAACCATGGCTGATGGTATTAATAGCTTTAAGGCTCACTTTATTGGCTTGAAGAAACTTCAACTGGCTGCGACTGCAATGCGATTGTCTCAAAGTTTGAGGTATAAGTTATGGAACAAATTGGAAATTGGAAATAATTACACGCAAGAAAAAGATGGTGGCGACTCGTTAATTTCTACATTGGAAGAGTTCGATAGTGTATGGAACTCATTTCGTTTTGGGTCAGCTTTTGATGGATATCAAAGCATGACAGATTATTCTTCGAGTATGAAAGACTTAATTTTACAAAAGAATAACATGAGTTGTGATGAATTTAACTGCCTTTCATTGGACGACCAAGTTGCCAAATTCAGGTCAAACATTCTGATGTACAAGGATCTCTCTCAAAACCTCACGGTTTCTCATATTGGTGATTATCACTCCTTTTTGAGACAAGATAGTTTTGAGCTTGTCATGACCTTCAGTAACATTACGCAATTATTAAGACGTACTCTCGAATCGAGCCGCTCTTTGATGACCATTGTTGTGGTTGTGATTTGTTGTCCCGTATTGCTTATTGCTTCCTTTTTCTTATTCACAAATGTTTCGACTATGCAAGAAGAAAATTTTAGAATGAGAAAACTTTTCAATTATGTTCAATGGGAGATTATTGATGCCAATGATGAAATTCGAAATTATATTTTCTTTTATTATTTATCATCTGGAGTTGGACGGGCCAAAGTAAAACAAAAGATATCGAAAGAGAGAGCGGTGTTGGAGGCGGCTTTGACATGTGCCACAATTTGCAGTGCTGGTGGAACTATTGATATTTTCAACTCGTCATCTGAAAAATTGTTTGGATATCGGTACGTATGATCACTCTTCTTCACATTAAGTTTTTGAGATCAACTTTATACTTGTTACCATATATATTACGTTGAAATGGTCGAAATGTTTCATTTTGTAGTGGCGATCAGATTATTGGTTTTCACTTGTCGAAATTATTTGACAAAGAATCTGCATCAAAACTTGAACCGATATTAGCAAAGGTAAGTATATAGATTAAGAATGCAAGATTAAAATGGAATTTCAATCAATTGAATGTTTAATTGAATTGTTAATTTTTTAAATGGAACAATTAAAGATGGCATTCAGCGCGGTGAATTACGCAGAAACGATTGAAATCACTGGTCAAAAGAAGAATCAAAGTAAATTTCCTCTCGAGCTCAGAATTTCGGTTGGAGTTTTAGATGGAAGAAATATTATTGCTTGTTTTATGCGAGATATTACTGAATATAAGAAACAAACAAAGGAGCTGGCAGAAGAAAAAAAGAAAAGGTATGTATTGTATGAAGAATTTTTTTGGAATATAGCATGAATTATCTTGTGCAATTATTTGTCTTGTCATGACGAACGAATGTCAAAGTGAATCCCTATTATTGAACATTATGCCTGAGAGTATAGCTCAACGCTTAATTGCGGGAGAAACTTTTATCGCAGACAAATACGAAAATGTGACCTGTTTTTTCAGCGATTTATATGGATTGTTGGATTTAAATCTTTCTGCATATGAATTAGTTCAAACTCTAAACTTAATTATTCACAAATTTGATGATTTGACTTTAGCTTCAAATGTGGAGAAAATCAAAACCATTGGCTCCAAATATTTCTGCTGTGGAGGGTTGAAACCAGATTCTGAGACAGAATTATCTCACTTGGAACGAATGTTTGATTTTGCGATTCAATTATTTGATATTGTTGATTCATTTCGTGACGAGAACGGCCTTAATATTGGATTGAAGGTTGGTATGCATGTTGGTCCAGTAGTGGCAGGCATTTGTGGTCTGCTGAAATATGCATTTGATGTAAGTATTAATCTCGTCGTTCTGAATAGACATTCTTTATTTTCGAATTGCACGGCGCTTGTCATTCTTTTTGATAGATTTGGGGTGATACTGTGAACATTGCGTCAAGGTAAATATTTTTTTTGCAATCTAGTTAGAGCCAAAGAAAATGATAAAAAATTTTTATGAATTTATATCCACAACTTGAATAGAATGGAGAGCACATGTCCAACAGGTCACATTCAAATTACATCCACATGTTATCACAAATTGAAAGACTTTTATAAATTCCAAGAAAAAAGTGTTGAAGTCAAAGGAAAAGGTCTAATGCAGACCTATCTTTTCAAACCAGCAAGAAACAGTGCTTCTCCAACCGTTCTCACTCATGATCATCATACCGACCTCTATAGCTCTCGAGACAGTGTTGGTTCCAAACACAGCTTGAAAGCGTTGTTAACATCCTCCTTTTCTTCAAGGAATGCCATTCAAGACATTCTCGCTGCTGGCAATAATGGTAGCAGCAACATTCAGGAAACGGTTCATCAAGAGTAAGAGACTGTCCAATGGTGTAATGGTGTGTGTTATGAACAGGGACAAGAAATTAGCCTCAAAATGATGACCAAACAATTAAATATATTTATCAATGAGAGATTGAATATACTCGCTTTTGATTTCAACAAATGGAATTTGAACAAGTCTGCCCTTAAAATCCAATGTGTTGGTTGTTATGGATAACGGAATGGTTGTTCCTCCAATAAGATATGACATCTAAATGTCAATAAGATCTTCTTGTTCGGTGGATATGAAAACGAAAAAATGTCTTCAAAATTATCTTCCCTAATTGTTTCCAAGAAATTTCTCTTCGTGTCTGTCGGAGTGATTGTTTTGATCTATCTGGTCTCGTGGATGAATTTTAGAGCCAAATTGTCCTCATCAGTGCCATCTTCATCGCTTGAAGTTTCCTCTTCATCATCGGCAGGTAAACTTGAAATGATAAATTCCGATAACGAACGAGTAACATCATCATCATTAACGACCACCACGACCACTACCACTACCACCACTAAAGAACAACATGATGAAACTCCATCCTCTACGACTCTTCCGACCTCCTTTATCTATGATGATAATTTAAAAGGCTCATCCATTGAATCTTTCATTTCATCACCCGTATCATTAATTTATATTTATGCTCCATGGTGTGGACATTGCAAAGCCTTTGCTCCGACCTTTGCAAAATTAGTGGACAAAATTAAGGAACAATTTGGAGGAAGAATAAAAGTAGCGAGAGTGAATGGTCCCGATAATTATGAAAGTGCAGTGGTCAAGTTGGGAGTGAGAGGATATCCTACATTGGCCTTTTTTTAGAAATGGTGAGATGAAGACGAAATTGTTTTATGAAGGGAAAAGAAATGTGGAGGATATTGTTAAATTTATTGAAGAAAAGATGTTCGTGGAGAAGAGTGTTTCTGCTGTGAATTGATTCACCCGCTGTTGGACCATTTTCAATTTTGTTCAAGATTCTGTGACATCAATTGATTGTCACAATCTCAAATAACAAACCACTTTACTGTACAATAATTGGAGAATCGTTGATTTTGACTTGTTCGGGGATCAAGACTGAAGCCAACAACGGCCGTTACAAGCTTTTGTCAAGACAAAAAAATAGAGCCGTTACAAACCTGATATCAGACAGCATCATGTCGGATCAAGAAGTCATTCCATCAGAAAGCAAAGATCAATCAGCCAAAGTAACAACCGCAAAGATTCAATCAGAGGAAGAACAGAAGGAACAAATTGATGCAAGCCAAAAACATTTGCAAAATGAAAAAGACACTTTAGATTTATTCAAATCATTCTTGGATGAGAAGGATTCTAAATGGATCATGGAATCTTTGAAACAAAAAGATCCACTCGTGCAAGTCTTATCGGAATTGAAGCCTGAGGAACGTATTAGATATTTCGTTAAATTTGCTCTCTCCCAAAATGAGTTGTATCATTCACAAGTTTCCAAATCAGATCGTGATGATCAATACAATGAATGGAAATCAGATGTGGGTGACACCAATCTCTTGGAAAATTTACATCATAAAAACTCAAAAGTGGCGCGCTCATTGGGAGAGATAGTTTTCAAAGAGGATCATACGAATCTCATTACATTGATGAACAAGTTATCAAACAAACCTGTTATCTTTATATGGAAGCATAAGAAAATTCCATGGTTCAAATATGTGGATCAAGCAGAATACATTTGGAAAACTACTGTGGAACGAGTGCAGAGAGCTCATGGTGAAAAATTACTCGAGGATCGAGAGAGTGTGTTGTTGGAATTTGCAATTCAAATGAGTTCAGGTCCATCGGATTGGGAAATTGAAATTTGTCAAGAATATGACCAAAAGGATGAACATTTAGATTTGAATGTGGAGCAATCTGTGTATAAATTTAAAAAGGACTCAGTATTTCCAAATGGTTTGAATATCGACAGCGTTGGAGCGTTGCTTTGAGCAATGTGCTGTTTACAGATAGATGAACAACTCTTGGAAGAATTCTACTGTCATCGTTGATTGGCGGCGCTTAAATAAGAGGTCAACAATTTCTTGAAATCAGCCAAAATAAATGGTTTGTAAACAACATCATCAAAACCTTGTGAGAGTAAAGTGTCTCTTGGTTCCCATGTGTTGGCTGTGATGGCAATGATTGGTATTCGTTGCATTTCTTCTTTTTCATGATGTCGATATTTCATATAATTTCGAATCATTTCACATGCTTCCTTTCCACTGTAGTTGATAAAATTCAAACGATTCACAAATGGTTTGTGGTTATAAGTAAAATGTTAAATTCAAAATGTCCAATAATGTTATGCCAAACTTACCTCAGAATGGGCATGAAACAATCCAACAAGACCAAATGATATGATTTTTGTTTGAACTTTTCAAAACATTCCATTCCATCATTGGAAGTGTCAATATCTTTGAATCCAATGATTTGCAACATTTTCATCAATACTTTTCGATTCACTGCATTATCATCCGCCAACAACACTGAGAATTTGCTAAAGTCAAATCCTTGCTCTTCTCCTGCTATCTCCTGACATATCTTGTCCTTTTTACACGCTTTTGAATTGTGAGAAGTGCTGCTACTTAGTTGGCTTTCTATTGTTGTAAATAGTTCCATTAACTCTGCAAACTTAATGGGCTTTGGCAGATAATGTAGGTTGGGGAACGCTCTTTTCACACCTTTGAAAATTGTTGGAATTACTAAGAAATGTTCTCCAAAACATTGTTGACAAGCTCTTTCATAATCTTGTTCTGGAAGAATAACAAGAGAAACAGTATTACTTTTTCCATCTTTACCTTTCCTATTTTCTTCCATGAAAGAATCCATATTCTCAAACGTTGATATTTGGTGTACTCTCTTCATCAAAGAGAGGTAATCTTTCAATACATTTCGAAAACATGGATCTTGGCCAATAATCGAAATTGTGAATGCAAATCGTCTGTATGACAAGAAATTTTCAACAGTGTTCTCCAACTCTGAATTGTCGCCAGTTTCCATAGGTAACACCACCGTCATGGTCGTTCCAACTCCAACATTGGTCTCCACCTTAATCTTTCCTTTCATTTTGTGAATGAGCATTTTGGTGATACTTAACCCAAGCCCATTTCGATTGGTGTGAATCAAACTGCTTCCTCCTTCATGTAACTTTTTTAACATTTCTGACTGATTGAAATAATGATCAAAGGAAGTCTCCAGTTCATCGTTTTGATTTTCAAGCACTCCATAAGGTTGAAACAATTGGTGTATTTGATCCTGAGAGATGCCACAACCTGTGTCAATGAAATCAAGTCGAATGTTTGTACGGTGGTGATTTAACAAATTTTCATGGCTCGTTTTTCGAATCGTGTTGTTTTCTTTGAGTTCATCATCCGTTGCCAAATCACAGTTAACTCTGACGTAACCCTTCTTGGTGTATTTGATGGCATTCGAGATGATGTTCATAATGATTTGACTCAATCGAACAGAATCACCTTTCAACAGTTGTGGAACTTTTGAGACATTGAAAAAACAATGCAATGAAATTTGTTTTTCATGAGCCAATTGTGAAAAAACACCAATCAATGAATCTAACAAGAATTTCAAATTGAATGGTTCATGTTTCAATTTGATCTTTCCCATCTCAAGTGAGGTCATTTGCAATGAGGATGATAAAATGTGCAGTAATAATGTTGCATTTTCCTTAATATCTTCAATGATTTCATTGATGGCACTATTATTCAAAAAACAATGTTTACATCCATTCAAACACTTCTCTCCCTCAAAATGATGATTCAACACTTGTAAACTTCCCATAATGCAATGCAATGGATTTCTCGCTTCATGACTCAAATTGGCAATGAATTTCGTTTTCTCTTCATTCTTAAATCGTTCATGAGCAGCTTGAACTTGTTGATGTAAAAACTCTCGGTTTTTGAATGCCAAAAAGTGAGAGAACATTTTCGAACCAACCATGACCGTGTATTGCAAACAGAATATATCCACCAATCTTCTCTGAAAGAGCCTACTCTCCAACTCTGACATTTCCACTCCTCTCGAAGAAAGAAAAGTAAAAAGAACAGAACTCAAGACAGTCACAGCCCCAGTCACCGTGCAAAATCCCCCATGATAAATATCGCAAGCAGAGACTAACATTTTGAAGGTTGAAAAGATGAAACTTGGAAACCAAGGTCCATAATACATTTGCGTGATCAAGTGATGAATAAAGATATCACTCGTTTGTCGAACCTCGGAGGCTACTTTTGAAACCATGCAAGAAGGAGAGTTCTTTCCGCACTTCTCGACCCACTTGTCCATCAATAGATGTAAGAATACTTCTCCAAAATAACACGCAAAGAGAACAGAACAGCCCTTCTCCTGACAATACATGGCACTCAGGCCGATCGGAACCCAAAATAACAATAGTACTTGAGCGATCATGGGATGATCTTGCAACGAAAAGAGTTTATAAATCGTCATGAAAAGGCGACCCTGTGGTTCAGAATGATTCGTCGACGATTTTCTCAATATTCCCATTTTTCTGTATCGATCTATATATTCAAAATGTTAGAGAAATTCTCTTCAATCGCGATTAAGTGGTGATAATGCTGCAGCACACTTTTGAGTATCTCGTTGAAAGGAGGAAATAAAGGCAGCGTAGTAAGGCAACGTTTTTTTGTTTCGAATCCACCGCCTTTCCAAAAATGTACAGGATGGTTAATAATGGTGATGGCATTCCTTTTACTTTTTAAGGGAGCGGCAGGATGTTCGAGGAATGGAGCTGAATTATCGTTGATTGGCGGCGCTTAAATAAGAGGTCAACAATTTCTTGAAATCAGCCAAAATAAATGGTTTGTAAACAACATCATCAAAACCTTGTGAGAGTAAAGTGTCTCTTGGTTCCCATGTGTTGGCTGTGATGGCAATGATTGGTATTCGTTGCATTTCTTCTTTTTCATGATGTCGATATTTCATATAATTTCGAATCATTTCACATGCTTCCTTTCCACTGTAGTTGATAAAATTCAAACGATTCACAAATGGTTTGTGGTTATAAGTAAAATGTTAAATTCAAAATGTCCAATAATGTTATGCCAAACTTACCTCAGAATGGGCATGAAACAATCCAACAAGACCAAATGATATGATTTTTGTTTGAACTTTTCAAAACATTCCATTCCATCATTGGAAGTGTCAATATCTTTGAATCCAATGATTTGCAACATTTTCATCAATACTTTTCGATTCACTGCATTATCATCCGCCAACAACACTGAGAATTTGCTAAAGTCAAAATTGCATTCTTCCTCCGCATCCGTCTTTGTTTGGTTTGAATTTGGTTCAGGTGTGCTACCGGTGTCTCCCTCAACAGAGCGAGGGCAAGAATTGGCCTCACGAATGTTTTCCTCAATTCTTTTAAATAATTCTATTAATTCGCCAAACTTGATGGGTGTAGGAAGATAGTGTTGATCTGGAAACGATCGTTTGACTCCTTTGAAAATTGTTGGAATTATGATTTGTTTTGCATTTTTGGAATTTCCAAAATGATCTTGAATCCCTTCATATTCTCGTTCTGGAACAAAAAAGAGAGAACATAATTCTTCCTTGTGAGAATTTTCACATTTTCCAACATCCCCGAACTGATGGTCAAGTTTAAACGATTCAAAACTTTCATAACATGAAATTGTTTGTACTCTCTTCATCAAAGAGAGGTAATCCTTCAACACACTTCTAAAACAAGGGTCAGGATCTATAATTGTGACTTGATAGGTCAAGGTATTTTCTGACAGGAACATGTCAATGGTTTTTTCAATTTCTGAATTGTCACCTGTCTCGAGAGGTAAAATAACTGTCATTGTAGTTCCAACGCCAACTTCACTCTTGACCTTAATATGTCCTTTCATTTTTCGAATTAACATTTTAGTGATGCTAAGTCCAAGACCATTTCGATTGGTGTGAATTAAACTGCTTCCTCCATCAGTGAGTTTCCTTAAATTTTCAGATTGGTTGAAATATTGTTCAAAAGAGGATCCAAATTCGTTCTGATCTTGGGTTTGATCGTGGGTTTGATCGATCACACTGTAAGGTTGAAACAGTTTGTGGATTTGATCCTGTGAGATTCCACAGCCCGTGTCCGTAAATTCCAAACGAACATGGGTGATAGGATTTAACAAGTTTTCAAGACTATTCCTCTTTCTTTGTTTTTGAATAGGTTCGAGTTCTTCTAAAGTGGCAAGTGAACAATTTACTCTCACGAAACCCTTGTTCGTGTATTTAATGGCATTCGAGATGATATTCATAATGATTTGACTCAATCGAACAGAATCCCCACGAAAGATTTGTGGCATGTTTGATACTTGATAAAAGAGATACAATGAAATTTGTTTTTCATGAGCCAATTGCGAAAACACTCCAACCAAGGAATCCAATAAGAGTTTCAAATTGAATGGTTCATGTTTCAATTGAATCTTTCCCATTTCCAATGAACTCATTTGCAATGACGACGACAAGATGTGAAGCAATAAACTAGCATTTTCCTTAATATCTTCAATGATTTCTCCAATTTCACGATGATTGACAAAGCAATGTTTACATCCGTTCAAACACTTCTCTCCTTCAAAATGATGATTCAACACTTGTAAACTTCCCATAATGCAATGCAATGGATTTCTCGCTTCATGACTCAAATTGGCAATGAATTTGGTTTTCTCTTCATTCTTAAATCGCTCATTCGCTGCTTTAAATTGTTGCATGGAATATTCTCGATTTTTGAACGCCAAAAAGTGTGAAAACATGTTCGATCCAACCATCACCGCGTATTGTAAACAAAACATGTCGACCAATCGTCTCTGAAAGAATGACCATTCCAAATCTGACATTTCCACTCCTCTCGAAGAAAGGTACGTCACCAACAATGAGAATAGAATTGTAAATGGACCATTCCACTTGTAAATCACGTACTGTTTTTGATGATGACTCGGAAAGATACAAGCCACAACAATCATCTTGTAAGTGGACAAGATGTAACTCGGAAACCAAGGTCCATAATACATTTGTGTCATGAATTGATGCGCGAATACACACAACATGTGTGCCACATTGATCATCACGAGTGAATAACCTGAGAAATAGTTTCTCTCCGAACGAAATTTGTGAAAATTTTGTTGTTCTTGTTTCATTAAGGAATGTAACAAGTAGTGAACGATCATCTCTCCCACATAACAAAGGACGAACACGGTTGGATTTTTCTCGGCAATAAAAGTAACCGATGAGGATGGGAACGAGAACCAATAAACGTCCTGCCTTCAAGTGTTGATCCTTTTGAAGGATTAAATGTTCCGTAATTCTTTGACTACTAATACTGATGTTGTTGTTGTTATTGGTATCAACATGTGGTTCATTCTCTTCGTTCGTCGTCGTCGTGTGGTCATGAACATGTTTGTTTGTATGATTTGTATGATGATTCATGCGTCTTGTGGAGTGTTGCTGAAAGAATTGACTTTGATATTGCACGACGGTATCGAAAGAAGACAATGTCGTGTTTTTTGTTTTTTTTTGGTGAATATTTGCCGCTTTGC